ACTAAGTACTTATGATGAGGCTCTACAACAGGACTGGGCAATTATTTTTGCTATCGGGCCACATTGAATATTCCAAATGCAGTGGCGGGCCGGACTAAGTAAAGCCAATTGTGCGTTTTTAATGCATTTCAGTACACATTTAAATAAAACAAAGTACTATTGTACTCCGTTATTTTTATTTAAAGCACAGTTATTAAAACTAGTTTAAAACATAAATATCGCGATTTCGAGACAATACATATGATCAGAGAAACGTCACGCTTGCAAAACAATGCTGAATTTTATCATTAATGCTAAAGAGTGAGTAACTATGCGGAATTAAGACCATGCCTTCGATGGCCAAACATTCGTGATTCATATAACTTTGTTGTCACCATAGCATTTTTAACGTAAACAGGGGTCGTGGAAAATTGTAACGCATTGAAAGGCGTTGCGAGTTTAAAAGTATGGTATGCACTGCTCTAAAATACAACGTCTATCTGCGTATATAAAAATGTGAAATAAAGTGCCGGAATATACTTAATTTTGATACCTATTTTTGCGATACGGGTATATTTAAAACGCATTGATATGGGCACATTTAAATGTCTTGCTTTGTTGTTTTAAACTTAACCCGCGATTGCTTTGGCAAAATATAATCATTACTACTCTTGAATACCACCCCATGCCTCGGATCTAAAAATGTGAGATAAAGTGCCAGATTACTTTTATTCGTGTTTTGCGATTTCGTGAAATCAACAAATGTGATTTGTTCTTGCAACAATGACTTGGCTCTATTTTACAGATTTCACCAATAGAAAAATCCCTACATCTGCGATAAAACCACACCGAGTTAAATTCAATTTAGTACCATGAAAATCGGTTGAATTTACTTTACTTTGTGCCATGGGCACCAGAAATTTTTCAGTTTCCAATTTCTACAACAGCGTTTTTAATCTGTCGCAAGCCTTCTAAATCAATCTTGTATGTGTCCAGTTTTTAGTATTTTATATTGCCGCTCTGAAATCTCGATTTAGGTTGCTTGCAGATATATATATATATATATATATATATATATGGAGGTTGAAGGAAATTTGTGAATATAATCACCGACGTAAAGGTGTTTACGGTCTAAATAACATCTCGAGCTGACGAAAACAATCGGTCATTTAAAAAAAAATTAGTCGAATGGTATTGCCGACTTTTTCATTTTCCTAAACAAAATTTTGTTCACAGTTAAAGTATACTTTATATAAAATTAAAAAGAAAGTGTCCACATCTAGAAACCTGCTCGCGGGCCGGATGAAACGTTGTCGCGGGCCGGATGTGGCCCGCGGGCCGCAACTTGCCCAGGCCTGCTCTACAAGAAGCCTATAACGTGTTGGGCGGTGACACATCGCGCTATTAACTTTCTTTGAAGTATAACCTGCCCGGTTTCTCGATGTTAACAACTCCACAACTTTGAATATGATTGGAATCTATTCCAGTCAGGTGAAATGCGAAAATGTGTGGTGATAAAAACAAATGATTTCGGTATTGTAGAGGCACAAATGATCACCGTAGTGTATAGAAATAGACGTGTAAATAATTCTTGTAATAGTAATGTTGAGGTCCAAATATTTAATTGATCACAATAATGTCGAATTCAAAACGATTAATGTAGAGGACGAAATGATCATTGTTGGGGTCGAATGACCATTCTTGAGGACGAATGATCAATTGTTGAGGGTTGCTAAAGTTTACGACCAACCCAACAGGCAGGTTAAGTACATGCTTAATTCTAATATACGCAAATAGCAACGTTAAGTTATGTACTATGAATTAGACCATATCGATAACTTAAAGACAAGCAAACAATACGCTCAATACGAAATATAAATTAACACTACTTAACGGCAAAACTCCTAACACAAATAAATTGTAAACAGCCGAGCCGACTGGCAATGATTCGAAATAATAAACAAACAAGAATGAGAAAAAAAAGAGAAGACCGATAAAAGATTTTGTTCACGCCGACATGCCTATGGACATTTCCCCGACCTTTGACTCCCAAAAAATTCTTTCCATACTTTACCATTGCAAAATTTTCGTGGCTTATTTTAAGAGTGGCTTCGCGAGTTGGCGCCTGTAATATGGGGTATGTGTTTCAAACCATCATTATGATTCATCGCATACAACAATCTGTTTTTAAAAAAGTACCGGTAAAGAATTTTAGCCTAGTCTATCACAGTAATGTCTACCCTAATTTTTTATTACTGCAATTAAATTAAAACTCCTAGGAAGACAGAGTAATCATTGAATTATATGATTTATATTTAAATTTCCAAAACGCAACGGAAAACCAACGAATAGGATTCAAAAACGCGTAAACGAGGTAATGTTCACGACCACGACTGAAAATCTGTCTGAGTGAAAAAAAAGTGTCTGAGCGGATGCGAAAAGGGAGCATTGTTACCTCCCTTATGCATCTTGCTGATTGGCCAATATCACGAAGTAACCAAGGAAGTCGATGCTCGGGACCATTCCTGCCCACAAACAGATGGTGAGATTGCCTTGAAGGGAGCAATTTATAAGCGGTCATTCGACATAAGTGCAATGACCGATATATATCGAGACAACCCCGGGTCAAATGTATACGAAATAAAACAAAGAAACTTTGTCTGTAACAATAAACATAGGTTTCGGAGGGGGGGTTTTTGAAATTTTGGGTAAACCGGGTTGAAATCATTAGCGAATTTGTACTTTCCAAAGGTTAAAAGGTGATATTTTCTACCAAATATATATATAATCATGGGATATATAATTTTCAATGTTAGCTACTCATAATTTTAGTATATAGACGACTAAACTTTTCGAAAAAAACCAAGGCTCCACAAAACTTTAGTCTTATAGTTGACACAACAAGACATTTAATACCTAACAAACAGTTCATTGGAAACAGTGTTTTGTACACAGGTCATCGATGAGAAACGGTTTTTATGACGTCGCGCTTATTTGTAACATGTGACATTTTTTTAAAAGCTTTGAAGTTCTTAATATGATGTTTCAACTTCGAGTTATTATTCCCGATACTTGCTTATAACTACAATTTTATAGCCTACGATGATCTCCAAAACGACTATGACATCATACGACATATACACGGAAATTATGATGACGTCATAATGTATTTAAAATTCACTAAGGTGCCACAGTGAATTTTCCTGTTGCGAAAAATAAAGATTATGAAGACATAAATTTTCAAACACGCCTCGATAAAATCTTGCGTACAACTGTGATTTTGTCTATCAACAGCATATACCAAAAATCGCCCAGGAACCAGTAGTCATGACGGGGCAGACTCGATTAAATTGGGGACAGCCGCACCAACACAACGTGTAATTTTGCTTGCATATATGCCATGCGTATTTTTAAATACCTGTTGTTCTTTAAAATCTCTGCTAAACACGACATACAAAACGAATGCTGACAAGATAGAATTTTCGGAATTCTCGCTTCGGTGGCCTCGAAAGGTTCCATGCAAATATTACATTCCAGTAAATCTTCCATGCTTGAAACTCCGAAGAAATGATTAATCTACAACTACATAATCGTTCATCAATTGCTAGGATACCTGAAACGAGAACAATATTAAATTTTGGAAGTGATACCATTAATATAAAGCCCCGCGAAACTTTGATGCAAAGGCAGAATACGGTACTCATTTGATTACTATTAGTAATCAGGAAGTGCTTAAAAATAACCTGCAGCTAAATGAACTCAAACGACCAATCATGGCCAAGTTTCACAGTATCAAGTATTTCATAGATTTTATTTTACTACTAGTAATTTAATTTAAAACACAGATAAGTGCAATCACGCGCAATTTATGGGCAACAGAATATTTCTGAATCTGTATAGCACTACGAATGAGTGAGATACAATCTGAAATATCTCATCTGAATGAAACTGAAGTATCGCATACCACTTAACCGTTCTAGTCCTAATGTTTCCAACTCGGCGTGACGCATAGGCTTTATTTCTTGGTTCATTGATCTTCTAAATTATCATATTTTTAAAGCGTCAGTCTTTTGTATTTAACCATTGACATTAACCCTCTAGTCTGACACATATATATAATGTATAACACAAAAGTAATGCCACGTTTAAACTGTCAAAACCAAGTTATGCACATTAAAACTAAGGTTTAACCAAGTTTAAATGTATGAAACGTTCTTTGTTTCATTTTTCGCTACTAATAACTTCGCTGCTTGTTAACCAGCTTTGGTTCCCCGCAGCTTCCCTTCCCCAGTGAAATGTGTTTTTAATATTATTCGTCCTAATTTTGCATGTTCATCAAGTTACTAAAACTTGGCAAATGTTTATTTAGATATTTGAACCTTGGGTGTCGCTGCTTGATAACCAGCTTTGGTTCCCCGCGACTTCCCTTCCCCAGTAAAATGTGTATTCAACATTATTTATTAGTCTTAATTTTGAATGTTATCTTTTTTTACTGGATGGAAAAAATAAACTCGACTATGACTTATCTACTAAAAACAAAAATGCCGATGCTCGCCAAGATGTTAATTGTTTCGTGGATTTGGTTGCTTCTGTGGTGGTCTATTAGGTGAATGGCGGACGGACCTTAAAACAACAATGATCGGACTGTTGACAGCGCTGGAATCATTTGGTCATTGATGCCAATTTTACACTTCGAGTGGAAAATTTCAAGTGGAAACTTGCAAGGTAATGTAAGGTGGTGTGTATACACGCACAACTATATTGCATTTGTAGACTTTATTCACATTCGAAACAGAACACATTCCAGATAGATAAACGTAAAACAGTTAATGCACACAGTACCAACTCATAACAGCTAATGTCCCACAGTACACGTGATAAGTACAGAACTTTAAGAACTCTAAGTCACTTTTAGACATGAACGGACACGGGTCAAAGGTCACTATATTACATCCCTCCAAACCTTAATAAAAAAAAAACAAAAATTGACATTGACAGTACACATTATTTTCAAAATACAGTTAAGCAGTCAATACTGTAATTCGTCCCATATGAAAATCTTTAAATCTACTTGGCACTTTTGGACATCTTCTAGGACGATCTCTAACACTTGGAACAGGAGGAACAGAAGGTGATGGACTTTCAGCAATAGGATCTGCTGTTTCATTATCAACATTCAAATTAGCAGTATCGTCAGAAATATCATTATCATGTAAAAAAGCACCAGTGATATTTGTAAATCGCTTGCGAAAGGTACAATCATTCACTTTTTTAAATATGGAAGCATTTCTAGTTTTACTGCCAATATTGGGACTTTGTGCAGTAATCATAGAACCTTTTACATTTATAACATCTATAGGCGCAGATCTATATGCTGAAGAAAGCTTACTGTTTCTAGTTTTCTCATGATCACAGAATCACCAACATGAATTTGTTCAGTCGGCTTTAAACAATTTCTTGTGTCAGCATACATTTTCTGTTTAGCCTTATAAAAACAATCACGATCACGTAAATCATTATCAACAGTAGGAACAATAATTTCAGGCAATAGGACTTTAATATTAGTACCATACAATAATTCAGCAGGTGGTCTACCTGTTGTAACATGGGGGCTTGCTCTATAATTTCTCAAAAGTTTATACATTTCCTGCTTCCAAGACTTGCCTTCAACCGTAGCAGTCTTGATAGCCTTACCCAAAGGTTTCATAAAATTTTCGGACTGGGCATTAGCTCTAGGCCACAAGGGAGTTATCTTTCTATGACGTATGCCACACAGTTCCATAAAATGTCTGACTTGATAACTTTGCCAAGGAGGACCATTATCAGTTTTCACAACTTCAGGAAAACCTAGCATTGAAAATATTTTATCAAGAACAGGAATGACATAAAAATTAGACGTAGCTTTTACAATTTCAACAACAGGAAAACGAGAGTATTCATCAATAACAACAAGACAATAGTCTCCACTGGGATATGGGCCAGAATCACAACTAACAGCTTGCCAAGCTTTTTGTGGCAACTCACTCATGCTTAAAGAGAGCATTCTCTCATCTTTCACAACAGAAGCACAAGCAGCACAGCTTTTCACCACATTTTCTACCATAGCATCCATACAAGGAAACCATATCTTTTCTCTTAACAAAGATTTTGTTTCACTCATACCCATATGTCCCTCATGAGCAATGTCAACAACTTTACGCCTCAAACATACTGGAATAACAATTCGATAACCTCGTAATAAAATACTTTGCACAGTCACACAAAGTTCACTGGCAATTTTGGCAAAAATAGACATTTCTTCACAATCTTTATACTTATACCATAAGTTATTTTGCAAACATTTTATTACATTCTGAATCACACTATCATTTTCAGAAGCACTTTTTATTTCACACAGTTTGATAGCTTTGGGACAGGTATTCTCACATACATAATTCACATGTTCTTCTGTGCCTTTATCAGAATGTTTATTTTGCATTTCAATGGGATGCCTTGACATGTAGTCAGCAGGGTTAGTTTTCCCTGGACCATGTACAATATTAAAGATGTACTGTTGTAAACGCAAACACCAACGCTCAATTCTGGCAGAAGATTTAGCAATCACACTAGAAAACACACTCACTAAGGGTTTATGATCAGTAACAACAGTAAATTTTACACCATACAGATAGAGATGAAAATGTTCTATAGCCCAGCACACAGCAAGAGCTTCTCTCTCTATCTGGGAATAACGACTTTCCACATCACTCAACAATCTAGATGCATACGCAATCACACGGACATATTCATTATCAGTGTCAGATTCTTTCTGGACTAGAACACAACCAAGTCCAACTGGGGAAGCATCTACAATAATTTCAGTACAAAGCTTAGGATCAAAATAAGACATAACAGTATCACTTGTGAGACTATTTTTCAATTCACAAAAAGCTTTTTCACAATTTTCACTCCATATAAAATCAACATTTTGCTTAGTAAGCTCTTGTATAGGTTTAACAATAGTTGAGTAATTAGGTATAAAACGAGACACATAGTTCGACATACCAAGAAAAGATTTAACTTGTTGCTTATCAGAAGGTCTATCAGCCTTGTTTATGGCTTTAACCTTATTTGGATCAGGTGACACACCTTTATCATCAAAAATATTTCCAAAAAACTTTATAGACGATTGAAAAAATGAACACTTTTTCTTATTCAAAGTAGGACCACAGTCTCTTATACGTTGCAACCAGGCTCTTAAATCTTTCTCATGCTTGGCCTCATTTACACTACTGATATAAATATCATCTGAGATGTTTTTGACATCTCTTAAACCGTGCAATGCTTGTTCAATCAAATATTGAATTTTTTCACTAGCAGCATTGACTCCATAATTCAATCTTTTATATCTGTATAATCCAATATGGGTACTAAAAGTAGTAATATGTCTACTGTCAGGGTGTAATTCAATTTGGTGATAACCCTGGTTCAAATCCAACTTGGAAAATACTTTATATCCATTTAAATCATGTATAAGTTCATCAACAGTAGGCATAGGGTGTTTAACCCTTTTTATTGCCTTATTCGCAGCTCGCATATCGACACATAGTCGAATGTTTTCTGGGTCACAAGGTTTAGGAACACATCTAATAGGAGAGACCCATGGCGTAGGACAATTTCCCACACTTTCACAAATGCCTTCATCACACAGTTTAGCAACAGCACTTTCGACTTTTTGACGCATTTTAAGAGGAACTCGTCTGCGCTTTTGATGAACAGGGTTTACAGAATCATCAATATTCAACTTCAATTGGAAGTTTTTCAATTTCCCCAGCCCTTGAAAAATTGAATTATAATCCCTTAAAATATTTTCAGTGAGATCGACTCGATCATTTGATACAGAGTTAATAATTTTCAAAATACCAAGATCACTAGCAGTCTCGAAAGAGCAAACAACCACTTGCATATTTAACAACATAGAATACAGTGTTGATGCATTTGCTACACTTAGAAGTTACAACTGCATGAAATTTCCCCTTTACAGACAAGGGTTTTCTACTTCCATAAGCATAAAGCTTAATATTTGCAGTTTCCAATTTGCATGGCTTACTTGATCTACTTTTTAAATTTTGAAAAGTTTTGTAATCGAGTACATTGACACTTGCACCACTATCTATAAGCATAGAACAGGGCACATTGTTAATTTTCAACTGTACTTTTGCAGGATTATTGTTATTGGAGCAATTACACATTGATCCATTCACTGAGAGAATATATTCATGATTCTCAGAGCTCATTTCACTCAGTTCAGGATCTCTGCAATCATGGTTGGTCTCATTTTGCACTCTGTTCAACTTGGGCTTGTTGAATTTACTATTTGATTCTTTGCAGAATCTAGCAAAATGACCAAACTTGGAACAGTTATAACATCTGCGACCATATGCAGGACACTTTTCTGCATGTGGATACACTCCACCGCAACTGAAACATGATTTCAGTTTTGTATGAAAGGTTTTACCTTTATTACTTTGATGCTGCTTTGTCTGATCTCTAGAATGACTAAAATTGTCGGATGAAATGTACTTTTTCCACTTTCTTTTGTAGGAACTAACTCCACATATTCCCCGGATACTTGACTCACTCTCTATTGCAAACAGTTGATCTTTAGCCAACTCCTTCGCTTTTCCAGTCTCAAGCAATGTTGTGAGATTCATTGACTTTGTGAGAGCTTTCTTTCTTAGTTCTGAAGATAGGCAACCTTGTATAATTTGACTTTTAATCTCAGAATCACGATTTTCTCCAAATTCACAGTTTAATGACATCTTCTTCAATCTCGTACAAAACTGATTCAAACTTTCACCTTCCTCTTGTTTTGAATTTCTGAATATATATTTTTCATATTCGCTGTTTGACCTAGGAACGAAATATGATGTCAGTTTGACTTTTACGTCTGAGAATTTGTCAGAGTCTTCTTTTAATGTTTCATATATACCATAACACTCATCACCCATATAATGCAGTAAAAGATCATTCTTCTTTTCTCTGTCATCTTCGGAATCTTTGAGGTTCATGGCTAACATTAAAACTTCGAAACGCGATAACCATTTTTTCCACCGGGGACCAGCATTTGATAAGTCTTCACAATCAAATGATCTGAAATCTGGTAGATTTGCCATCTTCTAGACTAGGCTATATGTGGGTTAAAAACTTGTAAACAGCATAGACCACTTAGGAATGCAATATACAATTCTGGAATGTTACTTGACTTAGAAGCTGTACAACACTCAGTTGACTCTGGACTTCTGTTAAGTTCCGTAGGTCTTTCCCGTATTCAAGGTTGCACTTAGCTTCCTTTACCACTTAGGTTAACGTTAACCTGTTAACTGTTACCGTTGCTTTATCCTCATCGCCAATGTAAGGTGGTGTGTATACACGCACAACTATATTGCTATTGCAGACTTTATTCACATTCGAAACAGAACACATTCCAGATAGATAAACTTAAAACAGTTAATGCACACAGTACCAACTCATAACAGCTAATGTCCCACAGTACACGTGATAAGTACAGAATTCAGAAGTCACCTTCAGACATGAACGGATATGGGTTAAAGGTCACTATATTAGAGGTAACTAAAAAAGAGTTGAGTTTATTATGCATGGCATGGACCTTTCCCCGACCTTTGACTCTCGGAAAATTCTCCCTATACTTTACCATTGCAAAATTGTCAAGGCTATTTCAAGAGTGCTTTTGCGAGTTGGCGTCTGTAAAATGGGGTATGTGTTTCAAACCATCATTATGATTCATTGCATACAACAATCTGTTTTTTAAAAGTACCGGTAAAGAATTTCAGGCTAGTCTATCACAGCCTAATTTTTATTACTGCAATTAAATTAAAACTCCTAGAAAGACAGAGTGATCATTGAATTATCTGATTTTTATTTAAGTTCCCAAAACACAACTGAAAACTAACGAATAGAGTTCAAAAACGCGAAAACGAGGTAATGTTTACAATCACGCTTGAAAATCTGTCTGAGTGAGAAAAGTGTTTGAGCGAATGCGAAAAGGGGGCATTGTTACGTCACTTTTTGCATCTTGCTGATTGGCCAATGTCACGAAGTAAACAAGGAAGTCCATGCTCGGGGAAAGGTCCATAGAAAAAGTTTTGTGGCCAGAATCTGTTTTTTTTTTCAAATTGGGAGCTGCACTCTGAGGTGACATTTATTCTATGGCGATGTTGTTGGGAATATGGTAGACCAGTTGTTCTTAAACTTTTTGGCCGTGCCCCCTTTTGAAAAATTTTACACACTTCGCGCCCCCCTCTTTTTGCTTTAAAAAAATGTTTTTGTGATGGACAAGTTGTTATATATTAAGATGGCGCCATAACTGAATGTTGGTCTCATAGCGTCATTGCTCAGATTGTTTAGGCATAAAACGCTTCGGAGTACATCTTCGCCATTCACTGTTGTATGTATAAAGCCAAATAGTGGTTGGTCATCATACATTCTCGTTTTTTCGCTCAGTTTTCAATACTTGGCAAAGTCAATCTAATTATTAAGTGAAACTAAACAAGCAATAAACCTATGCTTCAATGTATTTTATGCTTAAACGTTTACATATGTCACGTAAAATTTCAATTAATTGTTGTCGCTAAGGCGTTTGCGATTGCATTTTGTTCAAATCTCCATTGTTTACGTCAGCGTGGCGTGTTATTTGAGCCCTAAAAATCTGGATTTCGATGTTTCTTCTTCTTAAATCCGAAATTTCCCTCAACATATTCATGAGCCGCGAAGACGATTATAATTACTTTTTTTGTTCTTGAATGGAACCATGACACCTCTGAGGAAAACGAGTTAGTTTTTAATAAAATCATCAGCGATGAGATGCTAAAGATAGCATAAAGAAGTGAATCCGTAACTTAAAATTTCTTTATTGTAAAAGTGGCATAATGAAATACTAAAAATAAAACGGAAAACGCCATGAGTTTTGTTTTGGAGTGGACCGCGACAGATTAAAAACACTTTTTTAGACATTGAAAATCTCATAAATTCCTTGTGCGTGCGGCACACCAGTATTGTTCTAAAACTACAGACTTGATATGAATTTTACTCCGAGGGATTGCAGACTTAGGAATATCTGTAACTGTGATATCTTGAAATTAATCAGGTGGCGATAGAGCGGAGTAAGAGTTGCAGGGACAGCTCATATTGGAGAAATTGACAAGAATACAAATCAAAACAAAATGTAATCGACATTTTTATGGTTGCGGATTACCGTGTTATTTTGGAGTACTGGTGCTTTTATTTTATCGACGCAATCGCAGATTTAATTTATCACAATTAAATAAATAAAGCAACCATTTTAAATGAGTATATCAATCATGGATTGAATATTTTATTCAACAGAAAAACCATTACATATCCGTTGAAAAAGTCGGCTCTTTTAACGACTGGCGTAATCTCGAGGACTGACTCAGAAGCCGTACCGCGGGGATTTCATTTCGAGGAATATGTATTTTTCATCTACTAATATACTTTACATGTATTTTAATTGTACTAAATTAAATATAATTTCTGGGATATTATACCAGATCTTTCTAATGACGACAAAGAATTCGCATGAGCGCGCCCCCCAGTTTAAGAACCACTGTGGTAGACGAAGTATCTATGTTTCAAAGTAAATTGACCTTTCGCAAAGTCATTAAAGTTACTGATCTGACACAAGCATTCAAATCCAGATAACTCAAACTCAATTTTCTACTTCAAATGTTTATACTAAAGCCTGCAGTCCCTGATCGTAATTTAAATATTCGATCTATATTTGCAAAGTTGGTGAATCATCAAATTTTATAGTGGATCATATCAGCATGTTTTCAAATGTCCTCCAGATAACCAGTCAAAAGCAGGCAATTATTCCCATATTTCACTTTGTGAAATCTTAAAAAGCAACATACAAGAGTAAGTAATTATAAATACTGAAGACGGGATGTATGCACAAGACCATATTGGCCTAAAACACAAATGTGCGGCATACACCCCTTTTGATATATATAAATTATAATAGGGTAAATCAAATATGTACAATATGGTCCTTTATACAGGCAGTTGTGCAAGGAGGGTGGGTGGGTGTGGTAACAGGGATAAGGGTGGAATGTACAAAACTGTTTGTACAAAGGAGTTTGTTAGACAAAACAACATCTATAAATAGAGACACAACCCAACATGAAACACACTGCATATGAATATAGTAATAAAAAAAAATTAAGAATTTGGATGAATGTACAACACCATTGAGTGATGATACCACATCCTATAAAACGCGGAACTGGTCAAGTTTAAAGGGTGTGTACATATATGGCAGGATTGGGCACACCGCGGCTCGCCAGACTTTTTGTGCGGCTCTTCTCGCTAAAATTAATTATTTTCCAAATTTTAACTAAGAGAAAAACTTTAATGTAAACTCTTTTAATTTATTAAAAGTCGTAAAGAAGTTTTCGTCAATAATTAGGACAAATTATGTTTTAGTATGAAAATCGCTGTAGCGTTGAATTTAAGTCAGTCGGGTCAGCGAATCTTTTGTCACAATGGTCAATGTTTATTGATGCGTCGGCGGTATTGCAGCTTGATTGCGGTTAGTTAGTTTAAGGCAGTGTTCTTCAACCTTTTTTATCGAAGTATACCCCTTACAGTTTTTTAAGAACTTTGTATACCTTACAAATACCAATGTTTATTTAAGGCTCAAATAAACAATAAATTTTAAGCACATATTGTACTGCAATATCATCATGCAATCTAATAGGCTAGTGACCGCTAGTTATAAATTTGTTCGAATAATGTTCGACGTAAATCAAACAAAGTACATCACCAACCCAGCCGAAATCACCAACCCAGACACATGCCCGTATTATCTATATAATTTGTGATGTGACAACGTGCTCACGTCGGTTCTTAGCGTTAATAACATTTTACATTTCATGTGCGCCGCGTTTGCATTGTTGTATCCAATTGAATATTTCATAGGCTGTACACCTTTCGTATACCCTTTATCAGTTGTATACCCAACTTATGCTCTGGTATACACTTGGGTATACCGTATACCCGGTTAAAGAGCATTGGTCTAAGTTACTGTGCGATGTGTCCAAAATTTAAAAAAACGAAAGTACGAAGATGAAAACAGAGTTGTCAGAGTTGCCTTGTTTATTTATTTATTGGTAATAGACTCTTGTGTGAATTTCTTTTCTGTTCATAGTATTTCGATAATATTAATAAATTCACAATTCTGCGGCTCTTTTAAAGTTCTGACTTGCAGCATGCGGCTCTTATACTAAAAATTGTGCCCACCCCTGATATATGGTATGCACAACTCAAGGGCGATAGTGTTATAAGTGGTCTATGGCTGTTCTGGCCAAAATGTGACCCTACAGGTTTTGGTGAAAATGATAAAGTTATGCATCAAATTACTCACTATTGTAAGGTTTTTTTTGAAATTCTGGATTCAGCCAAAAACGATAAAGATTTAAAAAAAATTAATGAAAAACCTATTATGGTTGCATTTCAGCCAGAAGATTAGAAAGGTATAAAAGTACAGTGGGATAGGGAATGATAAGTTATAAAGAGAAGCCATTTTACCATGTCATGGATTTTCCAATGTAAATAAAAAGCTAGCTGCGAGGAAATTGTAACGTCATAGGCACAGATAATAAATTGAACTCAGACGCGGAGGAGAGAGAGAGATTTATTGCCACAAAAACAAAATCAACACTAATATAAACATAAATCAATAACGAAAATATTCCACAGTAATTGATTATTGCTTTGTGCGGGTCGGTGTGCAAGACCGAATAAAGTCATCTAGGCTCCCGACCCTTGTGTATGTGCTATATATAAGTTCATCATAGGTGGATACAAATTAGATTAAATATAAATATATAAAAAATAAATACGAGGAAAAAAGGAAACGAGTCGGCAATTTAATGGTATTATGGAAGTTACTATGGGCAATTTAGGATTTAGAGAGGTCATGTGTTGGTTGAAGCCGGACATGTCCAATGGAAAAATTTTCACGAAAAGCATATTTTTTGTTATTGAACACAGACCGGGAACAAAAATGAATACCAAGGACGAAAAATAATATTATCACAGATTCAGTAATAGACCGAGTGCATGATGTAAAAAAATATCATTACTTGTCGATCTTGTTTATCGATCTTTGTCTGTTTGTCTGTCTGTTAGATGCAAGCGATATCTCAAGAAAGCGGGGTTTAATCTCCACCCAATCCAATTTTGCATGTGCGTTCATCATTTCACGGACCAGATGGCTATTGATTTTGGTAGAGTTATGTCGTATAATTAGGGAGCTATTAATTAATTGGTGTTTGGACACACGGTGTCACTATAGAGTCATGAATCGAAACCGCAGTTTTGATCGATAAGTCTTTGGTCTCCGACCGATACTCTCGTTTGACACCTTAATTAGTTCACGATATAAAAAGGTTATTGAATTAAAAGTGGCTACCAACATGCTTAGGTATTAATACATACTTTTGAAATAGAATAGTAGTTAATATATGATCCACAGTTGAATATGAACAATTAAATATGCAATTATTATTGCAGTTAATCACTTTTTCACAATATATAAAGGTCATTAAATTAATTAACAAATGGGCTACTATCATTTATAAGTATTTATGCATACTTGGAACTAGAATATTAATATACGATCCACAATTAAATATGCAATAACTATGCAGTTCATCAGTAATACCACAATAACTTTCAATGACATAAAAAAGGTAATTACAGTATATTAGGCAGTACTATATGGATCAAGGGAGCAAGATTTTATACTCAATTACATGGAGAAATGAAAATAAAAATGAGCCAATCATATTATGACATGTTTAGCAATAATTCAAAAAATAGAAATATCAATAACAATGGCTTTTAAAGTCGAACATAGAAATCATCAAATTGATGCCAATGAAAGAAAAGAGGACAGCAATTTTATTAGCTATATACATACATGAGTTGGAAAAAAGGGCTATGACCCTCGGTGTGCAGTGTTTATATGAAACAGTTAAATTTATAGTAATTTATATAATGCAGTTTTCAACACAGTTCTAAAGGCATATTAATTAAACTACAGATATTAGGACAAGTTAGAATATTTCAGAAGGAAATATTTTTTCAGTTTCTTACTGAAAACATGCACAGAACTTTTTTTAGTTTCAGGTGGAACATTGCCCCAGACCTGTACACCCATATACTTCAAAGATGTTTTGTCCACCTCAGTGGACACTTGTGGAGTAAAGAAAACCTTGTTTCTTTGAGACCTGGTGCAGTAATTGTGCACTTTTTTTAATGGGGTGAAATAATGTTTAAAAACAGGAGGGACAAGGTCATTTTCATACCGATGCATGAACTTTGCTATTTCTAGCGTATGTATATCAGACAGCTGTAGGAATTTATACTGGTAGTAGAGCTGCAAATTAGTTACACGAACTTTCTCTGCAAATGCCATACATCGTAAAACTTTATTTTGCAAAACATGAACTGGCTGTAAGGAAGACCTTGATGCTGAGCCCCAACTTAGCAGACCATATTGCAGACGTGAGTGAAATAGACTAAAATTTACTAATTTAAGTGTTTTAGATTTCAAAATATGCCTTAACCTGTAAAATATTCCAAGAGTTTGCGATAATTTCTTGGATAACTCGGCAATATGTGGCTTCCAACTCAGTTCGTCATCAATTGTAATTCCCAAATATTTAATGGATTTTGTGTGACTCATTGCGCTAAGAAGTTAGAAATACGCTCGCCACCGCACCCGATTAGTCTGCGTGTATTCGCAGGTTAGAATCCCATGCGGGGATGGCTATGTGCGAGAGGACTGTTGGACTCTCTGCCGCTGTGGGGTGGTTTACATTAGAAAGAGGCATTGTACATAATTGACCTTTGACCCTCCTTGTCAACAGCTCAAAATAGATTGCATATATACCCTAGTGGGCGCAGCTGATTTGACGAACAAATTTCCTGCAGATTTTCGCTTCTCGAGTTTGTTCTCTTTCGTTTCGCTTTGGTCTTCTTCATCTTGATTTATTCGGCAACTAGAGTAAATGAAATCTGAAATGACCTTAGATAAAGAGGCAGAGAAAAAGATTCTAACTGAACCAGGAGATAATTTAAAAATAATATGCCTGGGAGACAGTGCTGTTGGAAAATCCAAGTAAGTTGAACATTGTTTTACTAATCCAGTACGGTACCTGAGTACCGTACCGGTACCGGTATTATTGAAGATTTTGTTTCGGTCATCAAATGCTAATTGGAATCATATGTTTATTTGTTTGGAAAACCAATTGTGAAAATAAAAAAAATATTACTACATTGTATATGGTACTATTGACCAGAAATTTGTTTTACTGAAGAAATTTATATTTGCAGGCTTGTTGAAAGATTTCTGATGGATGGATAGTATCCTTTTATTAATGAATTGTCATATTTTTAAATAATGATTAGTGTAATATATATGATAACAAATATTAACATATATCCCTATAACAAATATACCGGTACCTATTATAAATATTGGGGCCCTGTTCACAGCACGACGGCGTAACACAACCATTTTTGCATACTATGTTATTCCTAACCCTCGCCTGACAACATCATCCAGACTCGCAGACGATCACTCGAAATCGAGCAAGCTATTTCTCTCGTTTACTCGCCGTAACGATCCGAACGATATGAAAGAGTTGGCTGGTGTTGGTGAGTTGGTTATCGTAGCTATACTTTGCTCTATGACCTGATTGTGATGTCGTATTGGCGTAATTTTTGGATGGCAAAGCCAGGTGCAAAAATGGTTGTGCCACACCGAATAGAAGTACTTACATTGTTTAATGTACTTCTGGTAATACTATACTTGTATACAGTGTTTGTCAAAATTATCATTAAATGTGGGTAGTTTACATTCCATTGATCATTTATATTTGCTTGAATTTGGTTTTGTATGTTTTTCCTTAACACATTACTAATATAGCAAACCACAACAATTATCAACATATGCCCTTACACTCTTCAAATATGAGACAAAGTTAAACGGCCAGAAAATTAATATCGGTGAGAAATCTTAAATTTTCACATTGACTGTGTAAAATTAAATTATATATAAAAAAATCTGAAATTACGCTGTACAAGTCTTGTACATCATGTCTTGTTCTACAATAATATTTGTCTTACAATTTAAATGGAAGACCATTTTAAAGTGGTAAAATACTTCTATCGCCTAAAATTAGCTTGAACTTGAAAGTTGTCTCTACCTTAGACTATGAGTAAAGTCTTCTTTCAATAAATTTATACTGCATTTGTGTTTTTTTTAGGATATTTAGATATTTTAAGAACGTTCTTTCAGACGATTTATATAGGGTGAAATAAAAGAGATCATGTACATATATTGATTTCAAAATACCATTCAGTATGTTCACATGGTTAAATTCTAAACGTATAACTCGGTATTTGTGGTATTTTCTGTATAGATTTCTGGGATACTGCTGGACAAGAGAGATTTTCAAGTCTTCATGCATCATACTATCATCAAGCTAGTGCATGTATATTAGTATTTGATGCAACAAGAAAAATTACTTACAAAAACTTAGCAAATTGGTATAAAGAACTCAGACACTATCGACCAAATATTCCCTGTCTTCTTGCCGTAAATAAAATCGATGGTATGAAATTTTTGTTTCATTTCGACTACTGAGAAATTGAAGCTGTCAAGAGCATATAGACTTAATTATAGTTATTGTGCTATTATGGAAATGTGGAATATTTAAGTCATTTTTCAGTTTAAATTGTGTAGGATTTCAAACTAAATTACCACACATCATTAAAGGAGATAGGAATAGGCAGTTGTCAGGATACGCCAGATCACATCGCCTAAAATACAAAAAAATTATGACCATACACTGTTAAACTAGTAATGTCGAAATGATAATTTTTAGAGGACATTGGTGTGACACAAAAAAGTTTTGCTTTCGGAAAGAAACATTCATTACCATTTTATTACGTCTCTGCTGCAAATGGAACAAATGTTGTGAAGGTTTGCTTTTACATTTATGATTCGAGTATTAAATGTTACATGTACTATACACTTTTTGCAAATAGATAATGAGAATTGAAACCAGATTTTTACCTCCCCCCCCAAAAAAAAAAAAACAGAATTAGCATTCAGCAAATACTTTTTTTTCTTACTTCATTTTTGCTGAATATGTAATCTTGTGATTTCAAAAATCTGAAATATTTAATACATTCAGTTTTGAATCTGACAGCATAAAATTATATGTGCTTTTCCATATAAATATTTGCAGATATATTTAGTAACTTTGTTAAAATTTTCAGCTCTTCAGGGATTCCATTAAAGCTGCTTTGTCTTATAAGCAAAATACAACAGATTATATGGATCATGTTTTACAAGAACTTGACGTTAGTATACTCATATTTAAATATATTGTATAGTTTTAAAGATATGTCTTTAGATCACGTAACTGCCTAAAAATCCTTCATAATTTATAAATATATTATAATTTTTTTGTAGAGTATTGTAAATATTTAGATTAGCTTTTTTTAGTTGAAAAATAATTTTGTAATTGATATTTTACACAGAATTTTGATAAACTTGGTGTTAGAGACAGCGATTCAGACTTATCAGAAGATGAGAATGCAGACGGAGATAACGGGATTTCTCAAGATAGAGCAACCAGATCAAAAGGATCCAACTCTTATTCCAATTCAAACACCACCACATGAATATGCAAACTATAGTACAAATTTTATGGCCATGCTTGAAAATCTATTATTTTATAATATGCGAGTAACCTTGGAAATTGTGTAAAATTATTTTAATAAAGTGTACTCTATGGATCATGTTTAACTTGTTATGGATCCTACCAAAGTGATTTCAATGTCATTCTTGGCCAGAATGCCAGAAATGCATAATACTTTCTTATCTTAGTTCAATATTATCTGTTCGCATCTTTAACAATCGCTGTTACAATTCTCATGCTTTCAGCACTTTTGCCAAAGATTTTACAATGGGTTGCATAATTGTTTTGAGTAATTTGTGGAAATAATATGTTTCGTGTTATTTATGTATATTTAGATTGTCTAAATATTAGGAATTACTATTCTGTTATTCAGCTCTTCTGTGAAAATATATATAATTCGCTGTCTTAGTTCAAGGCCTGTTTTGTTAATTAAATTTTAATCTGTATTATTTTTATACTATGTTGTTCTCCTTATTTCTTTTGTAATTATTCTGTATTTACTGTTGCATTGCCTATTTGTTATCAGTTTAGTATTTATTTTTGTTAGCGTAAGGTAGTAAATTATGATATTACAAAAGATATCTGATCATCGTACTTTGTTTCACAGGCGGTGTCAACATCTCTATTGAGATTCAGTTAATGGTTCTAGATTGCTCATATTTGTTGAGTGTGAGCAGTTGTGTGCGTTTTCATTCATTAATAACTAGGGAGGAATATTCTAAAAATGAGTATATAGTCGCAAAAGATTAGATCATTTATTGTATACAGAGATGTGTCATATTCCAATACATGTCTGCACAATTTGAACAAATGTTCAATTGTCAGGCAACTAGCCATGTTCATGATACGGTGGTGAACGGAATAGCCTACTTATATTTTCTTGTTTCTATCGAGGGTTGTAGTTGGCCACCATAGTGAGCTATTCGTCACCAGCTTTTTCTAGCCCCATTTGCGAGTGCCACCGCGTTAAAAGAGCTGGTTGAGTGAAAAAAAGGTCTCCCGTCCGTTTGCCTCGACTTAGGAAATGAGATTTTGCGGGTTGGACCACCTACTCTTCAAAATGTAAAAATAAATGAAAAAGCATTTTTCTGTTTCATACGTAGGAATTTTTCAGACTCTCAAGACTTAAACCCCGCTTACGGTCTTAACTCGGCAATTGGAAACTTAGAACCTCCTTTTAAAAGTTCGCGGCTAAGCCCCTAAATTTGCGATAACCAACGACTAACATACCGGCGATAACAGTCAATCCATGAACGTTTTTGCATCGTCGCTGATCAGTCTCGCTCCCAGTTCTCAAATTTTAAATTTCGGCGCTCAGTATTTCCATAGTTCGGACAGCAAAATAGTACGGTACGGGCTGGTAATTTTATTACTTTATATTGTGTTATCTACGATATAAAGCCAAGTAACGGTTTCGATTTTAAGTAACGGTAATGATACACGGTACGGTACGGTACCGGTACGGCTGTACGGTATAGATAGGTACCGTACAATACTGATGTCTGATGTAGACTTTCTATATACCGCAAGATTAGATACGATTTTCATATTTATCCCGGGGGAGAGGAAAGCCGATAGTATAGCTTAAACATAGGGCGAACCACTGTCGTTTGGCCGTGGAAATGCACGATATAATGATTAATGAGCTGGTGAATTTTTTGTTAAAGGAACAGAAAATGTCTGAATGTACATTTTTATAACAAAATGGCAAATGCTGAAATGGGTGTATCAAAAAAGGAAATAAAAATCATGTGTGATCAATTCGCTGGTGAAGAAAATAAAAACTGAATTGTTAAAAAATGAAAAGAACTACCGGTACCTGGTAACGCAAAACACAGTAAAAGAAGCAAGTATGGTTCATCTCACAGTAAAAAAAAAATTTCTTTTACAAAAGTCTGAAAGTGAAAAAGTTGTGTAAACTAATTTAGTAATTACTTAAGCTGGGTGTAACAAAAAGAGAGACTACCGGTACCTTACGAACAACTACAGAACGGAACTGTAGGAAAACCCGTAAACTCTTGATGTTTTACTGAAATATTAAACTAAACGAAATACCATGGCCTGCGGTGGCGAAGAGTCCAGCAATCTTCTCGGACATGATTATTTCTCACAAGATTCGAATTTAGTGCGATGGCTAGAATATTCCTACCGCTTACCACAATGTGCAACACTGCTGCACTTTCGTATGTGAGCCTGCCAGTGCAGCAGTGGCAGTTCAATTCTTTAGACTTCTCTAACATATTACAGTATTAATTCTCCCCATACAGTCTTAGTTTAAATGTTTTGCGAAATAAATTGTGCCATAACCAGTGCTAAAAATAAATACAATGCAATGAATATTTTTGTGCTTGACAGAATATACATACATTGCATATTTCTATATTACTCCCGACAAGATGGGTAAATCAAAATATAATACAGAAAAGAAACACCGCAGAGAAAGGTCCAGTAGTCGGGAACAACGTCGAGACAAAGAACGTAGTTATAAAAAGAAGAAGTCTAAATCACGAAAACGATCACGGTCATTGTCCCATTCATCATCAATTTCCAGGAGCCCCTCTGGGTCTGACCGCTCCAGAGATGGAGATAAAAAAGAAAAAGAATTTAGTTTGGAAAAAGAAAAGAGAAGAATAAAAGAGGAGAAAAAAATGCAGAAAGAAATTAGGAAAGCTCTTGAAACTCCAGAAGAAAAACGAGAGAGAAGAATCGCTAAAAAAGAAGAAAAAGAGAGGAAAAGAAGAGAGAAAATGGGATGGGACAAAGAATACATGGGATATACTAATACAGACAATCCATTCGGTGACAGCAAGTTGCTCGACACTTTTGTTTGGCATAAGAAACTTGATCAACAAGGTCTGAAAAATCTATCTGTAATAGAGAAAAAGAAAATCATGCATCAAAAACAAGATGTAAACAAAGTCGAGCTTGCAAAAGTCAAGCAACAACGATTGGAACGAGAACGTGAGCGACATCAACGCGATGAAGAAATGGAAATAATTCAAAGAGAAAAAGAAGCGGATCATTTTAAAGTTTGGGAAGAACAAGAAGATAAGTTTCATCTGGAACAAGCGAAGCTTCGGTCCCGTATTAGAATAAAAGATGGCAGAGCTAAGCCAATTGATTTACTAGCAAAATATGCCAGTAGTGCAGAAAATATGGATGATCTATCTGGAATAGAAATGCAGGAACCGTATACATATCTAAATGGCTTAACTATTTTTGATCTTGAAGATTTGCTTGCTGATATTAAAATATATATGGAATTGGAACAAAGTAAAAATATAGATTTCTGGCGTGATATGACTGTAATAACGGAAGAAGAACTCCAAAAATTGAAACGAATTGCTGTGAAAGAGCAGGAACAAAGTACAAGTGGAATACAAGCTCGGGAATCTCGTAGAGAAGGTGTCAATAGAGCTGTGGCGGACGATGTAGCGAATATTTTTCACAGCAAAAGTCATTCTCAATTAGTTGCTTTACACAAGAGTATGACGGAACGAATAAAAGCTGGTGGCTCCAGTCTTGATGTTGGGTATTGGGAATCCCTTTTGTCACAGCTAAAAGCATACATGGCAAAAGCAAGACTCCGAGATAGCCATCAAGAGTTGTTAAAAAGTAAATTATATAAACTTAAACTGGATCAACTTGGAGCCGATGCTGTTGAGAATACTTTGTTCCCTATTAAACCAGAAACTGATCCTGAAGCTGGAAAAGCAGAGGAAGAAGATGACAGTGAAAAGGAAGAAGAGAAACAAGAGGAAACGATGACGGAAGAAGATTGGGAGAACAGATTTATGGAGGAATACGAAGCAGGGGGATTCAGTCCAAAACTGCTAAGATCTGGGGACATTCCACCTGACACTATTATTATTGATGCTGCAGAAGCAGCTCTCACATTAGAAGGCAGAAGAAAACTTTTGAAAAAGACTGGAGATGCATCGACAGGAACTGAGGATGCTTTTGTTCGTCACGTTAAGGAAGGAATGGATAATGCTGCAGATGAAGATGAAGCGGGAGCTACATTTGCAGTTGAGGCTCAAATATCTCAGCAGGTTTATTTATGGGCAGACAAATATCGGCCCAGGAAACCAAGGTTTTTCAACCGTGTTCACACCGGGTTTGAATGGAACAAATACAATCAAACCCATTATGATTTTGATAATCCACCCCCTAAAATCGTTCAAGGATACAAATTTAACATTTTTTATCCTGATTTGATAAATAAAAGTGAAGCCCCAACATACACAATCACTCCAACTGGAGACAAAGACTTCGCTATTTTACGTTTTTCTTCTGGCCCTCCATATGAAGATATAGCCTTTAAAATAGTAAATCGGGAATGGGAATATTCCCACAAACATGGGTTTCGTTGCCAGTTCATAAATAGTATCTTCCAATTGTGGTTTCATTTTAAAAGATACAGATATCGTCGATAATATTTGTTTTCTGACTTTGGAAATTATTCATTGTCAATCATGGGATTATAAAATTAGACTAATCATGGTTTTACAATTCCACGAGAATCGTAAATGGTCCAGCTATGTTGTATTTTCAGGGAGATCCACTTTAAATCTCTTTTTTTTCAAAAATTGATTGTGTACCTCATAAGCCGGTGTGCCCAATGTATGGATCAGGAAGTGCTTTATGCTTCATCATTGCCTATAGACTATAGCAGGGCTACTCAACTATTTTCAACAAAGGTCCGTTTAGAAAACGAAAAAAAATTTGTTATAAAATTTTTTCGATGATTTATTCAAGTAAAACCAATCTCCAATATGTTATTTGGAAATGTACAGTTAATTCTGTAAATTTTTCAGATCATGATTTTCTTGTAATGTGAATAGAATTTGTTCAAAAAATCGCAAAGTTCATTACAACTTATTTGGTCATCACTACATTTTCTGTGAGAATGTAATAAACTGAATTATCTCTGTTCATTCCAAGAAGTTTGATGTTTTCATTCCAAGTGACCTTATTAAGAATTACACAGAGCAGCGGTTCCCAAACTATGGGAGCGACCCACCGGTGGGTCGCAAAAGGAATCTTAGTGGGTCGTGAAAAGATGTAGGAAGCTTTGGTTAATTATACTGGTTATTAGGATCGATGGCGACTTGAATACGTAAATCTTCAAAAAAACAAAAGAAATTAAATTGAATTTAAATTCTAATCTGTGAAAGTTTCCTTTTTACGATCTTCTCACAAGAACAAAAATTTGCTACACAAAGAATGACCATGTGGCTTTTTTACGCATAGCAGTTTTGTACACTGTGCAGCACTTCTTACTGTGTTTTCCCGAAATTTAGACAGAATTTAGATATATTTTCTTTTGAAGAATAACACTATGTTTTTTTTTGGAAGAGATTTTCTGTATTCATTTATCAAAAATAAAATTACATTGTAGAAAATCACAAGATTTTCTACTAAACATTATATGAAAACCGGCATTCATTGTTTTTATTTGTATTTCCTATACAAAAATCAAGTGACAAATATCACAATTGTGATATCACACAATCTTGAATAGTGGTGTGACCTTCACCTTACCTCAGGCCAATGAACTTTTTTTCTCCCACACATTTTAAATTTATTTTAAGAGTGGGGTTTAATTAAAATCATTTTGAAAATTTAAATTATTATCCTATTTTCATTTCCTTTTTTTCTTTCTTCATTTCGAGGAAACACGGTAGTTTGTGATGATTAGCCATTGCTTTGTTCTGTGTTATGTCATAAAAAAACAAAATTAAATTAAAGTTAAGTGGGTCGCCATAAGCTGTGGTAATAAATAGTGGGTCCCAACTCTAAAAAGTTTGGGAACCACTGACATAGAGTGTTTTTCAGTTCATTTTGGATTAGTTCAATTTCCAAAAATTTCTATCATTCTGCAATTCTGTCCTGTTTGATGATACAACACTGCCATAGTAATGCATGTCCATCTCAAATATCATTATTTAAGCATATTTAGATCAGGTCCAGGGTGACCCAAAAACAGAACCCATGAATATTGTAACTACCGTATACTTCGAAAATAGAGAAAATTTATTTAATATAATTGTAACTATAAGTTTCAGTAATCTTGTATGCTTTGCACAAAAGTTATGCTCTATCTAAAATATGTTCCAAATGGCCGAGGTTCTGTTTTTTGGGACCTGTACTATCGCAGCTCAATTCATTAGGCCTTATTGAATTCATGCCATTTTGCAAGAAACGTTGCATCGTTTATTTTTTGAGGTTTTCTAATATTTGATATTGTTTATTTCTAGTCTTTGGACTAATGTATTTTGATGATTGCTTTGTGACATAGAAATAAACAAATATGAATTTGAACAACAATTCCAAGTTCAAAGATTTGGAGAAATTTTTGGCAAAAGTTGATGATGTGGGTGAGTTGTTGGTCTCTGTCTTGCCTTACATAGAAGTCGGGTAATTTGATAAGTTATCGTTAATAAACTGGATGCGTATGCTATATCCTAGTAGCTATATGCGCGTAAAGGGATGATTGTTTTCCCAGAATTTGGTATAAAGCCTTGTAACACTATAAAATATTCAAGTTATCTCCTATTTACAGAAAGTATTGTCAAAGGCTTCACATCAAAAGATGCAGATAAACAAAGTAGTGCAATGACGAAAGCAGATGAACTTTTGAACAAAGAATCTTCAACAGGATTCAACAAAACCATCATCAATAAGGATGCGTATAAAAATGAACATCCGGTATGTTGGACAAAACTATAAGATGTTTTACAGTACTGAATATTAGAACCCTCTCATTTGCATTATCTATTTTTGTATCCCACGAGTATTTGCAGATTGAAACTTTTGTTGGATGAATATATGTGAGACTAGCAAAACTCATGCGTGATGATTTATGCGCGTTGATTTTTTTTTTGCAAAAAATTTTTGAGCAAACCAATTCTGCTGCGAATCTCCTATTTTCTACGGTCACTCAAACCAATTTGCCTGATATTTTTATTTATCCTAACCCATAACAACTTGTCAACAAATTTTGTCTGCTAACAAGTGCTATGCGTAAATCAATCATTTTCCAAAAAAGTTCTCTTTTGAAACTGCCCTTGGTTTATGTAACTGCTGGTCTTTGAGGGCTTCGTTCTGTGTCCAGGACCATGCATCTGTAAGAACTAACAGGTCGATTACGCTACCGACATGCATAGGTATTTTTCGTTCATGTCATTTGGGTATGCCTTTTTGTTGCCTTCTTTACCTCTACGAAAAAATATGAAATTGCCATCCATCTGCTGATAGGTTGTGATTATTTTCAATAATGTTTACTTATGGTAAAATTATTGTTCACATTTTTGTGTTTATCAGAATGGAGGAATACATGCAGGACCAACCATGTCTCAGGACCAATTCCTCAACGCTTTGGAAGCTGATGCAAATACGAGAGCACAAGCTAGAAGAGAGAGGCATAAGAAAGCGAATGAAATGAAAATGAAGGCAAATGATGCTTTCAAAAATGAAGAATACAAAACCGCACTATCATTGTATAGTGAAGCTATAACCGTTGCAAAGGATCTTACTCCGTTATATACAAATCGTGCGATGACTCATATCAAACTTCAACAATATGATGAGGCGATCGCTGACTGCGAAATGGCTCTTCGGGTTAGTATAATAAAGTGTTTTTCAAAAAGATTTACTTCTGAGAAAAAGATTTTTTAATGTTTTATATTTTCGAAATACATTTTTTTTGTATACAAGGCTTATTCACGCCTTTTTGGTCTGAACAAGGCTTGAACTAGCAGCCAATGATATCTGACAATATGTATGAAGCAACTATTATTTGAAAGGTGTCTCATAGTGGCATGTCTTCATTAGGGGGGGAGGGGATTTTAATGCATGAGTCTAATGCAGGGGTGAGCAACTTCTCTAGTCGGCGGGCCAGATGTGGGAAAATGAAGTCCTCGGTGGGCCGGATTATAACATGAGTAGTATTCAATATCTTAATCACATTCGCTAATGCAAGAAAGAACGTTATAAATCACATTTAAAGTGAAGTTTGAACTTTAAAAAATAGAGACCCATAACACATAAGGAATTTATCATAATGTACTAAAAGTATAATAATGTACGGTGATATCATGATGTATTGGCCCGGGGGCTGTATGTTGCCCACCCTGGTCTAATGCATAGTTAATTGTAATGCTTTACCCTAGTCCAGTGGTTCCCAACCAACCGCCTATTTTGAAACTCTATATTCCTCCCTCACTTCGCATAAAGAATTCAATCTTCAGATCCTTATCTGGTGTTATGCACGAGTCGTTTACCTGCTCTTGTACAATTCAAGTAGTTTATAATCTGTGTATAAATAAGTATTATAGTAATAAAGAAAAACTAAAGAATATTAGTGATACTACAGCAAATATTAAGCGGAATCCCTCCCTAAGAAGAACAAAATTCTTCCATGTCGAGGAATTTCCACCCGACTTGAAAGCACTGCACTAGGCCATTGCGTCGCCGGTAAATGTTGAAACCTTACTTTACGAATTACACTGTCCTAACTGGTATCAAGTTTACCACTTTGCAAATTATTTTTTGTTATCTGCCCTTTAATCCTCAGTAATGAGAACATCAAATTTTAATTAGGTGGAATCAACCTGGATCAAGGCCTATGTTGTCAAAGGAAATGCATTAAAATTGCAAAAGAAATATCCGGAAGCAATCGAAACGTATAAAGAAATACTAACGCATAATAAAGACAAAATGAAATTGGTTCAAGGTAATGGAATAAAAAATTAATATCCTGCATTATTTATAATATAATAATATATCACCTGGGGAATCATCATTTATCGTACATAATTTATTATGTTTTCATCTCACTCCTTCTTCGGTTTAAATTGCTGTTTTCTTGCGCTCTGAATCATTTGGTAGAGTTGTGTTGTTCGAGGGGGAAGGCTGTCAGACATTGTTTTGATGAAGATGAATCGTTTCGAAGATATAGAATCTGATGAAGGTGGGATTTTGGAAAAAATATAAATTTAATCAAAATTCCAAAGAATGGCATTCGAAGAAATTAACTTCAGTAAAGTTTGTCATTAATTCTGCGAAATATGTGTCATTCTGTGATATAGGATTTTAGTAAAATTTTTTAATGTAAAATTTGGCAAATTTTAATTTTACTGAATAGGGAGCCAAAATGAAATGACCTGTTTATTGCAAGTAGGGGTGGGCATTTCGAATAGAATATTCGAATCGGTTCAGAGCTAAACTTCAAATCGTCGCCATTTTGTTTTTATCTTTTTGCTAATGGTCTAGGTGAATTCCCCAAGTTTTTTTCATTGGAGTCATATTTTTTCAACGAAATTCTAACATCTGACTATTTCCTGTAGTGAGTTATTCTGTGTGAACGCTCAGTAATCTATCTGAGTGAATATGGCCCTCGAACTTGGTTATGTTTTTTTATTCTGATCAAATCTCAAGTTTTGGTGAAATTATTTTCCGTCCCACTCTTGGAAATATTTTAACTTTCAGATTATGTCAGTCAAGCTGAGGAAGAGCAAAGGGTTGAAGAACTAGAACAAAAAGCAAAGAAAAGCATCGAAGAAAATGTTCCGGCTGCTGAAGGTGTTGCCAAGTTAATTCATACCATTGGCACAAGGCTTGAAATCAAACATGAGTCTGAAGAAAATATGTTTAGATATTATGCTGGAGGTTTCAGAATGTTGTCTGCACAGTTAAAAGATGGTGAGATGTTCTTTGAGATTTTTTATTTGGTTATTTTTTATTCAACATCTTTTTTTTATTTGGGTTGACTATCAAGAAATTAATGACTATTTGTTGCTAAGATTTATATATTTATCCTGACGGAAAGGAAAGTCAATAAGAGGACATACTGGGATTTGTCAACCAGTTACCTGTTTTGAATGCATGGACTTAATGGTGGAGAAGGCCGTAACCGACCAGCGGCCATGTGAACCATTCTGTGGCGACTGTGAGATTGGATTTTTGTTATTCGAACTCGCGAACTTCGCTTTTGTACAGTTTAGTTAGTTGCGATGATTTGTGCATAAATAAGTTATTAGCAAATACAAAAATCTAATCTACGGGAGAAATACTCCCTGGTTGGAAAACTTTATTTTATAGCAGTGGTTCTCAACCAGGAGTCCGCGGACCCCCGGTGGTCCGCAAAGCATTTCCAGGAGGTCCGCGATCAAATTAAGACTTTTTGGAAATTATTTGCAGTTTAATATCATTTTTTTTTGTAGTACGCTCGAACAATTGCTGCCTATGACAATGTGACAATAGCCTACAAAAGCTATTTTGATTTATCTCCCATAAACCTATTGTCACAAATACGAGTTATGACATCACAATGATAAATACGAGAACGCAGCTACAGTGATTTCAAGGGCATGTGGTCACTGGTCACATTCTCATTTGAATCGAAGAAGCTAGTTGTCTCTACAGCCAGTGTGTAACAAAGGAGATTGTGTTGCTTTCTAAAACCTAACCAGCATGGCTAAATCAAAAAAGTACTCGGAAAGTTATCTTGAAATGGTGTGTCCTCAGTGTCAGAGGGTGGCAAGGAAAAACCGCAATGCCTTTTATGTTGTGTTATACTCAGCATCTTTCTCACAAATCACTTTCTCAGTTTTGGTGCGCCATTTTGCTGTCGTACTCAAAAGTATCGATGGAAGCATTACATGTTATTGTTTCATTCGCCTCCACTTACCTTTGTGAAAATGGATTTTCTGCTCTCGTTCATATCAAATCCAAGCCTCGTAACCAACTAAACGTCGAAGACGATATGCGTCTATCGTTATCAAAACACGACCACATATTTCAAGACTTGCTTCTGATATGCAACAGCAGAAATCCCGTTGAGTGTATTCGATTTGACAAAATAAATAAAATGTCCACTAGTTTGGTGTAATTTTTGACTTGGTTAAATCTGTATGGAACATTAGGTTGCTGTTTAAGCTATAAACTAAATTTCAAATAAAAAAAACTTTTGAGGGGTTCGCGACTGCTTTGAGAGCACCAGAAGGGTCCGCAGAGACCAAAAGGTTGAGAACCACAGCTTTATAGGATGTTTATAGGTGACATTAATTCCACTTTGTGCAAGTTTTGAGTAATTTTAATCATATTTGACTTGCTTGAAACTAGGCTTCGAACAACTTTTCTTTGAATGAGTTATTATGTTTCAAAATATTTTACTATTTTGTTTTATAAATTTCAGATAACTCCAGGACGATATTCCGGACAGAAGGTGGATTCAAGATACTTGCAGCAAAACCATATTTGCGAAAAACACTCCTGGGGAAAGCTTTCGCTTACGGTCAACAATCTGATTTTGCGTGTTCTGTACTTCACACAATACAATCTGCATGTTCAAAATGCCCAGAGAATACAACTGCATTTCTTCAAGAACAATTAATGTCCGAGGTAAGGTGTTGATGACTAAATATTTAGATAAATGGAGAAGTTTTATAATAGACTTAAATTCAGATAATTGTGATTATTGCTTTTGTGATATTAATTTAATCTGTGTTACGATTTTCGTTTGTTTTCCAATTTATGACAACAAACAACAGAGTTAATCATGCAAAGACTAATTTTTCTTGTGACTGATGCAGATGGCAGAATTTAGAGAATCTTTGAAAATTTGTTTTTATCCCCAATGTTCTTCTAAAAATCTAAAATGTAGTCAATATGGTCATCGATTATCTGTCCTGGTCCATGAACGGCTACAGATTTATTTAGGTTATAGATATTCAGCAATCATTTTTTTTAGTTTTATTTTATGCTTTAGTCAATAGAAATCCAATTATAGAATCATCAGTGTTAAGTGTATATGTTTCTCAGAAATAATATATTAACAAAGTTTGTATCAATAAAATTGAGACATATTTCACCATGGAATCCACCAAGCTGAAACATGACCTTGACATGGACTGGTAACTGGACGAGAGGCCGTGGTTTTCCATAATTTTTAGGTCTCATTGATTTTCATCTCCTTCGAGATAAATGTGAAAATCCTTATTTCTCTAGTCTCTTAAATTTTTTTCTTTTTGTCTATAGATGATGATGAACCTAATGGAAAGTGACGACAAGCAAGTGAAACGTGCTGCAATATGTTGTTTTATCGAGTTTGCGTCAAATGATAAAATGATCGACACTGTGTTGGATATCTTCAAAGCTACATGGTAATTTCTTTTATAATGTTTCTTAGACACAACAAATGGGTCGTTTTGTCACTTCATATTTTTCTTCTCATTGACGTGTAAAATTGCTTTTCTCATTAACTACTGGATCAATTGCTTTGACATTTTCAGTGGTTAAAGATTGTTGTTGTCGCTAAAAGTCTCACTTACTTTCTGTGGGCTCTATCACCTCTATGACTTTCATTTTGAATTTTTATGTGATGAAATCATCAAAATAAAAAAATTGTCGTGGTTTTGTGAGTACATTTCAACAATATCGGGCTGAAGACTACCGGTACTGTAAGATTTGATGCTACTCTGTTTTGGTCGCTGTGTTCATATATTTGAATTTTGAGCATCTCTCTCTTGTTTTGATTGGAATCAATTTTAGAGTAATAATATTCTAACTAGTTTGGCTACTTTTCAGGTTAACAGCAAATCTTCTAAGCAAAGACACAACCAAGTTGAAGTTATTAGAGGAAGGAATTTTGTGCCTAAATCGATATTCTGAGAATAAAAGGTTGCATTGCTAGTTTCATTTTTTCATCACTTGTATTCATATTTCGTGTTCATGATTTTTTCGACATTGCTTTTTTGTAAAAAGTTCTTACGTCTGTGAAAAATTCGCTCATTCCTACAACTAATATATTTTAAAATTTGAGTACTTGAAAGATAGGAAAAGATACTAAAAGGCTATTACTATTTCTTTTCTATGAATTTTATGGAGCCCGATGTATAATTCATGGGTTTACTTTCGTATTACTGTACATTTGAAACAATTGCTTATGACGTTCAGTCATTTCTTCTATTATTTTACTGACATTGAGGTGGCCATATTAAAACATCACGTCCATATACCGTATTTTATGTACCATAAGGCGAACCGATTTATAAGGCGCACTGTGGATAAGTTGCATAGATTGGGTTTTTGGCTCTCTTGTTTTCAATGAATTTTGTAAATTTTTTTCAGCTTTTATACTGAATAATACTCAATATCATTTCCAATGTTCACTTACAGGTTTCGACAAGATGTTGTGCCAGAATTCGATGCATTGGTGCTTCAAGTTTTCAAAAAGTTTATTGTAAGTTAATGTAACTCTATTATACCATCATTTAAATAAATTAACAATTTGGACTTTATAATTATGTGAAGTTTTTTCACGAATTATTTTACTGATTATAGCACTATTTTGAATCAAGTATTATTTTTGATAGAAACATGGCTGTGCTTCTCATGTTTTCTGTATGATATATACACTGATTACTGAATCTATTTTTAGAATGTGCTTTTGATGAGTATAGTAGAATTATTCAGCAGTAAAATCATACATGACAGTACTTTTGCTTCATAATATTCTACATGAATCATGAAATGGTAATGATAATTTAATTTTACTAAATTCTTTGAACATACATATGATGTGGTCATATTACAGGCATTCAAATTATTGTAATAATAGCGTAATTTCGGATTTCAATGAATATATCTTCAAAATTCTGTGAACTTTTTATTTCACTCTCTCAATTTTTCGCTCTGTTATAAATAAGAGACAACATGAAGTCTGAAGATAATACATTTATTTCAACAGGATGAAATAGCTCATAATCGAAGGAAAGAAATACCAAAATGTATTCAATGTTTATGTACGTTTGCAAAAAATAAAATGATATGTCAACAAGTATCATCTAATGATGCTTTCTGGGAAAGTCTACTTTCATGTATTGTAAGTGTATTTGATTATTCCTTACCAGTAATATGTCATTGGTACATTTTGAAAAAAAATTTTTTGTGCAAGTCACTTTTTGTAGTATAATGAAATATTTAGATATCAACTCAGAAACTTACAAACATAAACATATTATTTCATATTACTTTTTGTCACTTTTAGGGATTTTATTAGAAACTTATTAAATTATGTGGAAATTTTCGCACGAAATGGTTTATTTTTACGAGGTGGAGATATGTCATACAACTGGGTCTGACAAGACAAGTCCTGCTCGTTCCTGTTATAATTTTTATTAGTTATGTGGATGCACTATATTTTGAGATCGTTACATAGCATTATTGCTGCCGATTTTAATTGTTACTGTCAATCTCTTTATAAATATGTTATTATGTGTAATATAAAACATAGGAACTTTTGCAACATCATGGTTGTACTTTCTTGCATATATGTTTTTTAATACTATATTTCTTACCATTACGAGACGAATAAACATACATAATATACGTCAAACATATTTGGGATCATTTGTAGAATAAGTCATTTCTCTTTTTGTTTTTATAGGATCGTTGTATACATGTAATGGAACCCAGTTCATACAGAGATGATATTCTATCAAAAATGATGGATATTACAGAGATGCTATTGCTTCATTCCAATGATTCTACAAGTAAAATTTCACCAAGATTAGCAGTTTGTATTCAACCTCTCCTCAATCATGGAAAAGAACATCTTGTAGTGGTAATGCTTATCTTTCTCTTATTTCTGAAATTTTAGTTCAAACTTGAGCTGTATTTGAAACCACATTTAATAACTTTCAAAGTAATGTATTTGAGTAAAACTCATAAATTTGTGACACAAAATAGAACTGTTTAGAGATGCATTTATAGATTTTTTGTCTCTCGTTTCCACATCTTGACCCTATAACAATCTCATTGACAAGAAGCCTTTAATTCACAAGGAGCAACTAATTATGAAGCATCGTGCTTGTCTGGTTTCAAGCTTGCATTTTGTGCGGGATAATTATTTGCAAGAGGATTGCTGGACTCATAGTCGCAGGGTGGTTCCGATACCCGCTGTTCGTTTGCTGCTTTCTCCACCAACCTTTCCTCTCCCCAGACATGAAAATCCGAGATCATACCTCATAGATAGCCAACTTCATGAAAAACTAAGTTGAAAATAGCATGGTTTAAGTGGAATTGATGGGCCACGTTGGACATTTCCTTCAATGACTTTTTCATACTTTTTTTGTGTTCTTTTTTGTTATTTGTCCACTATTGATTTATAATAATATTCAGAAAACCATGACTGTTATTACGAGATGTTTGGAACGATCGAAGGAAGCTGTGAAAAGTTTTCAGTCGTCTTCTGGATTGGTGTTCATTAAAAAGATTTATAAATCTATGAAGGTAAAAAGGTTTCACAGTTATTGAACATGACCTATGGATGGATTTGTTGTGTTGTTGTTGAGTTTTTCTTCTTTTCCTTGTTGTTGTTGTGGAAAACTACATTTTTTCAACTACTGGGCGAATGGTTTAAAATTTTTAATGGTCAGGTTGTTGTTGTTGTTGCTAGCTATTTTCAGGATACTAATTTTATTTATTTTGAAAATATTTGTGGGCTATATGACATGAAAAAATAATTTAAAGTGCACCTTCTGTCCTGTGAAATACGGTGCTTGAAAATTTATTGATTGATTTGCATCTAATTAAATTGACTTTACTTATTTTTTTATCTGTTGCAGAGTGAAGACATTATTATGAGAACATATGCATTGAAGATTATGTGTCACTGTGGACAGACTGATCCCACTCTCCTCAAAAATGTACCAAAATTTGATAAAAGTATGTTTTTTGATGTTTTTGCTTCTATTTTCACTTGCCGTATATATGTGTATAAACAAAATTAAAAATTATATATTCATGTTTTATCAGGATATAATGCCATCAGAAAAATTCTGAGTTTGGAAGAAAATGAAGCTGATGTCATGAATCAGGGAATGGCTGCACTTTTATTAGGATGTTTGTCACAGGTAGGGTATATTGACTATAGCTGAATAAAAAGTTTGTTATATATACCATATTTTATGGACCATTAGGAGCACTGTTAATAAATTGCTTAGATTGGGTTTTTATTCATACATAACGGCACACCGGGCTATAAGACGCAGCAGTTTTTAAGAGGTTATATACGGCGGTGTGTATGTTAAACAATAGGAGCAGTACTGGTTTTGAATGTAGGCAATAAGGCATATAGCACTACCTTATCAAGACGTTAGGCACACCGGCTTATAAAGCACTCGATTAACTTTTGTCAAAAAAATAGGGTTTAATGCGCGCCTTATGGTGCTTAAAATTCGGTATTCGTGATATAGGACCATATCTGATTTCAGAACATTGTTTTCATCGCTGAGTTTTTTCAGCTTGTCCGCTTCGTTAGTTTTCTATTTGAATGTCAGCAAGCAGATAAAAACTGGAAATGAACAACACAGAGGAACCAATGACCTTTCTGTTTTTATTGTTTTAGATGTGATCGACCGGAAAATATATTGATTTATGTCACTTTCCACTTCAACTTGCCCCCATTTAGAATGTATTCCATATTCAAAATTATTTTCTCACAATGTATTCGGAATAGTGAAATATTTGATTTTAGGCCGACCCTGCTTCCAGCCGTAGCAAACACTGCCATAGCTAAAGCGAATTTTCAGCAAATGAGGTTACCATTAACTTTATCATAACTGTAATCAGTATATCTGATCTTGAAATCTAATTTTGAATCGATAGTTACCTGGTGGAATGGATCCTTTGGTTGATTACAAAGAGGAAGCCTCCAATGTTGTTAAACATATGTTGGAATTGTGCAGATATTCAAAAAATAACAATACAAGATACAACTGTGTCATTGCTGTCGGAAAAATGGCAAGCAATGATGGAAGGTATGGCTACAAACAAGTAGAAGAAACAATAATTTTATTTTGTGTAATTCTCTTTAATAATGTATACATGGGAAGAATTTTGGGTCATGGGATCAACCGTTAGATTTTTTTGATTTGGTGAATGTGTTTCTCTGTTCATAAACCCTACCTCTGCATACTAGTTTTATTAAGTGTAATCATCATTATTGGGATTAAAGCTAGTTCATGCATCTGAAACAAATTACTGGCTAACTAATTCAATACCTGTCATGGACTGGTAACTAGGAGAGAGGCATTGGTTTGCCATATCATTAAGCTATCCTATTACCTTTCCTCTCCCCCGGTTTTAATATGTAAATCCTATCCTATTCAAGACTTGTAAATGGTATCAACTTGATTGAATTATGTACACTTGTGATAAGTTGAACTAAATTATTGAAGTTAATATCTGAACTTTGTTTTACAGGATACTTGGGGAAGTTCGAAGATTCGATGGAATTAACATATTGTCCAAAAATAAACCACCCCATGTTTAGTGATTTTTTTTATTGTGTGTTATTAATTTTTTACTTCAAATATTTATTTTAGTACAATGTTTTGTGTAGTGTTTTTTAGTTTTATACTTGTGTACGTTTGGTACTTAATATTTGTGATGTAGTGTCACTGTATAATTCTGTATTTAAAATCAAATTGTTCCACAAAATATAGATTCTATTTCAGTTTCTACATCAATGTTCAGACGTTGGTATTGGTTTGATAGAGGAACAGGGTAGATAAATTTTATGAATCATTCGTGTTGCTTCGCAGAGGCCTGAGTGCATGACCTCAACCTCGTCCATCATATTTATGTTGTTGTGTTGTAAATGAAACATGATCCTTCCTCGTTGGTTGGGCACAGAGATTGACACAGGCATTGGATGGGGGTTCGTCAAAACTAAGATTCACAAATCAGGGTGCGCGGTTCAAAAAGTTTGGAAAACTCTGCGTTAGAGCAACGATTCCCAATTGAGGAGGAATTTTGATTTTCTATATTAAATTGTATTTGGTGTAGTTTAACAAATATTATTTAGTATTATTGTGATACGTACTCATGGATATTTTATAAAACTAAGCAAACTGTGCAAAAGCCAGAGCACAGACTAACTAGCTAAAGATTGAACAAATACAAATGAAGAGAAAAAAAAAAAAATTTATTGAAAAAGGTTGGGAACCACTGCACTATGACAGTTCAGTTTTGGTGAACTAGTATTAAGTGAGCCAGTCTCACCTAAACTTATCCTACCTTACGATTCTCTCATTCAAATTTGTTCGTAATTCTAAATAAGGCCATTATGGTGGAATGATAAACAAGAGTCAGTTACTCAAGTGAGCACCTCAAGCTCCACAAAGTTTTCATGGCGCTCCCGAAGTCTGCGCATCAAAAGAGTGCACAGCCTGAACGATGCCTGGTACACATACTATGTTCAGGATGTGCGCCATCTTGGTGCACATACTTCTAGAGGTTCGTTTTTGTGAGTTGCAAACGCAAATCTTGAATCTCGGTGAACATGTGTCGATACATTTCTTAGACTGACAGGAATTCAGCTCTCATAGCCCAAAATCGATAGGAAATTGTCAAATGTTTTATGTTCTAAATTGTTTTGACGAGCAGGTGAGTAGCAACTATTAGTTAAACCATGTCGCTGATGCCAACAGTCAGAGCTACACGCACAGATTCAAATAAATGTTCTCTAATACAGCAAGAAGCAAATCTTGCAGTGTGAGGAATCGTTGCCAAGTAATCCACTAATGGTAATCTCGTATTTGACCGACAGACACACAATGCAGAAATTCCTGATTTTATTACCAACAATATAAAAATACATTACAAGAATGATTTATAAAGACACTATAGGTCCCACCAACTAGTCCAAAAGAATTTTGCTAGTAACTGACTAATGTTTAGAAACATTGAGTGTAACTGCACAATTCTTAGAAACGTTTATATGAAATACTGAAAAATAAACAATAATGCTTTAAAACTTTCAAATCATCCATCTGCACCCCTTGCATGTCGGAAATGAAAATTAACTACATAATCGGTACTCGTTCTTTGCACTGAAATTGCAAAAGGTTCGAATGGATGAAAAGTGAAAGCTACTAATCTTCTTGATGACGTGGCGGGATGAGATCCTCCTTTACCTGCATAAATGCGGAACTTCAGTATTCCCGAATCTCGAGCGTAAAACCTGTTTGAAATTGAATCGTTGTGATAAAAAGCTACCAGCACTAGAACTAACTTTCTGGAAAACCAAAGTGATACCATTTTTCATATAAAATTGAAATGGAGTATGAAATATCAGTGTTGGGAGGTATTATTGATACACATCAATGAGTTTGTCATCCTTCAAACTGACTGGACTAAATGACTCAACTACCCACCAGAAAGACTGAGATAATTTTGAGTGAGCTTTTGAAATCATAAAAAAATTCTGGTGAAATCTAGGATTTACCATGTTGATTATGTATTGAAAGAATCTGACATTCACTAGCTGGTTTTCAGTTATAACTAGAAATGTGTTGTGTTGATGCAAAGATAAATGTTGCCAAAATATAATATATATGATTAAATTAGGATTGATTATCAAAATAAAGGGGGTTTACCAAAAGATGGTTTTAAGTTAGAAAGTTATAAGTATTGTTGTCAGTGTTCAGTATCTATTCGCTGTTGACCCAGACTGGACTGTTCATTCAAAACAGCAGCAACTCTGTTTGTTTTTTGACTCATGATCATGGTGACTCAACTGACCTCAGGACGCTGACCTGACTCCAGGCTTAAAACCCATTATGGACTAACATCATCACTTGATCAAAGTCAAAATCATATTGAAAATTTTTGTATTCCCCCTATTTGGCAAACAAATGTTCCATTGAATGTACAGAACATTCATAAAGCCTTGTTATATTTGGCTTTGGAGGCAGTTTTATTTTTATATTTATTTTACTTTGTTTAATATCCCTCTATATCAGAGGCAAACTGCGGCCCGCGAACTAATTTTTTGCGGCCCGCGAAAGACCTGACTTTCAATGCATAAAACAAAAATCGATTCTAAATTTATTATTGCCTCCACGCGGATTTACCGTATGTGGTAACCCACGCGGATTTATGTGGTAACGAGTGCTGCTGTACGGCGCTTGTTTTGTGATAAATAGCTTTAAGTCAATTTTAATTTTTAAAATTTAAAAATGTCTGGCGAATGGAGGGAACTTGGCGACGAAGATTAATTATTCCAAAGTGCTTGGAGGGGGAAAAAATTCTTCCTTGCACATTCCAAAATGAATTTACTCGATATGCCTAGTCAGCATCGCAGTTCTTAAGGGATTTAATGTTAAACGTCATTACGAATTGTGTTATTGCAAATACGAAATCTGATCTGGGGCTGCGCCAAATTACAAAAAGGCCACATACACGTCTCATTGTGGCAGGCTTTTAACACAGGAATAGAAAGTGCAAGTGTGCCATAATTTGAAATTTATTGTGGCGATTGCTCGAAGGTGGAAATGATGGGGCCCGCACGCTACCGGAAATGTGTATATTCCGCCCGCAAGTACATAAAGTTTGCCAACCACTGCTCTATATGCCCATCATTAGTTGCACAAAGAACTTTATAGAGTTTTTTTCAACTTATAAAGACCGTGTAAATCTGAATAAAATTGACAATCAATTTCAAACCTTATGGGATGATCTCCACAGCTTTTAGGACGTTCGAGTGATGATATCCATTTGTCATCATAACTAAACAAAGAAAGGTCCAAATACGGACTACAATTATGTGACTGCGCTGGTACTGGTAGTTGTGCAAGAAGTCTTTTGATTGCTTCTGTATGACCACCATATTTTGCATTTATGATTGTTTCTTTGAATCTGAAAAGAAATACAAAAAACAAAATAATTAATTTTTTCAAACCCTTTCCAATTTTTGTTTATGATGATAAGATGTGATCTACATATTTATGCCAGGGGTGAAGAAAGCCAAAAAGAGGGCTTAACCATATATGGCAAACCATGGCCTGTCGTCCAGTTGCCTGTCCATGTCGGGTACCACATTAGTTAGCGAGTTATTTATTTGTGATGCATGGACTTGATAGTGGAGAAAGTCGTAATGAACTAGTGGTCACGTAAACTCCTCTTACGGCAAAAGTCGTAATAAACCAGTGGTTACGTAAACCCCCCTTACGGCGGCAGGGAGTCCAGCAATCCCTTGCACAGAATGATCATCACATGACGCTCTGGAGAATTACTATGATAGTATAAACTTTAGCAGTCTCTGTAAATTACGGTACTCAATTTGTAGAATGTTCAAAAATCAAAAAATATTGATATTACCTCTTTTGTATTTTGAGTGTGTGTACATTAGCTGCGGCTGCTGCTTGTTGTTGCCAAGCACCGCCTGGTTGTCCAGGGTTACCAGTGTCTGCTGGAGATCCTGAAGTCCACACAAACAATAAATATATATATTAAACCACTCCTACTGCTTACCCACATGGTAAAGCTATAACGATAAAAAAGAAACGAGAATATCGGTCAGAGACCGAAGACTTATGGATTGAAAGTTAGGGAATCCCCCAAAACAGCGCTCTTACTCCATAGTGACACCTTGTGTCCCATCACTAATTAATTAATAACTCGCCCAAAATCAATAGGCATCTGGTCCGAGATATGACGAATGCACATGCAAAATTTGGAGCAGATTCAATCTCGCTTTCGTGAGATATCGCGTGCATTTAACAGACAGACAGACAGACAAATACCTATCAACATACTTACCGATTAAAATCGATAAGTAATTACCTGGAGGCCTGAATAAATCAGGATGACGTTCAAAGATGGATAAAAGATCACATGACGTATTTTCGTATACTGCAAGTACCTTGGCATCGGGTATATTATATGTAACAAAAAATGATGGCTGAGCTCCAGGTTCTTGTACTCGTGAACTCACAACATCTTCACTTGCATACTATATATAAAATAAAACAAGATAAGCTACACTCAAATATATGGTTATGAAGGTCAAAACGAAGTAGCATCAGATCTTTTACAGTACCTACTGGTAGTCTGACCATGAGATCGCTGAAATTCAGTCACAGAACCACTTCACGCTGCGCATTTTAAATTTTGATGACATCTTCGTACACAAAAAACAAATTTTACTGAGCCCACAGAAATTCTTGAAATAAATAAAAGTAAGTAATAGCCTTCTAGAGAGAAAAACAATGTTTAACCACAGATAATTTCAAAGTTAATGAGATTATAATTTTAGGATTTATTAGAGAAATTTTCAATAATGTAGAAATAAAAAAATATATACATATCCTCTGGGCCCCTGAATTTTTTTTTTTGATAAAATCGGATATTTGAGTACCCTCTGAAAACATTTTCAGATGATTTGTTAAATTGTAATAAACTTTTTGTAATGAAAAAGGTTTTCAGATAATTTTAATATTTCTAAATACATGATGATCGCTATTGAATGGGTACAAAATTTACCTATGGAGTTTAGCATTTACGATATTGTTACAGCACATTAGAATACTATTGAGAAGCACATCCAGAATAGAAATTCTGAATTAGAAAGATATTGAGAAACGTTCAGCACAATTTTACCCAACTTTTTTAAAATAAAAATGGTAATTCAGTCAAGACAACATAATTATTTCAACTTTCATTTAAATATCATTTTGTAAATTGTCAATATCTAATAATCACCTTAATTAAAAGATGGTTCTCATCTAGCAACTGCATTTTCCACATCCTGAGAGAACATAAAAATTCAAAATGTTGATGAAAACGACGAACATGTTCTCTCCCTTGCTTTTCTGCTTGCTTGTATAAATGCACAAGAATCCTTGAATAAAAATGGTCAAAAATTAGAAAATGTTGGAAAAATCTGATTTCATATCCACGTTATATTTAACTAATTGAGTCAGGCAGTAGTTTATTTTTACACACGCTGAAAATACACATTGACATGCAGAATAAAGAAAGATAATTGAGTAACATGTAACCTTTATTTTAAACCAGTAATGGACATTGAGCAGCGTCACCTATGAGGAAGTCTAACATTGAATTATACTAAGGAAAAAAAGTCAAACATAAAATACTAAAAGACGGAAGAGACCCGATATCCGAGTGTCGTTCGTTACAATGGAAGCGAATGGCTCCAGACAAGGCAGGCAGGGAAACCATAGCAACCACAGTTTATTGAAATCTTAAAATCATTTTCCTCCCCACCTGTGCTTTAATGAATTGATGGGTTTCTCCGCATAAGGCATTCTCAGTGCTTCTTCTGCTGCTGGATCTCGCAAGTTTGATAAAACAAACTGATCATCATCAAAGCAAAATCGTCCAATTGTATTTGTTTCTATCAACTCACCATCATTTGTTACCTGTGCAATCATTTAATATTGAAAATGCTATATATTATTGCACTAAATATCACAAAAAATATACGCTGTTTATAAAGTAACTTATATCTTTTCTTCAGTTTCACAATAGAACTGTTAATTCACAAAATAAACCTTAATTCAAGATTGTACTGTGACCTAATTGTAAGTTTTGTTTGAGTGGTTCGAGACATTTTATTTCAATACATAAAATTCATCTTCATTCAGTGCTCTCTCTCCACAAACACAAATTACATTCATTTAGCTTAAATTAGAAGCGCAGAAATTTACACTTGATCACTTTCCGCTGTGACATAAGTACACCGTATCATTCACTCATAAGCCTGACAATACAATATATTTAAAAAGTTCTATTACTGCAATTGTATAGTTACCTGAAATATGTATATAGTCTGATGCTGAACTGAAAGTATAGCAAGAGTGTTTCGATACAGATAAAGTCCTTGGTTGTGAGAAGGAAATATTTTGTCACAGCTGTAACAAATATTAACAAAGAACTGTTAAAATCTTGTAAACACAGAAAAAACTCGACAATGTGGTACATCATGCTAACCCTCAAGAATACCCTGATTACCCTTTCAGACTCGAATCCAGTTGGGGATAATTATGTACAAAAAGATTGGACTCCTTGTTGCCTAGGGTAGTTTACGGAACCGCTGGTCAGTTACAGCTTCCTCCACCATCAAGACAATGCATCTGAAAACAAACAACTGGCTAACCAATCCCACACCTGACGAGAGGCCGTGGTTCGCGATATGATTAAGTCATCTTATCGTCTTCCCTCTCCCCCAGGATAAATATGTAAATTATTCTATCCTAAGGTGATGGCTCAGTCATTAGAGCATTGGACCGAGTCATGTTGACATTCAAGGACAAAGATTTCTGATTGAACCCCCATGCCTCACATAGGATATAATCAATCATGTGGGCTATGCCAAGCACAAGAGATTTCTGCCCTTTCATAAGTAATGGCTGTTTATCTAGCTCCTTTTTTTGGAGAGGATGTGTGAAAATATATAACATAACTTCAAAGGTTAGATGTGAGTGAATCAAATAAAATAAAACAGCAACAATGGAAGCCATAATCTATGTTATCACATTTCATGATCAAAGTTGATATGAAATATTTTAGTCCAAGGGTGGGCAACATACGTTCCGCGGGCCGGCCCACGACGAGATTTTGACCGGCCCGCTGACTGTACATCAGTACATTATGATATTACATTATTACACTTTTAGTACATTATGATAAATTTATTATGTGTTTTTTGGTCTCTATTTTTTGTAAATTTTAACTTCACTTTAAACGCGATTTATAATTTTCTTCCTTGCATCAGCAAATAAATATGTGATTAACCTGTTCGACACTCTTTATCGAGCCCAATTTCGTATACCAATTTTTATTCATGTCAAACGACCCCCAAAATTTACCCAATATACAATAATTATATACCATTGGAAAGGTCTTTTAGAGTACTATACGCTAGATGTCACTGGAGGACCGTAAACTAAAACACCTCTTTCAAGAGGTCTCTCGTAACGTCAAAAAATAACAAAAATATTTACACTCTCTCATTCTATCAGCTGTTGGACGTGTATAGCTATTGAAAAGCGCAAATGTGACTATACAGTTGACTGCACATTGGTTTTCTCTTTCATATTATACTAAACGCTTTTCGTTAGCGCGTGTCGTTGAAGCGTTTTGGAAATTTTCCGTTTGAGAAGTCACCACATCGAATCAGGCCAGGCTAAGCTTGATAGATCGATCGGTTGTTTGTTTGTGCTTTATCGCGTTGAAAGCTTTTGTGAGTCATAATAAAACATTTATTATGAATCATAAAAGCTTATAATCGTGAGACAAGGAGAATTTGCGAGATAAAACGCCTATGTGAACTAACTTTTTTTCGGTGAGGCAGTTGCGATCAAACGACTCGATATTTTTATAACTTCCTGACGTTGTGAGATGTCCACTCTCCTATGTTATGTAGCATATAAAAGGACCTTCAAAATAAGACCTTATCATACTAGCTTTTGTTATTGGTTAGCGCGCAACGCCAAGGTTTATTGAATTATTTTCTTGCTGTGCGACGTTTTTCTATCGCAGCGGGAAGTACACTCGTGAAATGTAAGCGATATTTTATTACTTCCAAATGTCATATAACGTTCATTCTTATATTGCTGGGTAGGAAATGAGCTATTCTTCCAAACAAGACCATAACAAACATTCCAGACCTCATGGTTTACACACAGCGTCTGAAATTGCGCTAATGCACCGATTCGCACAGAACAGGTTAAGATATTGCACACTATTCATGTAATAATCCGGACCACCGAGGACTTCATTTTCCCACATCTGGCCCGCCGGCTAGCAAAGTTGCCCACCCCTGTTTTAGTCTGTGAGTCATGAGAAAACACTAGAAATTGCCATACGTTTTTTCTTTCAATGGGGGATAATCTATGAATGCCTTATTCAAAGTTAAACACATAAAGCTTGGGTATACATGAATGAATCCAATTTACAGAAATGAATAATAACAATATCTTCAACATACTTGAATTCCCGACTGAAGCATAAAACTCCAGTCTTTATGTTTACTACATGCAGAGTATAATTTTCCAGTGGTGAACGTGGGTTAGGACTAATACTCTCATTGTTTGTATAAATATCTGAAAAGGCTGGTCTTGGCTCCTGTCTTGTGTGACATGCGGCAGATACAATAACGTAACGAGAATCTTCCGTAAACAAACTGCATTCTCTGAATATTAATTCAAGTGATTACAAAAATTTAATAATGAGCAACAGCTTGAATACAAAATATTGTATTGGGATTCCCCGCCGAAAGCCCTTGGCCCCCAAGTGGGCCCCAGCGTGGTTGGAGGGGGGCCACAATGCTAGGCGCAAAACATCTTTTTCCTTCACAAAAAAACGCTAGGTTATTTCACAGGGTGTTTTCACTTTGTTGAGAATGAATTGTTTGAATATAATGGGATTTGGAATACACTAATCAAAATAATACTATACATACCACTGGAATGATGAACAATGGGCCATGAGTGCTAAAAGCCTGAAAAGGTTGGAAACCACTGAACTATAGACTTTTGAAACTATCATATATATAGCCTAAAGAAATAATATTCATTAAAAATTGCAAACAAGTGCTTTGTTATAACTCCAACATGATTCCAATAAAAGAACTTTTTTTATTCGAGAAAATGTCACATTGCTAGCAAAATTCATGAAACAAAGATGAATTAAATAAGACAATCTATATTTCAGTTTAAGCCCATTTCAAAATTAGTAGGTTTCTTCTCATTGACTTTGCCATGAATATCGGAAAAGTAAGTCATTAAATTATTCTATCCAAATTTATCCATTGTATTGATATCAAATTTGTCCAATCAAATCTGAATATGGCATTTGAAAACCGTAAAAAATGTATGATGAAATAAACTGTATACAAATAATAAACATACCTATTTAAATGTTGACCTTCTGTTGCCACGGGTACTAAATGTTTTCGCTTGAAAAACGTTGCAAATAATTGCTCTTTCACTCTGTCATAAAAAGCTTTTATTGCTGGATTTTGTAAACGACTTGATTTTTCATGCATGACATCACTGGATACTGATGAAAGAAGATTTTCTGCAGCATCACAGCCTGAAAACCATGAAAAGAATAGAATTTACATATTTATCCTGAGAGAGAGGAAAGGTGGCTCAATCTATGGCGAGTCAGATCCTCATGTCGAATATGAGATTAGTTAGCCAGGTATTTGTTTCAGATGGATGAATCTGAATAAATTATTCAATTATAGAGATAAGTTTCTTTTGTGTGTTAATATATTCCAAATAAACACAGAAAAGGGTTATTCAATTACAAAACTACCCACAAAAAAACAAAAATAGCGCATCAAAGTATAGCTACAATCGCTCAAAATGACATCAGCGCCGACGATGACCCCCTTACTAATGCCAACGATCTCATATTGGGATTGTTGGGGTGAGAAAACTAGTGAAATAGCTTGCTGGACTTCGGGTAATCTTCTGCACATTTTGGACGACCATTCGTATACATCGGGTGAAGTAATTTTTTGATGACGTAGTCATGTGGGGGTTAGAAATGACATATGCAAAAACTGTTACGCCATGCCCACTGGAAGTTATGAAACTGCACGAGACCCAAAAAAAGTTAGCATTGGTTTGATGCCCAATATTTTATAATTCAATTTACATTTATAGAACCAATAGGTAATTAAATATATTTACAACCTTTGAATTCAAATATTTCCACTGATGTTTGATCAGCTGAAAATGCAAGAAAATGTCGTCCATCTGGTGAAAACTTTCTTAGAAAACATGGTGGCTTCTCAACATTTACTACAGTAAAATTTGGAAATATATTTTTGTAAAAATCTCTCGTCACATGCCATGGAGTTCCAGGCTTTAACTTGTGTATTTCACGTTGCTGGATTCTGAAATTTTCAAATACAGTTTGTATTACAGTATTAAGATAGTATTTTCAGATTTTGGCTAAAAATGGCAAAGGCCCAAATGCTTTCAAATAGTTCAAAACACACTGATGCAATATTTTCAATATGTACAATATTTTCATTCTGAATTGAACTTCATAAAGTATATTACTTAACAGTGCAAGTAAATCAATGTACTGATGTAATATAACTTGTAGATAAGTGTGATGAACACAAAGTAACAGAGTCCCTACCGTACCTGTGAAAAACATTCTGATTTCTTATACGTCTGCGAACAATATCTAATTTCCGTTCAACGCCATCTACTTTTCTCCTCTTTCTGTCAGACGCATCTGGAACCTGCATATCAAACCTCCTTGGGGCGGTGCAGAGAACTCCAACGGGAAGTGCAAAGTGTAAAAAACGCTTTTCCCCTTCGGGAATTTCCCTTTTTGAAATGAGTCAGAATCACGCATTCGTTACGTTATCTCGTGACACAGTGCGTACCGTGGCTACGTCACTACGTTCGAGTTGATTTTCTTGTCCGGCCGACACTCGACCGTGTCTGGTCGGTTCTGTCGTGTTAAGTTAATATTGCAGATGAACAGTTGTGGGTCATGGGATGCTTTCCGAGTAAATGGACAGATATAGAAGAGTGTTGCTTTGTCCATGGTGATATACCAATTAAAATACAACACAAAGGCAGAATGTCCGTCGCACAAATGGATTATGAAATCAGAAGTAAAAGAAACGCAGTTCAACCATATTCTTGTAGTCAACAACCCAGAAGAATGAGCATCGATATATCAGATTTGGGTCGATTTAAAGCTACGAGCGAGAGAGCATCTTCCAGTGTATCAGATGATATATTGCCAAACTTAAAAAAGATGAATAATAGAAGAGTGAGCATAGCTAGTGAAGAGTCTACAGAAAGATATGAGTTTGATACAAATTCAATTCCTGACATTAAATTATCTGATGCGCCTATTGTGAAATTGAAAAGTATTCTCAAAAATTGATTGAACATTAAAAATCTATTATGCCATTAAAAACAGGAATTCCTATAGAAAAATAAATGCAGAGGCGCATTGGTACCGATAACTGTCTAATTATTCACCTATAATACAGTAATATTTCACTTATCCCAACCCTAAACCAGTTTATATTATCATACTGTCATATGCACTTTATCAAGAAGTATATTTTTGAAATCAACTTTTTAACCAATACGGTTTTACTGCCAAAGTACCATACAACTCTAGTGAATAGCATGAGTTAAAATAGTAGAATTTTCATATATTCTCAAAATGTTTTTGTGGTGCTACCTTATCTAACTGTCTGAACTCGTAATAATATGATATATCCCTTCGATTATGTTTTACGAACAATGGCACGCTAAATTAACAAGTATTTAATCAGACTTTGACTTGCAATTTCAAACAGTGTAGCTCAGTTTGTGTTGCAAACATTGGATTTGATTACTTATTTTGTTGTAATTGTACATTTGTTTTAAACAGCAGTTGGGTTTCAGTTTATGTTTAAAGTAATTCTGAGGTTGAAAACTCTGGTATTATGTTACAATTGCTTCTGTGCTTTGGCAGATTCCTTTCTTATAGTAGTTTGTTGAGTTTGAGAAATTAGCTACAAGCTTTTTTGGCAAGAGTCTTTATAATTAGGCAATATTGTTTTAATAGCATAGTCAGGCGACGATTTTTAAAGATGAAAATATACAATATTACAGTGGACAAATTAGAAAAGATTTATCAAAAAATGGCTATTTTTATATTATAAGGTTATTTATCTCACGGCTAATAGTACATCTAGTAATGTCAATGTTGAAAATTCTGTATATCTGTGACTGCTTCATCTATCACTGTTAATTCATGGAATCCTAATATTTTATAATAGATTCTTGATATATCATACTATTTCTATATTAGTGATTGATATCACCATGTTTGGATTTGGGAAAAAGCAGTCATTGGATGGTAAGTAAAGTCAGCTTGGTAATAGGAATTGAAATTGTGATATCACTACAATAAACTACTTTTACAGACTCAATATTTCAACTTCGATTTACTGCGAAGCAATTGGAAAAATCAGCAAGCAAATGTGAAAAAGCTCAAAATGTTGAAAAAAGGAAAGTCATAAAGGTGGAATTTAATTTTGATTGTAAAACATAAAATTCAAGCTTTTAAAGTTTTACTCACTCAAGAGTAGAGTGTCTACTGAAATGTATAGAGCTGCCAAGGGGTTTCAAACCTTTCTCCTTTACCCTGTTTTGGAACCCTTTCCTCCCCACCCATGCATAAAAACTATATCTTTAATAGATCTCTAGCTAGTGTTATGCACAAGTCACTCTCCCGCTTACCGGTAAGTATTTTTTAATGTGTGAATAAATAAGTATGTATTATAGTAATAATGAGGAATGTTGGTAATACTACAGCAAATAAAAAGTTGAAACTTCATATATATTTCATGTAGAATTGAAAAGCTAATTGTGATTATGCAGGATGTGGCTGTTCAGAAATTGTTTCTTTTTGAAATCACAGTACAAACATTCATTTTTGACAGGCAATCAGTGAAAAAAGATTAGATTTTGCACGTCTGTATGCAGAGAATGCAATAAGGTAATATACATTCTATTCAATAAATTCATAAACAGTGAGTTGGTATATACGTTGGTGCAGGAAGTTTAACCGGTAAGCCGGTTACTTGCAAGCTTTATCACAAAATGCATTTTCTTACTTTATTAGCTTCTATTTCATTCCAGAAAGAAAAATGAAAGTTTAAATTACCTTAGACTTGCATCAAGGCTAGATGCTGTACAATCAAGAATTAAAACAGCTCAATCAATGAATCAAGTAAGTATCGAAATGGACGTAAGATGTGCATTGGAAGTTTCATTTGTACACAATTTATCACTGATAAACCTAATTATTATTTAGATAACAAAACAAATGACAGGAGTTGTAGCTGGGCTTGACAAAGCTATGAAGTCTATGAATTTAGAACAGATATCACAAATTATGGAGAAATTTGAATCACAGTTTGAAGATTTGGATGTTCACTCAAAGGTGATTTAATTTTGTTTTCTTTTGAAATCATTCCAGATGGTTTTTCATCTACTGAAATATCTGCGAATTTTGACAGACTAATATAATATATTGACTAATTTGCCAGGTTTTGGAAGATTCAATGGGATCCGCAACAACAGTCTCAACGCCACAATCACAAGTAGATGCATTAATACAACAAGTTGCCGATGAAAATGGCTTGGAAATGATATCTCAGGTCGATCAAGCTCCCATTGGTGAAGGCTCCCTCAGCTCGCAAGCACAGGCTTCAACTTCTGCTGATGCAGATTTAGAAAGAAGGTACGTTTTTCAAGATACTGATATTGCAGGAAATTGCCAGATTTCAAAGGTCTTTCAGAAGTTATTTCATTTCTATTAAGTTATTTCAAAGACTATGACCAGAAACTAGGACATGGTTGCTAAATGATAGGGATAAATCTGTATGAAAAATGATCGTTCTTTGATGTGTTCAGGTTCGGTATCTCAGTATACAAGGCACAATACCAACAACCATATGTGGGTGCAGTCTGTATAATTACAGCTAGCTTAGACTGAATGTGTAAAATCGGTGATGCAAACAGTATTTAATTAACACAAGCTTTTCTTTTTGCAGATTACGGGCGATGAGAAACTAAAATTTGACAACAATAAACTTACTGTTTCATTTGTACAACTACAAGAATTGGCTGTGATTCCGTCCATGTAAGATGAACTGCTGGCCGATATTTATAGGAAATATATGACTAATTGCGTATGTATTCCACAGCTCCAATCATGGCGCTCTTCTGCAACCTAAATTCTTCCCATTTCTATCAACTAGAAGTAATGAGTGACTCTGGAGTAGGCTGTTCGTGCTTTTTACCCTGATATTAGCATCCACGAGGTGGCTAAGAGAGTGTCAATTGAAGTCAGATACGACCCCTGTCATTCATTACCTAGAGAAATTTCCCAGTATGCCAATATGCACTTTTGCTACTAATTTACTGCACATGTGTTTTATGTATAGTCCTGGGCCACGAGGCCACATTTATAAATGAACTCGTACGTATTTAGTAGAATTCTGTATTAAAATAAAATAAAAGTAACAATATAGAAAGGGAAAGATGATCGTACATATTTAAAGAAAGTGAGAAGGGATCTACTATTATCAGTCAATAATCAAATGAAAATGCTTGGATGTGAAATGACTATCAATAAAGTATATATCCATTAATACCGCACACAATTGGGTATGAAAGTCTCCGACTCTGCGCAAGTGGTTCTGCAAGCTGAGTTTTGCAGCTTCCTTTTGATAGATTTAACCAATGACTATATCGTTATAATGTCACAGTGATAGGAGATATAGTGTGAATAACATGTTTACACATTACTTGATTCATCACTCTCAAGAATATCAGTGTCTTCCTCACTTTCCTGACTTGTATCATCGGTTTCAGCACTTTCGAATAAAGATAAGAGATGATTCAAACGATCTTCTACTTCCGATGATGTTCGCTTTATCTCTTCAGCAATACTTTCAATCATGTTATTGTTTGTGCTTTGTTTCTGGTAAGATGTTATAAGGATTTCATCCATTTCTCTTGTCCAAGGAACTGGTGTAACAGTTTTTGTTTTACCTCCATATTTGGATGCTGCCTGGATGGTTTCTTTGGGGTTTTCTGATGATTTTTCTTTAGAACTTCCTCCGTGGCAACCTGTCTTAGACTCCTTGGTGTTCTTTTCTACTTCTAAAACATTAGAAACAGGTATTCGATCTCCCATTTGTTGTTGACCTTCAGAAGCAGAATCTACTTTGCTTGCTCCACTCCCTGCTGCATTTTCTTCTTGTATGTGAAGTGCAGTTTTGCCAGTAGGTGTTTTAGGGACGGAGAGAATATCAGTATGTGATGATTTTAAAGGTGATAGAGGTGAATGACTAAATGTGTTCGATCTCGTATTGTCCAATCTCATTCCAGTGGGCGTGTGAGGCCTCAATAGGACATCCCCTTTCTGACATCCTTCTGTAATACGCTTGAAAGGACTACTAGAGAGAGCATCTTCGCTGATAACTGTTATGTCAGGAGGAACAGAGCTTGGAGGTGGTTTATCATCTGCTGGTTTGCAAGCTTCATCTTCTTGCATGTCTTCAGTCATAGCTTCCTCACTTTCGTAATCAGTGTTAAATAAATCTTCTTCATCATCTGCATCTGCGCTTGTAATATCCGGAAAGATATTCTCCTTGTTTTCTGATAAAGCTGCAACTTTTGATGGTGATTTCTCATTTTCAGTAGGACTAAGAGATAGTCTTCTTTTCTTTGGCTTTTTCAAGTTACTTTCAACAGGCGGTGCGTTATCTGGTACTGATAACAATGTTACATTTTCGAATTGGTTTATTGTTGGATCTTTTAGCAGCTCTTCTGTCAGATCAACCTCTTCAAAATCTTCATCGTAATAAATTTTTGGAGGATGGCTGTCGTTGAAGAAAGTGATAAATTCGTCTTGTAAATATGGATAACCTTTTAAAAGGCCTAATATAGATTGCATCATTTCTTCTTCCCTATACAGCGCTGTTCCTGCAACAGTATGAAATACATTCAAAATTTTTTCCATTGTATCTTGATCATCACTAAATTGAATCTCCAATTGTCTTAAGAATTTTCTAGCTCTTGAATATACTTGTTGTTCGGCACCCATTCCACATTCCTGTGCTTGCTCAGGCATTAGAAATGGAGCAAATCCCTGTATAAGATCTGGCCAATCTTGCAGTAAATTAGAAATTTCAATGTATAAGTCTATTGGTGAGCGCGTACCGTCGCTGAATTTAATCAATGTCTCTGTGAAACTTTTGAATATATCAGGGTGGTCTTTGAGAGCTACTTGCACTCTTTCATGAAATCCAGCTGCAAAGATTCTCTCTTTTTCCATTCTACAGGGATCTAGTTGAACTATGCTATCTTCCTCCAAGGTTCGTATTGTTTTAGCAGTTGATCTTAGTCGTCTCAAATCCCTTGAGCTTCCTTTGTATTTTTTACCTGGAAATTTTGGATGAACTTTACGAAGATATCCACCTACGGGTAGAGAACTGAACCCATTACTAGTTTTCGCAATCTTCATTCGCACTGGTTTTGATCGTTCTTCTTCAACTTGATTGTCGTAAACCTCATCATGCTCTGAAATATCATCATCGTCTCCGCTTTCAGCCGTAGCAACGGCATTTTCTTCAGTTTCGGAATCTTTTTCATCTTCTTCTTCTGATGATGAAGCAGTCTGTGGTTCACAAACAGACATTGCTTCCATAGATTTGCCTCTTGATACAGATTTACTTTGAAAATTTGATGAAAGATTTGTTGGGTCGTTGGATTGTGATATTCCTGGTTTAGAAGATTCCTCATTGGAACAACTTTTATCAGATTCTAATTTCTCATCTTTATCAATTACTGCAGTTGAGATAGACTTGGTTACAACAATTGTTGGTTTTTCATTCAAAGCTAATTGTAAATTTTCAGAAACATCCGGAATGAAGGTTCCTATTTGGTGTGAGTCAATGTTATTATCAGAAGCAAGCCCTTCAATATTAACTTTTTTAGAGGTGGGTACACATTCTTCAACTGCATTAGACTCTAGTGTGGCCTGAGGTAAATCAACCATGTCAACCACATCACTATTCCCTTTATTACCAGTAACAGAAGACATGTTGGTCAAAACTGAGTTTGAAACTGTATCTTTCACATTTATATTGCTTATTTCTTGTGAAATTGCTATATCAGTATCCCTTGGCTTTGGCAATATTTTCCTCGGAGAAGTACTAATCTTGGTTTGTGAACTATTTATCTTAGTAATTTGTGGATCGACTGGTATGTAAGGAACCATAATCGCCCTAATAGGAGATGGTGTAACCTGGCATTGTGTATTAAGAGAGAGATGAGCAGGAATTTGCTTCAACGTTGATGCTTGATCTCTAGATAAGCTTTTAGATTTTGCATGGGGAGTAGAATGTTTAACGCCTGGGCCAAAATCACTAGCTTCACTATAGGAATATTCTGAACTTGAGTCTTCCGGTGGAAGCATAGGTTTTAGAGCAATCAACCAATTTGGAAGTACGCCCTTCATATTGATAGGTTTTTTAACAGTGTCTTTGTTTATAAATTTGACATCTTTTTTCGGTTGAGGCAGTATGCTACAGCTGTGAAATTTCCTTATAGGATTAAAGTTGTCTCTTTGATTTCGACAATATATAACATTTTTCACTCTTGATCGAAGTTGTTTTTCAGTTTTTGTTGGCAGCATATGCTCACTTATAAGTTCATACATATTGGGCAGGTCCGCCATTTCAGCCATACCCATAGCTAGTAAACAATCTTCAGATTTCCGGAAGTGCAATTTTTGAGTTAAGCATTTGTCTGAAGGAGCAGAGAATGGTAAAAGTTCTTTATACATAAATACAGTGCTGTTGCCTAGGACTTCTGCAACTGCCATGGGAATTGAAACAAGGCCTTTTACTCGTTCCATTCTAAGTAATCTCACACTTGGTTCAGACAAAGGAATATTTGTTTTTATCAGTTCTATGGCATCAGGTAGAATCCACGGCATTACTGCTGAAGATGAAATATTCAGTTTGTCTATTTGAGATTTACCAATATCCACAAGTTCTTTTAAGAGACCTTCAGCTTCTTCTACATATTCCTTCAAATCTGGTTTGTTTCTACATAAAATGCTACTCTGTACAAGTAATTGTACATGTTGGCAGAGCTGTTGCTGTAATAATTCTGCTTGTTCTTTAGATATTTCAAATACTGGTAAATATGGTTCAGTTTTTGCTGGCTGGGTATTCTGTTCATCTCTGGAAGATTGTGTAGAGTCATTCAGTTTTGGTGATGTAGGAAAGGTTACAGGAGGACGATCATCATTATGCATATTTTCAACCTCATCTAACAGACCATCCAATTCTTTTTTTGAAACTCTAACTAAAAAATCATCCCTCAAATCTTCGTGATCCGGTTCTTCAATTTCATGTGGAAATTCAAAATCTGGATCCACATCTGGGTCATCCTCATCCTCAGTTCCTTGCGTATTACCCCCATTTGTGTCTTTCATTAAATCGGCGAGCCATTTCTGCCAATCGTAGTCACCAATGTTCATATCATACATGTCTGCTGTCACATCTGGAGGATCGAAAGCCGCTTCTAATACATCCAAACTTGTAGACTGGAGAGAATGTTTCGATCTTGTACGTGTACTTATAAGATCTTTGTCCGAAGCTACATCTAAGCCACATTCTTCCATATTAACAATATTTTCGGGGTTGGTGGAAACACATTCTTCATCTATATTTTTTGGGGGGATATTGTCCAATTCTGATTTTTTGTCCATTGTTTCTGAAAAAGATTGATCCATAGTATCACTGCAAATTGATTCTTCTGGCCGATATTCTTCATCTTCATCATCTTCTGGTAAAGGTAACTCACTGAATTTGGGAAGACCATCGCCAGAAGTATTTGCAAGTGTTGGTGGAACCCACGGTGGTTTAAACGGACTATTTCGCATAACCTCCTTCAATTTAGATCTAGTCATTGCCATTGAAACGTCTGTTATATCGCTTTCCTCATCTGAAGATTCCTCTTCCACAAGATTGGCTTTGACTAATTTTTTGAAGTCTTTATCTTTCAATAAGCCGATAAGAAAACTGTCTGCATTTTGTTTTGCTATGCCATGTTTTTCCAATGTGGCTTTAAGCTTCTCATTAAATGAATAGTTTTGACTGACAGCTATGTCAATTATATTTGGACCAGATCCATCAGTTTCTTTAATGTGTTGTTCACTGCTTTCATTGTTGTCAATGTTACATGTGTCTTCTTCACCGTCATGTTTTGATTCTCCATCTGGCACATTGGATTCACATTGTAAAGAGGATGTACCTGCCTGGTCATCCATTTAAGTGATAAAAAATATGTTTCTGTAAAAATAAACGGCAGGGATTATGTCAGATAAGAGCGTAATGAGGATTTGAAGTTACAAAGCTTGATGAAGCATGAACTAGGTATCTTTTCCAAAAGCTACAAGTAATACAGGATATTTCAAGTTATGCTTTTTCGATAGTTGGTATAAAAAAATTTCACCTAAAGACAGTAAAGAATGGGGTGTATAAGTTATGGTCCTCACTGATATCATGTATACAACCTGACATATACAGCATGTCATCCGTAATTGTTGCCCTATATTGTATTCAAACTACCAAGCAATTAATATTGTTTGATTTCTGTCTGAAAATATTACTTTATTTCTGTATTCTCTACAGTTCCCAATCCCATATTCCAAAACACATTTATTACTGTAATACCGGTATAGTTTGAATATATCAGATTATAGACAGTTTATTTTAAAAACTTTATTAACCACATAAATTAAAAATGGAGAATTTGGGAGAGCAATAACTTAATAAAAATTAAAAAAATTTTACACTTAAACTCAAAATATCATATTTATGCCCTACTGCCTAAGCCCTAATCGATAGAACTAGAGTACTTATTTGAACCGTCAAGTTTCACCATCCAATATAATTCCCATAACTATAGTAAATTCCATGAATTTAGCATCAGTAGTATTCAATTCATTCAAAAACATATTATCCAGTCGGTTATCAAATTTTTAAGTTCAGAAGTTATTATCAGAGTCATAAATCAGTAAATGTACAATACTGCATCACGGTAGTTAAGTTACATAAAAAACACATAGATGACAATTAGCAAATGAATATTTTACACTATTATTAATGAATTATGACAAAAAAAATCTTATCTTACATCTATCAGTACCTAGGACTGTAGGACAAGCATTTGTATTAGAAACATGGCATAATATTTTTTATGATTGTCGTCAAGTTTATTATTTTTTCATATATAATAAAAATTCAAGAAATGGTAACACAGATTTACTGGGAAGACCAGGATACCAAATAAAAATTGAAGGTTTTGTCAGCACTAAAGTAGAATCATATTAATGTTCACAAAGTTCAAAATATTCTGTATGTCATATTCCTGATTCTTTAATAATCAGTTTTTACTTTTTTTTATCTATAATTTTATTGTCCATTATCATGATTATGGGAGTCCACATAAATTGATTTTTCACTCAAAAATTTTTTTTCTAATGAAACAGAACAGATATTATTGTCAATACTAGTAAGACATTTTTTATAGTAATACACTCAAGTATGTATACCCGAAAATGTGTTCATACGAAAAAATAGTCACTCAAACTGGAATTTGAATAATGTATTATCACACAATATTGAATAGGTCTATTCCCTGATAATATCAAAATTTGCAAAATCAAAAGATCATTTATTGTTAAATCATTCCACTATATTAATTGCACGAGTAACATTTATCTAGACGTCAAGTGAGCTCTGAGGAAGTCCATGACTGACAGAGAGATATTTAGGAATCTGGCCTGGCCAGTCCAAAAGGTTCCATATGGATTAATTTTTTTTAGCAAATCATGATGTCACATGCCGGATTTGACTGCATTGGTAAATACTAGAATGGACGTTCAAGTCAAACGGCATTATTTTCACCGCATTTCATAAGTAACAGGAAGAAATTCTGAATTGGACCGCAAATTTTCACTGCATATGAGCATGATTGTGTGACTAATCATGAGGATTCTAACTCGAATAATTTAAAATGCAATGTATTATAACGAATTTACAGGTAATTGGGTTTTGATCATTACTAAATGAAGCAAAAATGCACAATCTTAAAGAGACAAGATGCCTGTATTTCAGAAACTATTTGCTCACATCAGAAATTCAAAATAAACTATCAAACTCTTTCAAAAATTCCACCTATAATTGAAAACAATCACACATAATATACTATTTAATAAACTATTATCAGTACAAAGATAGAGGGTTACCAACAAATGATGTAGAACAAAAATGAAAAATTTTCTAAACCAATTCCAACCAAATTCTAAACAATTTTTCAAAATACATTTTTCAAATATCTTTTTGAATACTGTATTTCAACATACATACAACAAAAAAAGAAATGTATTAGTACTCATAATTAACTTTGCCTTTTTTTCAAATTACGATGATTAGGACTTTTACATTCATCAAATTTTGTTCGAAATCAAAATTGTAGCATTCAACTACATCGCTATGAGGAAATTCTCAGTACATCTGTAATTAAAAAATTTGCCTTAGAATTACAAACATACAATACTACAAATATAATGTGTCTTACCGAATGCAAATTATTTTTTGTGATAATATCTCGCTACTGAATCAATTTCAGGAAATCAAACTATTGAAAAGTTCCTAAATATTCTTCTCTATCATCACTCTCAGCTTGACTTCATCTGCTCCTGTAACACTGTCAACTTCGTCACCACTTTTGAAACACATGAATGTAGGCAGAGCACTTATTTCATACATTTCAGTAAAACTGTCAGTTTCGTCCACTTCCACTTTAATTTAAGAAAAACAGCATTTCTCGCTTATTGCTGCAACTATGGGAGCTATCAATTTTCACGGTCCACACCATTCAGCAAAGAAGTCAACAACAACAAGATTTTGACAAGCATCACTAAGTTCGTTATCGAAATCTGCTTCTGTTCGAACGCGTTTTAAGGACATTTTCATAACTGATTAGTTTATTAAACATACAGCACCTTGAACAGCTAATAAATTATACCAAAATAACAACAAATATAACCGCGCACTTTGCTCTATAGCGCCACCGACGCAAACGAGCAAAGTGATTATTTGGTGTTGCGGAGCCCGTGATGAGGTTGACTATTATTTACGGAGCCCTAAAATAAATTTTAAAATTGTTACTTTCCGATTAATATTATTGAATATGTTAAAAGTACTTTACTTGATTTAAATGCTAATCCTTATTTAATAGGGTTAATACAAGTCATAAATAAATCTAAATTTCAAAGATAAATCATATATTATATATTGAGGCTGTAAATTTGATACTTGACAAACATAATAATAAATTAGGGGTCAAATCTTTTTCTTTTTGATATTTTTGGAAGACTTATAAATAAGGTTTAGGTCTCCCTAAATCAAAAATTTCTTCCGGCATATACGTGTATTGTTCCACAATGACGACGATAATTGCTTTTTTGTTCTCGTGGGGAATTATGAATTCGATGTGAAAAACATGTTAATATAATATAGTCATCAGCGACGAGATGCTAAAATTAATTAATAAAGAATCGGCAGTGAATCCGCAACTCAAATTTCTTGATTGAAAAGCGGCATTATGTAATATTAAAACTAAAACTTAAAACGGAAGATAACACTATAAGTTTTGTTTCAGCAGACTCGCGACAGATTCAAAACATTTTTTTATACATTGCAAATGACAATATATATTGATGATAAGTTAGGTTTTCTTTGGTTATTCATCGTAGTAACTGAAATCGAAACAGAGTCACAATTGTGCGCGCAATCGTGCGGAGTCAGTGTTACAAGAAGGGCTCAAATTTGTCGAATTCACCAAATCGCTATAATCCACCAACCACACTGCCACGCAATCAGTCATTATTACGATTATGATTTGATCGGGACGGGCACAAATATCTTATCAAACTTATGGCACCAGTAGTAGGTATGTATGTTATTTTGTGGGCAATATGACTTTGTTTCTAACATCTTATGATAACAGCGTTGTCCAGGATATACAGTAGCCTACAAGAACTTCGTTCACTTAACTTTGTTTCATTGTTCTCATTTCATGTCCGCGGATTGCTGTGGTTATTTGAGAAGTAATGATTTTCTATTGTGAGTGACACAACCGCAGGTTACGTTTAACAGAATTATCCCAATAAACAAGTCATTTTAAATATGCCCGCATCGGTCATAGATTGCACAATTGTATACTGTACTTATTGAGTTTTAACGTCGACCTCGGGATTTTTGTAACGGCGATATCTTGCTTAAAAATAATCTCGAGTGCGAAGGAACAAATCAAGTTTGACAAATCCCAAGATCGCAAAAATACGATTTCAATTTATTCATAGTTGGCAGTTTATCACGTATTTTATGATATTTTAGAATAGTAATCTTTTATTTAAGTAATCCTCATAGTCATCTCGAATCGAACGTGAGTAACGATGAGCACAATTAAATTATTATGACAAGACATTTTAAATGCTCGAATCAGTCATGGATTGAATAGTTTACGTAACAGAAATCTCGTTATCCACTAAAAAAGTTTTTTTTCTTTAATCGCGAATAATGTCGCGCGGAAATTTCCGATTTCAATTTTTATCCCCCCTCCCTCTTAAGAATCCTGGCTGCGCTCCTGCTTATAAATAATGTAATTTTTGAATTCCGCCTCTTTGTCATATTTCGAGGATATACTGTTGCCAAATTTTATTAGAGCTGTTATTGCTTCTTTGGACAGTTACAAAATTACCCAAGTCAGTCTTTTAAATATAATCAAATAGCTCGTGGAGCCCACAGGCTTCTCTCGCGGAGCCCTGGGGCTCCGTACGGAGCACTTTGAGAACCTTTGAACTATTAGACTATTATAGACTATTTCTAGTCACTTTGCAAACGAGGAAATCCGGAACAGAAGAGAGACATGTTCGTCATCTCTTATTTCAAGACTAAAAAGTATTGATTTACCCACGACCCTATGTGATTTAACCCAGCATTTGAACAGAAAATAAAATGCCTAAATGCGCCGAAGTTAGCATCGTCTAGTTTTCTTTGACGTAGGAGTCAGAAATTGGTGACCAAGTTTTATAACATATGGTCAGTGACGAGAGTAATGATTGTCAACAGTGCGTTGGGTAACATTTATTCTTATTGCTCAGAGTGGGTGCTTTTCCCGCAAATGGGGATATAGAGTCGAGCTTTGTTATTGGACATGGAGTGAACCTATAGATCGTAACAATAGACTGCGGTACCTGATCTGGCAAATACAGAAGTGGTATGATCAGTTGGTATTTCAAATCACGTTGAAACTGTATCATGTAGAATGGATCATCAGAGAACATGGAAAAGCTAGGACAGTCCTTATACAATTACTCTGATACATCCATTATTCGCTATTTGATTAAGATTCACAGGTTCTTCGTACATAATAAGTAGCTTAGTTAAAATATTGTCATAATGGAAGGAAAAATTGACGAATTAAATAAGAAATTGGAATTGATGGAATCCAGAATTACCAAAAATCTAAAACTGGAATTAAGAGCAATTGTAGGAGACGGTATGAGAGATATTCTGGAAGAGTCAATCAGCGAACATGACAGAAAAATATCGACCCAAATCAACGAATCCGTCCTGAATAATACGCAACAAATGGCGGAAAAACTAGAAGCTATGTTCCAACAAAATGACGAATTAGTTGAAAAGCTGGAGTGTCTACACATGAAAAATTCAAAGCTTGACACCGATCTCAACACAGTGAAGGCAAGCCAAAATTTTATTAACGCAGAGTTCGAAATTCAAAAGGACTACCTAATGAAGCTTGATCAAATGGTCAAAGATCTATCTGAAAGCAACAAAAGCCTGTTGAGTTTGTGCACTACCCTTCAAAAGCGTTTCGATACTGAGCTGGAAGACCTTGCTCAGTATATACGAAGAGAAAATCTGGAATTTCATGGAATTCCATTTAAGAATGATGAAAATACAGACAGGATTATAGTGGATCTGGGCAGACGATTAGGCATCACTGTTGAGAGACTTGACTTATCCATATCACATCGAATCCCAAGGAAAGATGGCTCTAACACTGGACCTATAATAGTTCGCTTCACCAACAGAAACATAAGGAATCAGTTCATTGCCAAAAAGTACGACACCACCAAAATTAAAGATTTCGGCATCGCAGGTATGACTTCGCTTTATATTAATGAAAATCTGACAAACTTTCGAAGTAATCTCCTTTATAATGCCAGACTCACCAAAAAATCCAAAATGTTCGAGAGACTCTGGACAACAAATGGCAACATTTATATGAGAAAGACCAAAGATAGTCCAAGAATCCCAATAAAAAAGCTGTCAGATTTAGATAAACTATCGTAATTGCATTTTGTTAAATTCATACCTAGTACAGTAGCTTGGCAAAATGGCTTCACAGCAATTTTGCTCAAATTGCGCCAATACCTTGCTGACTTACAACAATATTTTTTGTACAACTTGTTCAAAGTGTTTTTTTTCATTTAATTATTGTCCAAATAGAATAGACAGAAAACTAGAAACTCTTGACACGTCATATTTCAATTATATTAATGTCAAGCCATGTATGTCTCTTGAAACAGTTGATAGCGTTCTGAATAATTTGAAAACTCCTAACTCGTCAAATCACCAATTTACCTTGGCTCATTTTAATATTAGATCATTACAAAAGCATATCGATGAGTTATCTGACATTATAGTTGATTTAGATTCATTCCCTAGTGTAATAGCAATCTCAGAAACCAAACTAAAAAGCGATCCTGTGGTTAATATTAGTATTAGAGGTTACAATTTCTTACACACTCCGACCAAAACTAATGCTGGTGGGGTTGGATTATACTTTAAGTCAAATTTAAATCCGTCGCTGGTTAACAAATATATGTTAGGCATCACCTCTTGTGAAGACCTGTGGGTAGAAATACCCATTAGCTCGGGGAAATTCTCTTCAATCATTGTTGGAGTTGTATATAGACATCCAGGTTCCAATGAATCAGATTTTATGAATGCACTAAGCTTAACTTTGTATAATTTGGCCATAGATAAAAAAAAATTTGTAATACTAGGGGACATAAACATAAACCTATTTAGCTGTTCAAAATTCACAAAAGATTTTCTTGACATGCTGAGGTCCCATGCCACAATTCCACTGATTACACACCCAACGAGAATTACTAGTTCCAGTTCTACTTTGATAGATCATATATATTCAAATATCAGCGAAAAAAGTGTTTCTTCAGTTGTCTGGCAAAATTGTTTGACAGATCACTATCCAATTTTTTGTCAATTTCAGATTAAACATGCATTATCCCATAATCAACACAAACTAAAACGTGATATGAGAAATTTTAATTCCACTAACTTTGCTCAAGATGCTCAAGAATTGTTTGATTCTTATGACCTTTCTAATGTTGATAGTCAAAATTTCAATTTTCACTTTGAAGATTTTGTCTCAAAAGTATTAGGTCTATGCAATAAACATGCGCCAATTCGTAAATTAACTAGAAAAGAACGCCACCTAGAGAGAAAACCCTGAATAACCACTGGCATTTTGCGTTCTACCAAAGTGAGAGACAGATTGCACAAAACTCATTTTATTAATGGTTCAATAGAACAAAAACTTCACTATAAAAAGTATGCTAACAAATTATGCCATCTAAAAAATAAAGCCAAAGAGATACATTTTTCCAAATGCTTCGAAAAAAATATAAATGACCCTAAAAAGACTTGGAATATAATAAATTCATTGTTAAACCCTAATTCTAGCAGAAATGTACCCCAAAAGATAACCAATCAGCACTCTGGGGAGGTTATTCATGACAGTATCAAAATTTCTACAACATTTAATAATTACTTTTCTCAGATGGGGAGAAATCTAGCCGCAGTATTTCAAAGCGTAAGTGATCGCGAACACCTTAAATTTATGGGGGCCCCAATCGTATCATCCATGTTCATGGAAGATGCATCAGTGATGGAAATAAAAAATACGATAAATTCTTTAAAAACAGATAAAGCAGCTGGGTATGATAACATACCGGCATATCTCTTGAAACATCTTTGTGGGTCTATTAGTTCTTCACTGTGCAAACTCTTTAATTATTCCATGTCCCTTGGCATGTTTCCAGACCACCTCAAAATAGCTAGGGTTGTTCCTGTGTACAAGGCTGGAAAAAAAGATGATGTTTCCAATTACCGTCCCATTTCTATTCTTTCGTGTCTCTCAATTGTTTTTGAAAAACTAATACTTGCTCGGCTAAAAAACTTTTTAGACAAACACTCAATAATAAATTGTGATCAGTTTGGTTTTCGAAACCACCATTCAACTAAACATGCAGTCTTAGACATTATTAGCAAATATTACGAAATCATTGATAAGGGATTGGTAGGATGTAGTGTATTTTTAGATTTGAAGAAAGCATTTGATACAGTCGATCACAGAATACTCATTAGCAAACTCAAACATTATGGAATTCGTGGTAGTGTAAATAAATTATTTTCTAGTTACCTGAACAGTCGTAGTCAATTTGTCGCTCTTTCAGGCAGTGAATCTGAACATGAATTTGTCTCTGTAGGAGTCCCACAAGGATCGGTGCTCGGTCCAACTTTGTTCTTAATATATATCAATGATGTCGTAAATTCTACCTCAGCATTTGTCAAACTCTTCGCCGACGATACCAGCACAACCTCGATTTCCTCCACTGTTGCCATTTTGTCCACCAAAGTTGAGCAAAATTTAGATAATATTTCTGAATGGATGAAAGCTAACAAATTAACAATTAATCCTGAGAAAACACAAGTACTATTAATTAATCATCCCTCTAATAAAAAGCAGAAGTCTTCCTCTAGCCTCCATTTCACTTTGAATGGTGCTAACCTGAAAGTTTGCGACTCTGTGAAATATCTTGGGGTATTTATTGATAACAGGCTAAATTGGGACACCCACATTAACCACTTGAAATTGAAATTGTCCAGGGCTGTAGGAATTATAACAAGGTTAAAAAGTTTAATTCCCAAAAAAATCCTTCGAACTGTTTATTTTTCCCTCTTTTATGCACACCTACAGTATGGAATTGTGGCTTGGGGCTCAGCTGATAGAAATAGACTCCATGCTCTGTCAGTCTTACAAAATAGAGCTGTCAGAGTTATGAGTAACACCCCACTGCATCATAGCATGAGTCCTATTTATAAGGGAATGAATCTTTTAAAACTTAAAGATGTGTATATTCACGAGGTTGCAAAACTAATGTACCAATTCAGAAATAACATGTTACCACAGGCTTTCGATGCATACTTTACTGACTGTGGAGATGTCCATTCTTATTACACGCGCTCAGCATCTAAAGGTGCTTTTTTTATTTTCAGGACAAATCTCAAATTTGCTCAAAAATCTATAAAAATTGCGGGTCCCAAAATTTGGAATGATATACCTGATATTTTTAAAACATATTCATATAAAAAATTCAAATCTGAGTTTATGAAATATATCATTTCTAAATATTAATCCTGACACCAGTGGTATTACCAATTTGACAGATAAGAACTGGAGGTCAAAAGTTCATTTCTATCTCGTTTTCTGTCAATTGTATTGTGGGTTTCTTTTCACTAATGATTATTAACGGAGGCAAATTTATGAACTGACAACCCGTGACACCCACTGTGTAACCCATGCCACTGACTTACTAAGCATATCTACAAATCTCCTGATCTATAACTATGCAAGCTCAGACTAGTACATTTTACACTAAAAGTTCCCTGTTCTTTAGTTAATCTGTTCTGATCTATAACTATGCAAGCTCAGATTAGTGCATTTTTTTTCAGTTCCCAGATCTGAAAATATACAGATCATACATAATAAATGTTGAGTGTAAATAGTTATGAAATTTTTCTATTGTGTGTTATCATAATTCTATAGCCAAATCATGATCTAAAATGCCAGCACTTAAAATTGTATATTTTCTTGGGATATAATGTCTGGTATGCATGGGTGGAGTCCTCATCATTGTGCTCAGTGGTGCTACACTGTGAAACTTTGTTATAAAATTGAGATGATTGCCCTCATAAGATCACAAAACGAAATTGAATTTGAGGTTGAACAATAACTGAAGAATCTCATGCAATTATCCATGATTCTAATTTATGTAAATTTGTCCAGTGGAAATCATCTAGACCTATTAAAAGTATGTGTGGTTTTATGGTGGAATCTAAAATTGCTCTACTGACATTTAAAATATCACATTGTATGTATATTATATCATAAATCAATATCTGTTCAGTTCAGCAGATATCTGGATGAAATTTTGCTATTATATGTAACCTGTAATTAGGTTTTCTTTATGCCTTTTTGATGTGACTATGGTAGTTCTTCACATAAAATTGAATAGCAATTTACCCTTTATATGTTAATAGTACTTTATGAAAATAGGTACTGTATGTTGGCTCTTATTCTCCTGAATTTATTTTTAGTCCTGGCCTATAGAATTAAACAATTTATGCTGTAGGTTGAAGGCGTTTATTACCTTATGTTGATATAAATTGCTGAATCCTATTATCTGTGTTAAACCAAACTTGGATTAATATCTCAAATTATCATTATTGTATATGTCAATATGAATTGCTGCATTCTATTTTCTATCTTAAACCAAACTTGCATTTATATTATTAATCCAATCTATAGGAGTTATATCTCAAATCTTCTTTAATGTATATGTTGATATAAATTGCTGAATCCTATTTTCTCTGTGTTTAAACTTGCATTTATATTGTCTCAAATCAAGATTATTGTATATGTTGATATGATTTGCTGCATTCTATTTTCTATGTTAAACCAAACTTGCATTTATATTATTTAATCCGATTTAAAGGATTTATATCTCAAATCTTTATTATTGTATATGATGATATGAATTGCTGCGTTCTATTTTCTATGTTAAACCAAACTTGCATTTATATTATTAATCCAATCTAAAGGATTTAAATCCCAAATCATTATTATTGTATATGTTGATATGAATTGCTGCATCCAAGGTTCTGTGTTCAAACTTGCATCTATACGTCCTAAATCGTTATTATTGTATATACTGATGGAAAATGCTACATTGAGTCCATACCAAACTGGGACATTTGCCCCTATATGTGGGCAATATGGATTATAAAAATTGATAAGGGTCAGAACAATAATGAAAAATCTCTCACAATCATTCATATTCTGGAATATGATATTTGTATAGTAGAGATCATTTAGACTTTGTATTATTCCAAGTGTATATAATTAGAGATGTCACCTAACATTGAACTTCTGTCATTCAAATTGAAATTCATGATTACAAATCGTATGACTATTATATCATATTTTCTTATCTGATCGAACGGGCTCTAGGTATATTAATATATATATTATGTATAGTATATTGCAGCTTATACTCTTCTTTGAGCATACATGTCTTGAGTACCGTACTTCCTGTATATATTATACAACTCGTTCGGGCCTACTGTGGTTCTAGGCATCAATGAATAATTTCCTCCTGGTCTTATAATCCATCATTATAGCAGTGGAGTACTACCAACTCAATAGTACATCCTGTTAAAATGTGAAAACTTTCCGTATCTCTAGACTTGTTAAATCATAGTGTCCATTATAAATCAACTATTTACTCAATCATAAAATATTTATTATATTTCAATTATTTAACATTGAAATAAATCCTCTAACACAATTGGCAAACTTAAATGCCAGTTGTGTTTAGGTCGAATTGCTCTACATTTGAGACCCTTTGACTTGATATACTAATCTAGTACTATTCCCTAGAAATCATTCTCCTCCTTTTCATGTACAACTCGCCAATGATGCTTTTTATATTCATATTTTGTGATAATGAAATTACGATACTGCATTATATTTTGCTGTTACATCAACTCATACTATTATAATTATTTACATTTTTATTTATCTTTCACTTGTCTTTTTATATACTACTTTGACATCCCTCTGCAGACAAAATATTGTTGATTATTATGCTGAAATAATGCTTGTTAGGTCCTATTAACTATTTTTTCCCCCTCCTAATCTAGACAAATCAAAGCAGATCATGTTTGTTACATCTTCAATGCGTACCTATGCCATGAAATGAAGCATTTCTGCTAATTCATCACATATTGTGTATAAATTATTTAAATTCTTTCAGTAACCTTTGGAATCTCTTCAGATTTTGAAATCCCGCTCCACATAAATAAATAAAAATGATTTACTCTAGCATTCCCCTCCCCAATTTTATTCTTCCATTTTGAGAATATAATTTTAAATTCTAGAATGTTCCTCCCCAATATTTTAGTCATCTGAAACTGTGGATCTTAAACATAATAGCTTGAAGGGGGGGAGTTGACTTTGATGACCGTCTGGTCGTATCACTCCCTCCTGTCTATACCAAACAAATTTATTTCTTATTGTTATTTTTATTATTATTACGATGACTGTTATTTTTGGTTGACGAAAAAATAAATCTCTCTCTCTCTCTCACATGTACTGGTTAAGTTACCGCATAGGTTTTCAGGAGAATCAATGATAAAAAAATACTTCGTTTTGCTTTCGTTTCCATGTATTTGAGCATGGCTCTATTTTTTACTGGTATTGGGGTTTGAAGTCAGACACATAGTCGTATTTCAGCATAGTGGAGACGCAGAGTCAAAGTCAAATAAAAAAAACTTTACAAACTCCTTCGCTTAATTTGCTGGCGTGAGCGCGCGGGTTCCGATACCGAGAAGAACAAATCTGTGTCACAGGATTGCTCGACGTTGTAGGGCTGATTTCAATTATGTTCTAAACAGTTTACTGTTAAATATATTACTTTGCAACCCATCTTGTAAAATTTCTTCCAACGTCGTTAATTCAACTTCATACCGTTTGGGGAAGTATCATTTCATTTATGATCACAAGTATTCCTGGCATCATGTGTTTGTCGAATCATGAAAAGGGGAACTAATGGTCTTTTCTAAAATTTCCTTTATAGTTCTATGTTATACTATTCCCATTTATATAAGTATATTAATACTGATCAGGCTACCCAAGGGTTCGAAATCAAACTATATATCCAATCCAATGTTGGATACGAAGAAGTACGAAGTACGAAGAAGCATTCATTAAACGGCCTGGACCCTAAACCAGGCGTGTAGGCGAGATGTTATACCTAGTAAAATCCAGACTATAAATCAGCTTGATCTTTCAGTTTAATTTGTATCAAAATAAATTGATGCTTAGAATAGCAGTATGAAACAGAAATGTTGATACCCCTGAGGTATGTGAACCAATATGGTGGACACCGGAACGTAGTATGTTTACCAGGTTAGGGTTAGGCCAAAAGGTCTAAAACAAGAGAATTGGAATAAAATTATGGCCAAACCCTAACCTGGTACACATACTACGTTCCGGTGTCGGCCATATTGGTCCACATACTTCGGGAGTACAAAAATGGTAGCTTTTTGTCAAAATCAAAATTAATGCAACTAATGTTATTTCAAAAATATTTTAGTAATTAAATGTCGAAATAATAACTCCTTCCATAAGGAAAATGTGAAAGATACAAAATTCGTAAATTAGGTATTAATTAACGAGTTTAATCGGAAAAAAATAGAAGATGTACTGATGCAATTATCAGTAATTATATTTACGTCATGTGAGGTCAGTGATATAGAAATAAAAATAGGAAGAACTGCGAATAGTCTGTGCTGCTGATGATGTTGACGAGGAGGTTCAATTTTATATCTTTTATCAATATCCATCCGGATAACCACCCTTTCGTTCGTCCGATACAGCGGTCATGCCCCCATTGTCTGGTGATGTGAGAATGGACTGTACGACGGATCCAGGTGGTGCGAACGACTGGACTTCGTGATTTTTAGCCTGTAGTCCAGCGATTACATCCTGAAAATATATTTTTATCCGTAACTTATCAGTGTCCCTCCTATTCTAGATCATAGACTTTTTCAAACAAAACTTTAATGAACCAAAATATCACGTTAACACACAAAAAGATGACATACCCTATTGAATTTTCCGCTCTAATTGTGTGGGAGACATGAAGGATATGACGAAAATATTGAAAAGTGATTTATTTAATAGGAATAAAATCTTTTATATATTTGGAAGTTTTATATATTATGTACTATACAGTATCCCAAAGCGCATATGACTGTGATGGAGGATTTTTCTCTTTTGGCAATATACAATACTACTAATGACTGTTACCATATTAAATCCTTCTTCGTATTGAATATATTCTGGAAATAACTGATGATGGATACGCGTTCTGGACGTTGCATCTTGAAGAGAATCTCCGAACCACAGTGTGTTTATCGCAACCTGGAAAGTTAAAAATTCCGTTTTATTGGACAAAAAGAGTTATTCATTCGGTTCGTTTGAAGAAAGCCCCTGACATTTTTGCATTGATGGCGACGGCCTTTTCTAACCCTAATTCTAACGCGCGATTTTCGAAAACGTCGCGAGCGCAATCTACAGCACTTAGACGTTTTTCTCAAAGATCACAGTTCTGCGTTAATGGCGGGGGATTTCTATAAAAAATCAAATTATCTACTTTAGATTGCTTACCAAACCAGTTCCTGTTGTAATTTTTGTTCCACCAGAAGCTCCAGTGGCCATCCTGATTTTTCCTGTATTTTTGTCCAAAACAATTGTTGGAACCATAGAGGACATTGGTCGTTTTCCAGGCGCGATAAAGTTGTTTGGTGACGGAGGCAGCCCTAGAAAATACGTTTAGTTATTTAGTACCTCCATCCAACATTGATACAAATGCCAATTTATCAGAACATTCAAATACATATATTAAAGTTACTACGAGACAATAAAATTACAACCAAATGGTTTTCAAATTTTGGTTGTTTTGGTTGGGTTATCATGTCTTTGTGGCGTTATTCAGCTCAAGTTCGAATAATTTTGTTGAGAGGACTCGGGTCGGTTGAAGTATTTAAAAAAGTCTTTCAAGTTTCATTTATAATTTTGTTTTACGAACTAAGATTGAAGATACTCAATTTCAATTAATTAAAAAAAAATTGATTTTTAAAATTGATGTTTTAGCAATAATTTTTCTGGCAGTTACCAGGGAGAAGTCGAAGCCAAAGACAAATTTCATATATACCAAAATTGAGAATTGCAATTTAAACTAGGTTAAATAAATGAGGTCAATATTTGTCTAACTGTATGTCAGTTCAAACAGTCTTCAATTTAAATTAATTGTTCAGAATCCACCAAAAGCATCGTTACCTACCAAAATAATTTGTAACATTTGGTGAAGAGAAATCGTCCATCTCGTCGTTAAATATTATTCCTGTACGTATGCCGCGAACTTTGGACCCGAATCTAAACAAAAATCATTATGAACAAAAACGTCATGTCTTCCTATCTATATTTCTGATATTTGAAGTGGATAGTCTCGATTTAATCAGCTGACCGTTTATACTTATTGGGAGTTTCATTTAGATTGGTCGGTACTTGTGAATGTATATCCTGGCGGTTACACATTTATCAACTGGAATAAGATTCTTGTGGGAACTTGATATTCTGAAAAATGTAATTTAACCTAACCTCAAAAAACCTGGTACACATACTACGTTACGGTGTCCGCCATCTTGGTTTACATACTTCGGGATTACCAAAAATTCACCTCAATGTACAAACCTCAAGTTTATTGTTCCAGTAGCGGAAAATGCATTCCCATCTTTATCAACAATGCTGATATGAGAAGTCCCAAAATCATTTGGTAGTCTGGCAAAATCCCCTCCATAATATGCAGATGGTTGTGTTGTTTCATCGCTGATTTTCAATCGAAGTTCTTCGGCGTAACTAGGAGAAGTCATGTTGGCTACAAGCTAAACAAAACAAGAACGGTGATTGGGTTAAACTGTAAAAATTTTCTGAAAAGTGGCATCAGTAATTTAATTTTTCACTATGCTGAAAATACGAACTATATATATATATATATACTAAGGGAACTTGGATATTGTGTAATGAAACTGCAGGTCCTTTCTTCTTGTTTATTTTATTTTTTATATTTATATATACACACAAATTGGGGAAATATAAAAAATCGCATCACATCAGGTAATTTGATTAGTTGGTCGATCAATTTATATGTGAAACAAAGAGAACATCGAAAAAATTTCCGTATAGGTTTATTAAAATACCTCATTCAAAATCATAAAAAAATTCAGTTATTCACTGAAGAACTTCAACAAAAAGCATTTGGCTATATTATATTGAATAGTGTGTAGATACGTCATGACTGATGGTAGTATTGGCTATCAGTTGATGACAAAATCTCTACTAAAATTGCTGACTTCAGATAATTTGTTATCTCGTATGAAAGTATGATTCAATAATCGAGATAAATTTTAATCACAGATTTATATCATTAGGTTGTTGTGCAGGGAAGTCTATGCATGTTCTTATGATCCATTTTGGCAATTTAGTCTCGTATGCGATGTTATTGAATTTGTCACGTGTTTGCTGGAGATCACACAAATACCAATTCTGTATACTCGCCTGATAAAAATTCCAATAAAAAATTTACCAAGTCAACAGGAGTTCGGACTACAGTGGCTAATAACTGTTTACGCAGTACCCAATCAGGAAATAATATGTCCAATGTAAAGACTACTACGGTGCTTACTAAAGTATCGTACTTTGGAAATCCAAAATTGATTCAATTTTATCATGATGTGAAACTTGGCATCCGGTGGTGACCTATGTAAATTATATTTAGCGGTAAACAAATCGAAGGATGTCATCGTGCAGGATACACACACACTTAGCGCTCTGAACACGGTGACGATGCAAATTTGTTCAAGTATCAATGTATATCAAAAAGTGCTTTATTATCATAAGTAAGCCTTCGGCGTTAACAACAACTAACGTATGAACTTATGAAATGTTCGTTTGCGCCAGAATTACATTTTTTAGGTATTCAAATGAACTTTGGTTCGTTTTTGGTCAAGGTTTGGACACGGTCGAAAGGACGTTAGTATTTTTTGTTTATTCCACAATTTTCTACCAATTTTACTCTTTACAGCTATGATGGAGCTACTACAGTCTTTCAGAGATGATCGCAAAATGAATTTTCGATTATTTACATGTAACTCCCCACAACGTCGCAAATTCAGTACATATTCCGTTTGTATTAATATATATGTGTGTCCTTGAGGCCCATATACAATTTTAAAAATTTTCTACCCACGAAAAATGATCACCGGGCCCTAACTCTGTGGAACCCTGCTTTCATTAGCCGATTCTATGGTGGTTCGATTTTCAATTTATGAGTTGTTGTGTGTAAGTAAATAAGTCCTGAAATAACATATATATCGAACTTCCCAACCTCTTTAACGTCATCGTTGAATCGTTCATCTCCAAGTTCAGATCGATGAGCGTAAGCAAATTTGAATGCTTCCACGATTCTATGGTATGTTAGAATAGACGCTTGTGTTCCTTTCAAACTGTCAGGCGTAAATTCATAACCTTTATTAGACAAATGAGTCGGATGAGTTATACATACGAAGCATGGACAAAATTGATTAGGAATGGATGCATACATCGAGTGTAAGTGTGTGCATTCTGTCTCAGTTGATATTAATTTAAAAAAAAAACACTTACCATTCAATATATTAAGAATTAACGTAAGGACTGCTCCACTGCTAGGAGGTCCCGGTGTATATAAAAAGTTATTCCCGATTGATATATTAAGTAATGGCTTGACCTCAACTCTGTGAAGAAAAGTTACAGAACCATATTAAACAAGCTAATATTTTGTTATGATCACTGAACTTGGAAAATAATACTCGGCGCTTGGAATCGACTACTTGAATATTCGAATTATTATAAGAAGATTCTATTTAATTCGACAAATGTATTCGATTTGACTTCGATATCACATATTATTTGTAAGATAGGTTCTCGGTAGATTTCAATCCATCAGTGAATAATTTAATTATTGATTTGATGTCACGTAAGTGTAAGACAATTGCTTACTTGCCATGTAAATTAGAATGATAAAGCATAGCCTAAATACAAATAATTTGCACACACTGATATTTATTTAGGTCTTCTATTGTGATAATAGAATCTTCCACAGCGTCTTCTATGTCAGCAACTATTCTCTTTGCAAGTGTTCCGTTATAGAAGCCATGAATACCTTCGTCTGCAATAGCACGTAACGTTTGTGCAAATGTAGGCCTGACAATTATGTCCCCTTCTTTCTTGAGACTACCGTCAGGGTTGGTGAAGATAGGTCTGAAAATATGTCGTCGAGTGAGAAAAATCTCGGTATTATGCCGTAGCTTACAACCTTCTAGGATTATAGTGCGACATATAAAATTGTCGATAATAAAGCGGATTTATAACAAAATACTATTTTAATTTTCTTCTTAACCATGATGAGGTGTTTTACTTCGGACGATAAGGTCCATATAAATATTGAATAATTCAGAATAAATCATTACTTCAAATTAAAAGTAGAATTCATGATATATTGCTCTTCTTTCGCGATATCTCGTTCAAGTGCTAAACTGACTTTCATCCCCTCATATGCAATTTTTATCGAATCTTCGAACAACTCTTCCCATGGTAGGAGTCCATATCTCTGATGGGCTTCCCAATACCCAGCAACTTCTCCGGGTACCGCTATTGCTCTCGAACCTGAGTGATACAATTAGAAAGAATTTTATTAATTTTATACAAACTATTTGGTAGCCGCTCGACGTTCAAACATCGGTACTCCCGTAGTGTATGTTACCAGGTTAGGGTTAGGCCATAATTTTATACAATTTTCCTTATTTTAGTTTTATTACAAGTTCGGGGCCTGTCTGTGTTAGCCAAGTGAACATACATACCCCCATATCAACTACGAAAAAAGAAAACTCGAACATAATAACTTATTCGAAAAAGGCAAAGATTTAAATGACCATGTTTATGTATGTAATACGGACCAGGCTGTGTGCCCGAGCATAAGGGAGTGCGACTTTTCGGAAATCGAAACGCGGATTAGATGCACGTACAGAAGTGGTCACTGAATAGTATGTGTGTGTATAGTTTGTCCATTTGACACACACACACACACAAATTCCCTTCTCGAAAATGAACTAGTGTGGGGTCGCGTGAACGAATTTTATGGATAATATTTTTCCGGAATGCCATTAATTCGGTTACCGGTAGGCCGAGATCTAGGTTGCGAACTTCTAAACCACCCGTTTTCAACCAGTGAGCCATGGTCTACTTCTGGGATACAGAAACATTTTCAGGTGGGCGACAAGAATATTAAAAACTGCGAGAGTTATTTATAAATTAGTTAAACTTTGATTGTAGTGCCAATGAATAATGATGCTGGTTTTGCTACTGAGTGGTAATTCTCATTTTAATTAGTAAAGTCGAAGTGTCTAGTGAAGTGAATTTTTGTGTTTGGTGTTTTATGCAGTTTTTCTCTTGCATGAGAAAGATATTAGGCCGCAGAATTTTTTGCATCAAAAGAATTTACAGATTCGTCAAGCAACGTGATACTGAAATTGTTCAACGCTTAGTTACGCATCAATTGCTCCATAATATTGTTGACGGACGGCTACCGGATAGTACAGTTGCATATTTTATAAACTGTAATTATAAAAATAAATTGAATAAAAGATACTCATTTGTTAAATGCTGATGATAAGCAATTCAAAATAGAAGTGATGTTTGCCAGAGAGTCTATACGCAAGACAAATAGCATAGACTTGGCGTAGTCGAGCAATCTTGCTTGTCATGAAGATCAGCTCGGATATTACTACTACTGTTAGGGACGATCATTATGATATTATAACAAACCTATTTGTGAAAGAAATCCATTTCCATCAAACATATCTTTATCAGCAGCCAAGGGTGCAGTTTCCCTGCTGTTGATAAATAACGTATCTCCCGTTTTAGCATCGAAAACAGACATGAAAGATCCGCCTCCGATACCAGCACTGAAATAAAATAGAATTTCAGCCTTGAGTCATTAGAATAATTTATTTTTACAAAACAAAGCTGTCAGTTGTATATTTTGCAATACCACCAACCTCGAGAACGGGGAAGTGTAGGTGCTTTCATTTTTACTTCTTTTTCTATAGGTCAAATAGTACCTAAGTTTTTAGAATATGGATCGTTTGCAGAAAGTCCCCGCCACTGATGCAAAAATGTGAGATTTGGGAAAAACACCTTCACCATGTTTCAAAAGGAAAGTATTCAGTTCGGGTTCGGGTTAGAAATGATTTGAAATTTCGAATTCCCAGCACAACCTGTATTCCTTACTCTAACTGAATAATTACTTATTTTGAGCGATGGCGGGGCTGCTTTTCCGGGCGGGGGATTCTACAAAAGACCCGAAAATTCTTGGCGGTAGAGCGTTCAACACAATGTTGAAATTGTTCTTACCTTTGTGGATTATACAGTCCTCCGCATACCATAGTTGCTATTCCTGCATCAACAACGGAGCCTCCTTTCTTCAAGATTTTTGTACCGATTTCAGAACAAGGTCCTGCATCTGAAGCTACCGCTGCTGTCGAATACTCTGCATTGTTCGGGCGGTTTACTATATTTTCATTTACTTCGTTAGTGCATTTTGGAGGTGGTAATCCGAAGTAGAGTCCAAAAAATAAAGCAAGGCCGATAAGAACTCCAACAAGAAACCCGATTCCAAGATACGCTCGAGACGATTTCTGTATAATCGATGTAAAGTAAATCAATCACAAAGTTAGATTAACTATAAGAATTGTGGTATATATCAGGAATAATACTCCAATGTCACTTATTTTACGGAAAGGGCATATTGAATAAGCATTACAAGTTGGTTTGCGTGCGGAAAACAATCGAACCTATATCAAACACAGACAAAGTGTTAAAAAATACCAAATTCACTGCCTATGAGGAAATTCTTTCATCTTCAACAACTGTGAATTTGAGCAATTGGTCCAAAATTAGAATAAAATAAATTGAACGACGACAACAACAATTGTATTGGCCCACTTCGTACCCGAGCACTTAATGCAATGAATAGAAAGAATAAATAAGGTCTGAACTATACTTTGCATAAGAGAATGAATCAAATAGAGATTAAATTTTGTTTGTTCAGTTTTCTTTCAGCTTGTTTGCCTCGAGTGTACAGTTTTTTACGACATTCTGATTTAATAGTCTCGTATTTTCAATAGAAATATTTATTCGTCGTCCTTATCCCATACTGGGAATAAACGTATCAAAGATAAATTGTATCGTTCACCGTTCACAGCAAACAATTTATTCACGCAATGAAACAGACTTGTCGTTGATTAAAATAGTGTTGAAACACGACCAGTCACCTACCGTCTTTATTCGAATCACACAAGTCTTAACTGGTGTGCAAATGTAGCTGTGTTCGGAATATTTTCTATATAGTCTCCTACAACTACTAATTCAACTTTTAACAACTGTTCCTGTAAATACGAATTTCCAACTATCGCATGAAAATCGAAGAAAGCACTACTATCTACCTAATAGAAATATCAGCTATATAAAAATAATATTTATTCCGCGACAAACGTGTTGTTTTATGTTCCGATTGGAAGTTTCGAATTTTAGATTGAGTCACAAGCAGAAACTTAAATATATTATGCTTACCGCCATGTTTGGACTTTGTACCTCTGCAGCTGAGCCTTGTGAATAACCTCCGCTCATTTCACGAGATCGGATTATATATATCCCCTTCCAACGAACCTTCTTCGCAACTTTGCAGTTACTTTAAATAAGAAAGAGTGATCAGTTTGTCGACAAATAAGATAACAAGTTTGTTGCCGGTTTTATAGTTTGATAACTCTTTCTACAATGCCTTTAGTTAATCATACACTAGGTAACAGGTATTTCAGCTATAATATAAATATTTAACAAAACGATGTCGTCATACCAAGTAAGATATTTGAACTAATGGATAATTGAGATACCGTGTGCCCATGTACGGTTTCTTTCTCTCTACCTTTCTATTAGACGATACGAGCACACGCAGACTACAAATATGCTGTGAGAGGACAACAAAACACTTTTGAAGTATTGTTGACAAAGGGATTTTCACGAAAAATGAGAGCGTCAGACAATTCTATAACTGTTTTATGAGTTGAAATAGTATTATCTGCGTTAGCAATGAGCTGCGTGGCATAATCATAGCTTATGTCCTGATTGCAAACCGCCACCACACGTAAACGTTTTACATCGTAAATATATATTTGCTCACAGACCCAATTTGAAGAATTCTGACTTTCTGCTTTTAATTAAGAAACGTACAGTGCGTAACGTCACTTGACAAGTGAGTAAACATGGCGGGAAATAATTGCGACTTTGAATTAAAAAACTTGGCCTAAATCATTATACGGGACGACTCCAGTTTGCAATTCGACTACATAATATTGTATAATGCCGTTAAAACAGGTTCAGATACTCTCATCCTCGAATTGCGCGCACATCCCGAGATTACACTGAACAACGTCACAAAAGTCAAAAGCTCTGTTACTGCGAATTTCAATTCTTTTCTGTTTGGTTATTCATATATTGTCTTAAAACGTATATGACTTCGTAAAACGAGACATGAGAACTAATTTTATGCCACCCCAAATGTTTGCATACTGTGTGAGTGTATTTAAATCATTTCATGACTAATACTTGTGTATGCCTTACGCTTACATATACATGAGTCACACTTGAAGTGCTTAATTTTCAAACTTATATAAACCTAATAATATGTTTTTTTGTCTTTTTCCGCTTGACAAAGATAATCTCTTTGTCGAAGGAAGAAGTGGTTACTGGCGCACGAATTTCCCGAACATATTTCTCTTAGCACGGTTCAGTTTGTATTTGACTTTTAGATCACGACGAAAAATTTTGGCACACTGTAAACTATCCAATTCTATCGATATTGATCTATTCTAGAGCATGTTACACTTAATAATGACATAGCGTTGGAAGTATTTGCGCAATACGAAAGATTGAATATCAATACTTTACACGAAGATTTCTATTTAGGGAAGAATCGCCTTTTCAGATCGGCTGTATGCACTGTCGTCACAATACAATTTTCTAATATAATATGCTTAACCCCGTCTTCAGCTACCTGACAGTGTTCTTAAGTCTCACTCATCGCATTGAAGACTGTCTGCATCGTGGAAGAATAATTGAATGGCCTTATCTTTTGACCTAATCTGAAATGGGAAAGTAAACATTCGAAGCTTGTTGACATCCGTTGGAATGTCATTGATTGGACTATAGGGATTTATATATATGTGAATGGATCTAATAACCTTATTTTCTTCTTTATAGTGGTTAACATATATGTTTGCAAACGTGATGAGGGCTATCGAATTTTTCCTAAAGTTAAACAACACGCTCTGTCACACATACGTTATCGATCAATTCAAATCGCCCATTGGAAACTTTTTACAAATTTTGTTTTTGGCTTGAAGGTACTGCTATCAAGAATTGTGCCGGAGGTCAGATAAAAATAGGTAAACTCGAAAAAAAATCGCAAATATTCAAATTTAGATAACAATGACCTCGAGTACTGCGTCAGACTAATTTTATTTTAAGGTCGCCTCATATGTATGTGTGTCTAATCCTCGTTGTAAATATAAACGAGGCAGCAAATACGCAAATAAACCGGCTCGGTGGTCGCGCAACGGTACCTGAACGGTGACCCCTCTTTTGTCTAAATGAGAACCGAGAAGACCGGCCGACAAGCCTGACGCAGAAAGTGTTCCCGTGTTTCATAACAAAAAGTGTTTCTACGAATTAAAACAAAACATAAGACTCTGGGTGGACTATCCGGTGCCATAAGAAACGGAAGAAGTTTGAAAAAAAAAATTAAAGATTAATTTATCAAGTTCACATCACCACGTAATAAACAAACATATGATCGATTTTTATGTGGCGTGACTGCTTGCTTAGTTTTGCCAAATTCGTGGAATGTTCGAAATAGTTCAAATCTGGGATCCTCATTCCTCATTTCTCACGTAAATGACATGTCGAAATAGATAAAATCATTTGTTTTCCACACATTCTGGGAGTCGTTTACGTGTAAACGACTACAATAATTACATAATAATGAATTCGAACTCACGGATCGACAGTCATTATAAATACATAAAACTGCACCCAAACAATAATTACTGCTATTTGATTAAGTGATGAAATTACGCTGGAATAGATAGTAATTCGGAGAATGAAATTTTTGTTTCACACCTATGGAAAACCAAAGCATCGCATTGTACGTGTATGAAAGCCACTAAGTAAAATTTTAAAGTTTTTTAAATTACGTTTACGTTTGAATTGAAATAGCGAAATAAACAAACAAAACCCTTCCCAACCTGATAACAGAAAGTCATCAAAAATATCTAACACTGTGTATTTTATTGGATCGGAGGTTTTCAATCGGGTTTCTGCTCCATCGAAAACCGCTGGATTAGATATATTTCAACATTTGAGCAAATTTCATAATTCGCTATAGTCCTGGAACAATATTTTTAATGTTGCATAGATATCTCTTCAATGTACTATTAAAATTTTCACTGCGGGTGTACACGAAGGAATTGAAACAAGCCGGTATGCACCCTCCGCTAATATTCAAGTCCGCACTTCGTTATACCATCCTTGCAAAATTGCAGATCGATAGCGGTAGCATACTGCAACGACCGATCAACGAATTGCTAGTTCATTCAAGAGCTGCGCTTCTGGTCGGCTTCCTTGAGTGAGTGGTATACTGTGGGTGGAAATCAAAACAAAGTCCTGAGACTTCCGCAGCTCACAGATCACTGAAACGAAAGATGGTTTTTCGAGTGTTCTTTGAACTTAATTTTTGACTAAGTTGACCAAAATATGGCGACAAATTGAGACAAAATACCCCCGTATGAAATTTTATCACACGTGGCCCGCAGCTTCATTATGTGTGGCCCGCATCACATTCGGAGAGTAATCAAAAAATCGCATTTGGTGTTGTTTTGTCATAAAATTGACCAGAAAAATTCTTTGGCATATTGTTACATGCCTAATGTCGATGAATTGTCCAGTCTTATGGCTAGCTGAGGCAACTAGCGAAATTTAGTGATGTGCTTGGCAGTCTAATATGTTATCTTTCTGTATTTTTAGTCGGGAATACTGTATATGCTAATCGAACGCGGATTCTATTAACCTTAGGTTGGCTATGCATATGCCTGATAACCAAATATTAATGTTATGGCCTAACAATTTAATTCATGCCGGGTGTTTTTTGCAACCAGCCTAACAGTATTACAAAAAATGCGTTGTGTCGGTAACAAAAAAATAATTCAAAACGGCATTTTAGAATCTTGTGAGCAATGATCTATTTCCAAAGTAAAGATTTTGCTTTTTATCTTATCGATGTTCGAAAGCACTTACATTTGCGGTAGCACTTTTCCCGCTATGAAGAGATCTTACACTATATGTCGATAGCGGATTTTTGCAGGTTTCAGTAAGTTTTTTGGCGGATTTTGCATGTTTTAGTTTGATAAATGACAAATACTTATCAATTTGTTTGCACAATAGAAGTGTTTGTTTTGTATTGCACTGTTTACCTATTCTTGGACCTATTGTGGCCCGCGATCAACACAAAAATAATTTTGTGGCCCCCGAAGCCGACAACCCTGAATCAACCTAATTTGGACGTTACAGCTTGACTAGGGGTTCTCAACCTTTTTTTGTTTTGTTAGGTAACCCCGAGTCCGAAAACAATCAGCCCGGTCCCCCAATAATCAGACACCAAACAAAGTTGTAATATATATATTGACTAACAATTTGCTGCAACAACAATTTATTGACCAACCGCTGTCACTGAATTAAACTTTTGTGCCCTTTATTGCTTTCGTCTTCCGCGTTACAAATGAATTTTAAAATCTCCCTCTTAAGTTTCAATTAGCATTATCTATTTTCTGCTATGCTTGCAGCAAATTATCTTTTGAGATTTCACAATTTGGCTGCAAAGCCGTGTATTACACATTGTTACGTCACAACAACGCATAATCAAGGGAAATTCATAAGTTTTAATCAGCACGCATTTACTCTGGTAGTAAAGGATATTGAAAAATAGCAACAAATGAAAACTCAACTGCTATTCAAGTGCCCATGGAAATCTTCCCGTGGTTCGCGAACCCCAGGTTGAGAATCCCTGATCTAGACACACAGACAAAGAGTCAGACAGAACACGACTGTGAATAAGGATTTCCAGAGCGGAGATCCAAAAGATAATGATTGTCGCATGTTCGAGCATAAATATGTCTATCTTTCTCTGCATTACAACCTAAATTTGATGGATTCATAATAAACTGAGTGCAAAGCTACTCTTGTAGCACAAAACAAAATGATACGATAATCTCTGAAAATTACTCGTCTGGCTTTTATTTGACAGAACGTTACACAATTACAATTGTGAAGTGTAATATATGACTATTGAGAAGGAAAACGAGAGCCTGATAACAAATCCTTCAGCTTTCAAGTAACTTTCCTCAACTGTTTATCGTTTGCTAAACGCTTCACCACTTATACACAGTGGCCATTTCCTTAATAAGTGGTTTTTTTTGTTAAACGACGCCAAAATAAGCACCCCCACCCCCGCAGTAATTATCCAGTTAGGGTAAAGAATGATTTAAACGATTTTCAGCGAACGCTTCATTATCTAAAATATTCAATAAATGAACCGTGTCTCAAAATGACCGGATTCCACTTTTTCCCGTTTTAGCATGCAGCAAAATATATTTGTTAATTGGTTGTAACGTGACTAGACTATGGTGTATTGTCTGGTGATATGCTGTCTATTTCTGATTTGGCAAAGACACTGCGTACACCTTTTCCCAAAACATGTATTGAAATTGTATATTTTCGGAAACAAAGAGAACAACTCCAAAGCATGGTTGATAAGCCAGACAAAATCCAAGTTACACTGCACGCATATAATTAGTCGTGCACTTAATCTTTGTTGTCCTTTTAGCTGCCCTCTTCTAACAATTGGTCATTTATAAACTTGTTTTGGTTTCCCGAGGGCATGGCGCTGTGATGTCATTGTAGACTACAGCTTGTCACCTTTATATTACTTCAGCTTTATTCCAATTTTGATGCCCGGGTCAAATCAGAATAATTATGAGTTAAAACACTTCCAATTGTGAACTAGAGACAGGTAAATTGACCTAATATATATTTTATAACCACACTTGATCCCTTTGCCACACTTGTTCCACTAATCTGGGTGTAGTGGAATACGTGCTGTGTTCTGGGTTAGGATAGATAAAATACCTTGTCAGAAGTTTACTTTAGAGAGCATTGGTCAGCAAACTTTATGTACTCGCGGGCCAAATATACACATTTGCGGTATCGTGCGGGCCTCATTAATTTCCGCCTACAAACAATTGCCACACTAAACTTCAAATTGTGGCGAACTCGCACCTTTCATTCTGTGCCACAGTGGTACATCTATGTTGCCCTTTTCAATATATATGTTATCAAACAATACATTGTTTATATTTACTTATCATCAATCTTCAGGATGATGTTTTTTCTTTGTCGTGACCAAAGCGTCGCAATCAAATGGCAACTTATTTGCCCCGCAGTACGTCGTCCAAGTGACGACCTGACAAGCGAGTACGAAACTTGTTCTTAGTGTAATGCATTTTAGATAAAGCAGCTCACAGCAATGTGTGCTTTAGAACGTGCACATCGCAGGTTTTTTTGCACTGTCGCACAGATGAGCAGTGACGCCGCCCCTGGTCTCGGGGTCGAATTTCGTATTTGCAATGACATGTTTCGTAATTACGTTCAACATTGAATCCTCTAATAACTGCGATGTTAACTTGTAAACTGGCTTTGGAATGCGCAAATAGAAAAAATATCTGCTCAAGCACGGCTCTCATCCCAAATATTCCTCCGTTTCCGAATGATTTTATATTTTAAAAATTCAAAATAAACTCGACTAATATTTACAACCAACATCAAGTGAACGACAAACAACTGACGTTACTTACTACAAAAAAGCGCTTCAGAGCAGCACTTGTTACCACGTACATCCTTGTCGAGACAATAATAAATTCATAATCAAATTTTTATTTAAATTATTAGTTCGAGGGCCGCAAAAAATTAGTTGGCGGGCCGCATTTGGCCCGCGGGATGCAGTTTGCCGCCCCACGCTTTAGAGTATTCATATGAAGTAAGTCATACAATTGAGAGAAGTGTAAGACGCGACATTTTTTAGATAACTGTGGATGTTCATAAAGCTCTCATCTGAATTTCTATAGTATCCAAGGCTAAGCTGATGACATTTTTACCGGGGTACATCGTTAAAAATGTACATATAAGGACCTTTTCATTATCAGTCATTTTACCTGTGAGTAACGCGACAATTATTCTCCCAAATAACGACTCAAACTATGGCAGTGATTGGCGCCGCGACGATTGCGCCTCAAAATCAACAGAATTGTGTTGAACATAACTAATACATGGTTCAGTATTTTACATATTGTGTTCATTGAATGTTTTATTGTTTCTTATTTTAAATGTGTATATAAATCAACAAATTCATATTACCTTTCTATGTCGTTTACTTTTTGTTATGTAGTATCTGCCTCTATTGTTTCGAACTGTTATTACGTACCAATAGAGATAGACACTACTGACAGCAATTTCGCGAGCTGTAGTTTATTTATTTGCTGCAGTTTAGCGAACATGAATGTTTTATTTTCTTATTTCAAAGAAAAATCAGGCAGAGAAGAGTTGATCTTTTGCCTTTATTCTTTAGGCCTACATGGTAACAAACTTTAAAAGACATAAAGTACACATTCACGATCACAAAATTGAGTGTTATTCGATTTTTCGTGCGCGGTGATTTTTTCACTGATAATTTGACGTCTCACGAAAAACCGCTTGGTAACCGCCGAATTATGTTTCAAAAACCTTCAGATCGGCTCAATACCACCGAGTTGTAGAGAGTCACACTTTTATGTTCAATATTTGCGTGAATAAATAAGAAATCTTGCAGTTTTAGAAAGTCATAACAGCCATTCTCTTCCATACCGTTGATACAATTTTTCCGTAATTGGTTTTGGTGTCACTTGGTGCAAATCTCATAGAACAAAAATGAAAACCGAACCTTTTTAATAAATTATTTTTATTTCGACGTTCACCACAAAAATAAGACAAAAGAAAGGAAAAAATAAATAGTTAGAATGATAAATAGTGGAGACAAGCACTGACCTTATAAAGGCGATTTGTTTTGTGCATTGAACCTGAAATTGTCGTCAAACCTTTATGTTCCAACCTGAACGCCAGGCGGTCGCAAATTCTACGAATTTTGTGGGATGCCAGATTTAATAGGTCGAAATATTCACATTTATTTATTTTTTTGTCATTTAAATTATTAGAATGGAGTTGAATTTACGGAATATTAAAAAGTGGGTTGCAAATAAAGGACCGACAAACACATCAGACTTGCTAGTTCGAAGAAAACCAATATTTCAAATACTCGATCAAGTATGGCACTTTGATATTGGATCTATCCCATCACACTCCATGCTTGGCAACAAATTCACTTTCTACTTTGTCAGAATATGACGTAATAATAAATAAATAACACATAATAAATAAACAGCAGAATAATGACGTAACAATAAAAACATTCACCGAATGAAATATTACACAAATGACATCGACTAGCATAAGGCGTTACGAATGCATAGCAAATTTTTCTAATATTTTTTAGCAAGAAATGTGAATGACATGAACTTCAACCATTGGTGAATTTTATTTTTGATTTTGAAGAATCTATTGGTACTTATGCAATATTTGATTGAGAAACAGATGAGTCAAAAAATTTAACTCGAGGAATAGAGGAAATTTATGAGAAAATAAAGAAAACATGTTTCAATTGTGGATTTTATTGAATTGAACGTTTCGGATAATATTTTTTATTATCTGAATCATCCAAGAATCTCAATATTGTCATTAAAATTATTTGTACCCCATTTTTAAATTATCGGCATTTTCGAATTATCGAAATTTTTATATAGGTAAACAGAGAAGCATCTACTAGTCTAGGGCCGTGTTCCGTGCGAAAGTGTTCAAATATTATAAAATACGACGATAGCATGTAAACAACTTTACTAATAAAATAAATAATTCGTATAAAGAATATTTTAAACAATGTGACAGACACATAAACAAACAGACAGACAAACAGACTAAGACAAATAAAGTGTTAAAGACAAATATTAATAATAAATAACTTGAACAAATAGAAATTACAGTTACAGGAGCACAACAAAATGAAGAACATTACAACGAACATTTTAAGCAATGTGACAGACACACAAACAAACGAACAGACAGACAAACAGACTAATTTGCGTGTTAAAGACAAATAATAAATAACTTGAACAAATAGGAATTACAGTCACAGCAGCACAATAAATTAACAATAAAAATAGCGAATGAAATTAAAAGCACAAAATAAATAAATAAAAAAAAAATGATTAATTTTCCATAAAATTAGGCAATATATACATAATACATCCGTATATTACGATCACTACTTAATGGAAAACTTTTGGAATGTTTCGCATGAACTCGTCTTAAATTTTTATTATGAATAAAAAGTGGTTAAAGGGTTATTGTTACAAAAAAGTGTTATGAACTTCAACATTAACATACTACCAATAGCGCGTTTGATGCGTTTTTAGTCCGATAATTATATTAGTTGATTCAAAATTATTTATAAAAACCAATTATTGTTGAATGCCTTATTATTTGCCATATGATCAGTCCAGGTAACTAACATTTGGGGTGTATTGATATTTTGTATTGGTATAATGCAAGGATGCTGTAGTAAGCATGAAGATGGCCATCAGACGAAACGCTATATAAATTCATTTGGGTTATTGCACAACAAGACCATTGGGTCGCAAAGAAATTTAATTTGAATCTGACGCAATATACAAGGCACATACTGGAGATATAACAATTGAAATTCATAACATATAAAATTGACTACAGTGATTGAAAATTCAACATTTTTTACCAATACGTATTATGTCACAATGTGTATCGTTGTGTTTCTCTAGGTAGTTTGCTTAGTAACATTGTAACATAACTTGATTAACGAAGCTTGCAAGTAGCAGACGACTTGTAAGAGAACTATTTATGACATCATAATGTTCCAATAGTGTCACAATTGGATAATGTTCGCCAGTGAGCAGTTTGGCTATCAAGGACCGATCACTCGTTTACAAGACAGGACAGGACAAACGTTTATCAACATATTTTGTTCGTATTGCATTTTTGGCACCAAATTATTTTGTTAGTTTGTAGTGAGATCATACGAAAACGTTTTCTTTAGGATTTTTCTTCCCTTGTAAATCCGCTTGAATATAGGGGAGGACGTCTGAAAAAGAACAATACGATTTGAATAATTTCATAAAATATCTCATATATCTCGACATGGCCCATTTATAAGTTCTACACAACCGAATACATTTACCGTACTCACTATAAGAAATACAGACAAATAAGTGGAATTGCATTACAATTTCCACTGAAGTTTTTGAAGAATTTTGAAAATAATCGAACAAGTTCGGAGGTTATTGCAATATCACCACATATTATAATTAGAGGGCAGTCATTGTCAAACCACAATTTAATCCAATCGTCAAAATTTCGCAATTTGACGCGTGTAGATTCTAAAAATCCATCAATATTATCGCTGGAGGTTTCAACAACTTTATCCAGGCTCTACTCAGATCCAGACTAAACGTATTATTTCTATAAATGTCCACGTAAACTAAGAGAATATAAAAAAAAATCGAAAGATGTTCAACTTACTTCGCCATCTTAATAACGCTATCAAGGGGATCCATATAACGCTACATGTGATCAATAACACAATGACAGCTACAACCCACGACGGATATTCGGTTTCTTGAGTAACACCTGAAAAAAACATCGAGATTCTCAATGGAATAGACGATAACTGAAATTTCTATTCCATATCAAAACCACTATCGAAAATGTCAATTTTCAAAGACCTCAACTCTTGTTTGCTTTGGTCAGACTCATATTAAGAGAGCGATGCTCAAATATATGAACACGGAGGCTAAAACAAAGTCGTACGGGTATGCAATACCAACAACATAATAACAAAACGATCCATATGTACTTTGTGTTCAAAAATTGAAAACGACAACTATTCGGTCGTAATCCTATGGAAGTTTAAGTATGATCCAATAAAAACTCACCAATTGTTTTGTCATAAACGTCATAGCTTGGAGTTTTGAGACCGAGCGATACCAGAGATGAAATAAATAAAACAGCCATACAGATCGGTGATATGGCATACCAAGTAATCTTCCAATACCACCCAGGAGGTCCTTTGCCCATCATTAACTCGATATCTTGAGAAAACCTAGAAAAGAATGACAAAATCTTGAAATTTATATTTACTGTCAATTGTTGAGTACTAGGATATTGTATTTGTCATTTTTAAGTTGGCTTTTGTACCAAATTTCTCAATTACCGATTTCGAAGTTTTCCTTCGATTAATCGAAAAACAAAACACCGGCAATAATAAATGAAAATTTTCAAATAAATCGAATTAATATTTTTATAAATGGGGCATAAAAGCTGATGTTTTTAAAATGCATTTCAATGAATATTTTAAGGCGTAAGATGTACATTTTCGACAATTAGAGAGATAAAAAAAGAGAAAAATGCATTCGAGAGAAAACACTAGTATTAAAAGTTGTTAAATCGATCATACCAGCAGAAATAAAATCAACTGTCAAATCGAATTATATTTTCATAATTATTATAAATTACAGTAAAATTAACTAAAATATATAAGTTATCTTACTTGTCCATTCCATAAACATAAACAACGGCAATATTCTCAAAGAATGCAATAAGAAGCAAAGGTAACGTTCCTGCGTATGTATCGAACAATCCTAGGACGTACATTCCGGATTGCAAGCAGAATATGAGACCGATAGAAAAAGAGACAACGCAGAGAATACCTGGTAAATGTAGAATAAATAATGATTATTCCTTAAAAATCTTGGACCAATCTATCTCCTGATTTCAAAAATGTTCACACCTAAAAAATTTATCGATCCAAGAGATTTGCCGCGAACTAACACAAATGTATTTTTATGTAACGTTTTGTCCGACCGAGGTCAGACTTCCTCAGACAAAGTCAGAAATCTGACTTAGATCAGACGAAACGTTATATTGTTGAACTATGTATGTATATAAGGAAGTCTGTCTGGCCATGGTTCGACAAAACGTTACAGAAATATATTTGTGTTAGTGTGCAGCAACACATTTGAATCACTTAGGATAGTTATCTTTTCTCTTGCTATAGCATCTTTGTATTATTTATATACCAATCTACCCGCACAAAAAAAGAAGGGTAAGTACTTAGTAAACAGAAAACAAATCAATAACGTAAAATATGTAGATAATGAAAATTTGGTTGCTGTCATCGATTTTCCTTATTTTGACTTGAGATTATTAAGCTTCGTGGCGTCTGAAATTCCCAGTTCGGGAGTAAAGCTGCAATACCATTAAAAGACTTCAATTCCACAGTCATGTGAGGACATTGGATATAGTTCTAATCTAGTTCGATCCAACCCAAATTATGAACTATTATACCCAATAGCTTTTCAAGTATAAACGACTACTTGTTCAGAGTCTTGCTTGCAGTGGAGTAAAATTTGACGTAACAATAACGATTAAACACAACATGCACTCACCGACGACGAGTTCTTTTCTTATTTTGACGCCCAAATCCTTCAACGGTGTTATAATGCCCTCTAGTGTTCCAAACATGGATCCGAGACCAAGGTTTATCAACATGGAAAAGAACAAGACACTCCAGAACGGCGCGCCTGGCATTCTGATCATAGCTTCTGTGAAGGCAATGAACGCAAGTCCTGGTCCCGAAACAGCCTGAGAATAGGTGATTGAGATTTTTACTCGAAAAAAGTTTAGTCTAACTTTACAAGTATTTTGGATTGAAAAGGCACAATATCATTTCTATGGCAATGCCAAGGATAACAGTCGAAAAGTCAAGTCACTGCACAACAAGATTAGACTGTTTATTGGTCCAACTAATATTTTAGTCTACAAATTGTTGTAGCATCCATAAGAATGCTGAAACCGTTTGGAATAAATAGAATGATTTATCCTTACCAGCTGAAAATACTTGCTTTATTGAATGAGGCACGAAGATCTATTAATTATGAAAAGATAACAACCTATACAGCATTAAATATATATATTCTATGTCAGTTTGCAAATTTCATGTATTTTAAATGAATCATATTATTTGTTTGAAGTACGGTGCTAGGTATATCATTAGGCAAAATAGAACTCACCTTTTTCAATTCTTCTGGGACACTACATTGTGAAAATTCAGTAACTGATGTATTCGTAAATGATGACCAATCCTGAAGAAAGTTACAGAGATTAATATTTTGAAATTTTGACATACATTCTCCGGGTTCTTCAAACTGGGGGTCCCGAACCCCCGGTGGGCAGCTCTTTATGGGGGTCGCGGTAAAATATTTTTTTGAAACTAACTTATGTTAAAGCAAAATATCACTGAGACCCACCAACACAGAAATAGAACCAAGATTCGATCTTTTGTGCGAGAATATGCAATTTGTCAATTTTAATAATATTTTTTAACATTCCCTGTATCATTAGATTTTACTTTGAAGCACTTGTTCGTGCCAAGTGGGCTGAAATTGAAAAAGTTCGAAGAATACTGAATCAATAAAATAATATTTGGCAGCAAAGTAATCGGATTTCCAAAATTTCGCCGTGAAAGTGAAAAATTTTAGAACTAAATAACGAATACGTGAAACCAAAAACACATTTTTCGTATATAGAGCTACTATTTGATTTTTTTGAAATTGAAAACATAACAAAAATATCTAACTGAATGTCAAATTCGAATATTTCAAGTGAAAATAAGTTTTTGTTGTTGAACTCAGAAAAGATAAAGTATATTAGTTACTTAGTAGATGTACTTACTGAAATAAGATTTGTTTCGTTATTATAAATAGTTTCATTGATGTATCCGAATAAATGTTCGTAATTTTTTCGATCCAGAACATTAACAACATGTAATAAGTCATGCGATGGACTGTGAATATGAAAGAATTCTCGAACATGAGCAATGTTCCTGAAAGGAAGAATATTGGAGTATTTAGTAATAAGCAAAATTATAAATTAGGGCTAGGTTCCACTAGAGTTCCTAAATAGGCAAATGGAGGAATTTAACAAAAAAGTTTGGAAAGCACTGGGATACTGTTTTGAAGGATGCGAAATCTTTCCGTTCAGCATTGCCTGCCTAAGATATTGAAACATGAGTTGGCTGCTGACTGCAGAGCATATATGAGAATCAAAACTGATCTATCACTAACAAAATATTTCTAAAATTCCAACGTTTTTCCAGATTTTGACGTTCTAACTTAACGATGATATATGCATAAATTTCGGATGGGGAAATTTTGTTTGTTTTCCATTGTATCTTTTTCGGCAATGTCGATTGCGAAAACTGCCGATTATTTAATGATTTACCGATATAAAATAACCGTACAATCCTAGTCTGGGATCAAGTTCAATGTGGTGCTCATAAAATTAATTATAGCAAGTCGATACCCAATACCTGTCCAAGCATTCCTCATTCATGCTGAAAGCTTTGAATCCAAGAACAGCGAAAACAACAATTGAGGCGAAAATACTTGTTGCTGAATTTATAATCGACACAGTGAGAGCATCTTTCCTACAATCGTTCTTTATATCATTGTAAGAGGAATAAGCGATTACTCCTCCGAATCCAAGTCCCAAAGAAAAGAATATTTGTGTTGCCGCGTCTCTCCATACTTCGGGGTCTTTCAATCTGGAGTACTGCAAGTATAGATATCTTATTAGTTGATTGTTAGATTGCCGTTTTTCGTTTAGCAAACAGAAAAATCGAGATCCTGTCGAGATTTTTTTCTTTTCTTTTTCTATACGGATCAGAATACGGCCTGCTTCCGATCAATATTCATGAAATAACTCATATCCGGCTGGGTCGTGAGGCACGATTGAAAAAAAAATGGGGGCTGACTAGATGTTACGACTACGAATGTTAATATGGAAGTCTTCTAGCCCAAATGAATCAGGGCGCGCGAACACAGAAAAATAAGATGGTTAAGTTACGACGGAAGCAGATATGGGTCGTTTTCAAATTCAGTAGTTGAAGGCCACACTATCGGAGTTTCAAATGCATGAACTGTATTTAATATGTGCAATCACTTGGGATATTTAGGAATTACGTTGAGCCGAGGTGAATTCGAAGTGTAGACCAGCGTTTCCTAAAATTGGCTCGACGGTGTGGCTCATCCCTGATTACTCTGCTTAGGTTCGCAGGAATCGGCATTGCAAAGAAAAATGTCTCTAGTTTTAATTTTCCATGGAGGAAGAGTCACTAGGTGGCGATAAAGTGAAGAATAAAAAGCAAAAACAACTACTTACATTTTCGAGAATCAACATCAGCAAGTGGTAACGCATCGAAATATTTTTCTAAAATTTTCAGGTAGCAATATACTTACATCAGGAGTGACCATGTACAGTAGTCCACCCACCGCTCCCTCTAGTGTTATTGCACGGAAGAAAAATATAAGAAGTACGAGATAAGGGAATGTTGCACTGAAGTAAATCACCTGAAAAACAAAGAGGGTTATCATTAACTTCATTCAAAGAAAAGTGAAGTAAATTTATACGGAAGAGATTTCTAAATTCCCAAAGTACAGTTATCAAGACAAAGGAGTTTTTTCTTTCTAATCAGTTCCGGTAATATCTGTGTATGAAGCACAAACTTATCAACACTAAATGATAGCCTTGGCAATTTATATATAACTCCTTTCTTTTCTAAAATATCGCTCCCTCATAGAAGGTTATTCTCCGAAAATATTAAAAATCTACTGTGCTGTAAAGTACCAAAGTTGGGCCACGGATATGGATTACTTAGTCAAACCAAGCACTTCTTGAATGCTTGTCTACTGGTAAGCCGCATTACAAGTATCGTTTACCTAAAAATTTCGAAAATTCGACAATTATCAACAAATAAGTGGAAATTACCGAGACAGGATGCCGTTGGTAAACCACAATCGAAGATTGATTTAATTCTTAACGTGGTTTTCGCGGGTTCAAATTGAAAAAAGCGTAAAATCTATCAATATTTCGTTATCATCTCATATATGAAATAAAAACGCCGTGAGCATATTAGCATATAAAAAGCGAACAAATTTTTTTTCTTGAAAATTGAGTATATGTAATTCATGGTAAAATTTACCATTTATATGTCAATTTATTCAGGTAGGAAATTTGCGGGATCCAAATAACTACTTGTTGTGATAACAACGAATTTGATTGGATATTGGAATTGGAAATTCATTTAACACGTATAGTCAAAATTTTATTGAATAATCATGAAAAAATGGCCAATTACTATCAGAAATAGGATGTTTTATTAAATATAGTCCAGATTCAATAATAGAATTTTATTAGGCATATTGTTAATTTTACTGGCCACAGGTAATGCGACGGTAATTTTTCTTAAAGCTGATTTTTACGTTTCTGTAAACCTATACCTAAGACCGCAGTAGTACGGTATTAGCCCTGGAGGCCTTGTCAGATTACAATACTATTAAAGGAAAAGCAGTCGCTGGTGTTTTCCCAGTGCGATTTGTAATGTCCGCGTGCAAAATTACGCATTCACGCAAACAAGCAAATCAAGCGCCGTTGGAGAAAATCTTAACTCACGCGATATGAATGACAGCCACCAAATAAGGCATCTACGATGGAGGCAATTAATATGACTCGTTTTTTTTTCATCCGAATGTTTAACAATGCGACAATAGTTTACAACTGATAAATTAACAATGAAACCCCACCAAGTTTTATATAGTTTCTGAAATTGTCATTCGGCAATAATAAAACAACGAAAGTAGTCACGAAAAAGTGCGCAACATTAAGTATTTCATATCTTTCAAATGATTCATGTCCCTCAAAATAAGGGTAAAATTAAAATAAAAACATATTTTCATTTTGCCGACGAATTATTTTAATGACGTCATAAACCTTATAAAAACGGAATAAATGATTCATTCTAGACGTGGTCCTCAATAACACCTTGAAATATTTATTTTATTTATAAACAAATACATGACAAAGAATCAAAGGATCTATAAACTGAAGCAAATGACGTATATAGAAGTATTTTCAATTATATTCTCAGATACTTTTCAATTCATGTTTTGTGTGTTCAGTTCCATTTCATTTTGCATCAAAAGTTCATTTAAAAATGAAACTGTTTTAGAATTATTATAAACAGCAAAAGCTTGGTATAGTAAAATTGTTTATAATAGGCCTAACCAACAAATATATTTAACGATGAGTGTTATTCCTATCTCTTTTAAAAAATGTTTGAAGAATTTCGTATCCTATCCCAGAAAAATACTATATTCAAAATATTTCCCAAGACATCGAAACTGCTAATGCTGCACGAATAAATGCAAAGGGTTGTAGTGAAGGTGGAAAAGCACTAGTAAATGAATGGATTTCTCTCTCGGCAACCGAAACAGTGATTTGCACCTTTTTGTATGGACGAGTTTCAGGTAGCGTGCTTTGATATACGCATTGAATGCGCTTAAAGTGGTCGTATTTCATATCGGAATGGAATTTATAGCAAAATGGACAATATAGTGGAATCTCACAATTTTAGGCCACAGCCCAAATCATACCAGCTGCGTGTGGTATGAGAACTTAAACTTGAACTTACGCGATTGTGATAATATTAGACTTTAGAAGTATGCCTATCATATTCAACGCCTCCCAACAAGACGCTCAAATTCTCTAGATACAAGCGGCAGAAATTTTACAAAAACTTCTCCATTTTCCACGTGGTGAGCGCATGTGAGTTTGAGAAAATGACGAAATTCACTATCACAAAAATATTTTTGATCCATATTTACATTCCCTCACCCTAAAATGTTTATTCATGCTCTGCAAAGGTTATAAATAATTGTATATGTTGACATTTCCTGAACTAATATTTGGTTTATAGAGAAACACGTCATGTTGAGAGGATGTAACCACGCGAAAATAATTTTAAGAAAAAAGAATCGAAACCAAAAATCAACATAGACTACGACTATATACCGTTATCTTCCGGTTAGAATTCTGACTATTATCAATGATTTCATATATTTAATCTACTGCTGTCAGCATATACTCGGCGCAAATAGTAGGCTGTACTCGATTCATATTCGAATTTAGCAACATAAAGCACAAAAAAGTTTTTGTTTTATTTCAAAATATAACGTCTGGTATTCAAGAGTCCCAAAACTGAACATTGACCCTATTAAGGTATGCGATAAGTCGGACACGATGCTTATTTTGGCTCCGATCATTTTGGCCTACAACACTTGCTAAGTACTCTATGTATATTTTAGGCATGCAGTGTTATATCAATAAAATGTGAGGCCGTTCGTGTAACACCAGCAAACGATTCATTAGGACTAGAAAATAGTGAGTGCATGGTATAATTCCAATCAGACGACAAGTAATACCGGATAGGGGATGTTTTAAGTATGCAGTGAGTGGTTTGGAGTACGTTAGCTGAATCATAGTTTATGTGTTTCCGTGGATACAAGACAGTATCGATGTATGTGATGCGTGGGGTCGCGGTCAGTCTGTTCTGTGGTCACGAAGGGGTGTTTCAAAGGTGTGTTTGTGTGAACGCCCCTTACACACCTTTATCTGATTCAGTCAGCGTTACACAGGAAAAAACATCATTTGTCAACTTTTTATTACTCAAAATTTACATGAACGAGGAATTCAACAACATTAGCCTTTTGGTCAAATATTAGGTGAAATAGGTGAAATTTAACTATAGCAAAGACTAATTTCGTTGTTTTGAATTTAGAATAACTTTATGCTCTTTGATAACCTCTAGTAAACGGACGCAAAATTGAGTCATATCCTACTTAGTCAATATGGTAACGAAGAACAATATAAAATCATTTCCTGGTGGTTTTTGGATGAAAATTATGTTCAATTTTTTAAAGGAAACCTACCAGACTAGTATAATTGAAACAACAAATTTGATTTAAATCAAGATAAGCTATGATAATAATCGAATTGAATAAAGTTTAATGACAAATTACATACCATTTTTAGGCGGTTTTCAAGCCCGCACTTTAAACGTTTTTCGTATATTTCACAAATTCATCTTATCGAAATGCTTGTTTAAGATTTATGCAGAGAGTAAAAAGAGTAAGAAAATCTAATTTTTGCGGCTGTTTTTTATATTCAATACATACAACGGAATGACTTTGGTAATTTTCCCACGATGGGATCGGAATTCTCTTCTCTATTCACAAAAATAGCAACGTAACGGTTATATTGTCCAAGGCACATTTATAGTAAGGAGAAAGTATTTTTAATTGTCGCGTAGTATTCTCGAAGGAAGCGGACTTTCTATGGTTTGTTGTCTAATCTGAACGAATAATGACGTAAATTCCGTAAAATCATTATCGTGTTATCTTACGGCTACGAAAATCGTCTTTGTCACGAGTTCGTGATTCACATTGTTACGTCATAGTTAGATTTTAATTATGTCAGAAAAATGTTGTATTTCTTTTTTAATTCAATTGTGTCGTTTATAATACAGTCTGTATTGATTTTAAAGTGGCTATAATAGCATTCCGTCAAATTTATTTACGTATGTGACGTTTTCGCCAAAATAGATGCTAATAATGGGCCAATGCGCTGTGGTCGGCAATTTAATAATCGGAAATTGCAATTCTGCGAACGAAATTTAAATTATTCAAGAGAAGAGAACACTAGACTTGATAATATATTATTCTAACTGAGTTTGATGCTATATGCTCGCTATTTTTAAAAGATAATACATTTATAAAGAAATATTGGCTATTATCAATCATAAAAAGTAAAGTTTACTTAATAAATGAGACGAGGGCTAATAACTTCAAAACATCAGTTAATTTGCTACAATGTAATATATCACAATGTTGTTTTAGACGCATTCCACCACGTATTAGTCGTATGATTCAAGTTGGCATTTTACGAGTGTTTGAAGTGTACTCTATCTTCCTACTTCCTGTTGCATTGGTTTTAACCCACGCACTCAAAAACCTCGGTGACGAGATCGATTACTAAATTTCGTGGAATTATTTAACATTATTTCAATGCGTAACAATGTATACATACGAAACAAATATCATGATTTCAAAGGATAAACGGTTGTCATAATATGTGCTTTGTCGTGAATAATGATTCTATGTGAATAATCTGATACGGGTAATATAGACCGACAATTGTATTTTGCGCAGACATTAGAATTCTCACCGACTTTTCATTCGGTATAGGGTTAATGAGTATAGAGCAATATGGACAATATATAGGATCGATCTCGGTTCACGTGGTACTTGAATGTAACCAGCCTATAACCATCGTCTAATACTTGAAATGAGCTAATAATATCAGACATATCCGTCCTTAGATGCACTCCAAATGCACAATTGAATATTACTAGTATCCACCGAATTGGGTATATGGTCACGGCGATAAAAAATGATAGAAGTGGCACCAATTTCTGGTCGCAGGATATTTCAACCCCCTAAGTGTGACACCTTAAAATCAAAGCATCACTAACCTTTCCAGAAGATTTGATTCCCTTGAAAGTTCCGAAGAAAACGACAGTCCAAGCTAACAACAAGCATAAAACCATTCTCCATTGTAAGATACCAGGTTCTTCTATAGCAGGCGAAATGTCTAGTGTATCACGATACCAAAAGTATGAGGTTTCACTACTGATGTCACATTCTTGAACTGAAAATAAATAATTTTGGAAATCTTGATTCTGCAGTAACTGTTGGGATACCACAGTTAGCCAATAAACAGGCCTGGCACCACAACTGGACATAGTTATTTGCAAATGATTATGTTTAGTTGGGACCAGAGATGGAACTGGAATCGGAGCCTAGATCCGAGCTTACCATGTTAGATGGAACTGTGGCCGGAGCTACCAAAAATTTTAGTGGCTCAACCTCTTAACCATCTGATTGGAGCCGGATCCGGGGCCGAGCTCTGACATAAAAACTGAAGCTCCGGAGCTGGAACAGGACCAACTGTGATTTTGAACCAGTTCCCCAACCTTGGTAGAGACTGTCATCAAGTCGTATAAATTATCATAATAAGAATATTTCTAATTTATAAATCTGAAATAGTCGAATAGGAAGTATCTAGTAATATTTGTGCAATCAAATTACTTTACAAACCTGGTACAGATAAGTTCGTCATAGGATCTTCAACTTCTGGACAATTTGCCCAAGGTAATGATTGAAACGAATTAAGAAAATAAAACATTGCCCACGATATGATCACATTATAGTATAACGCAATGAAGAAGCAAACCTGGGGTAAAAAGAAAAATGTCAATAATCGAATAAAACGATCTTTTTATTGTATTGGCATGGAAAAATAAAGTTTTTGCTCAACCACTTTTTATTTTATAAATCTTAGGCCAGTTCAGGTTGGAAACATGAGAAAACAACAAACCTAACAAACTTTAAACAGAATCAAGATAAACAGATCATAAAATTAGTCGTAGTACCGAAATTTATAATAACTTCTCATATAGTACTTACCACCATACTGGCGATACCGACGCCTCCTAACAGGGGATGTATGTGATTCCAAACTCCAACGCTTCCTCTGCGAAGTCTTTGACCAATTGCGATTTCAAGATAGAACAAGGGAATGCCTTCAAACACCATCATAATGAGGTAAGGTATGAGGAAGGCTCCACCACCATTCTTCTGACATAAATAAGGAAATCGCCAAACATTTCCGAGACCGACCTATAAAGATACAAAATATGCGTTGAAACTATAAATAGTTTACTATGTCATTTCCCCAATTTCAGTTGAGTTACAAGAGCTATACATGGGCATAGTTTAACAATGATTAAATTTGAATTTGTACAACAATCAAAAAACAGCACCTGCGAGAAGAATTATGCGCAAACAATTAATTTTCATAGCCTTTTGCAACATTTTTCTAAAGTTTCGTATCTGTCCTAGCACAGAACATATCATCAATTTTTATTTGCTTACAAGCACTATGTTTCAAGTTACTAGTTCGCGTTTAATTTTTTCGGGTAAAATCAGCGCTTTATTGAAAAAAAAATTGAAATGACGCATGAGTATCTGAATCGCTATTTTTTTTCTACTCAGTTGAAGGAAAACGCACTGCAATTTTCTCAGCAGATGTTGCGATGGTCAATATTGTTTGAGAGATTAAAAAACTTTAAAGAAATTTCGATTGAAAATTCAGCGACCGAATTAATCCCAAGTACCGTTAAACAGAACAAAACATAATATCAATTTATGACATCATAACGAGCCAATCCTAAAGGGGAGCTGAACCTGATGACAGGATGACCGTAAATCCCAGTCTATAACTGTTCGTATATGTTGTATTGTTGCAACGCTTGTTTTCTGGTTGACAAAATAATAAATCTCTCTCTAATCTTACAAAATAAAAACAACAGACTCAACATGAAATTAAACAAAGCCGCCATCTTACCGCAAATCCGATTTGTGCTAGTAAGTATTGTATCTTGTTGTCCCACTGACTTCTTTTCTTACCATCTTCTGTGAGATCTTCATCTTTGTCAGTGGGGTCTTCTTGAATTCCACCTTTTCCTACTAAAGTTGCAGCGGAATCTGTTCCTATATTTTCTTCTTCATCCATAGCAAAATATTTGAGTCCGTAATAACTATATATATATTTATAGAAATAGAGCTAATTCTGAAAAGGATAGTATATCATAATGGTATTTGTATGTGAGTTATAGAATCATATAAATCTTCCAAACGTTTGCGCTTATAGAATTTCGCTTACTTTCATTATATGAATCAATTTGATCGCATAAAGTTCTCTGATTCTCAAAATACATACAAAATTTTTTTCAGTGTCAAGGCATAAACCGCTAGATAGACAAGAAAAAAAAAAGCTCCGTCGGCAACGGCGTGGACGCCATTGATGACCATTCTCTCAGTTATCTCGCCTATATATGTTACAAATTCTCTCCTTTTTTCGAATTCTCTCGTTTTGTGTTATGACGTCTCTACTATAGTAAACAAATGAATGAATCGAGAGTCAGGATTTTATATAATTTTGGTCCCATATCTCATTTGTATTTCTTGTCCGTACATTTCTTTTTTCAAAAATTTAAGTCAATTCTCAAAACGAATGGAAAGTTTAAATAAAATTTACTCCCCACATTAGATAAATAAGTTTTGCATTTACAACGAAACGTCATGATAACGGTAAAAAAAACATGTTTTCGACCTGAATTAAAAATAATATTTTGTATCCCTACACTACAAATGGGGAAAATATAAAAAGGTATCCGTTTAATCTTCCAGTATCTATCATGGAATTTGACAAAACGTCCATTCCATTAACAGCAAGGTCTAAGAACTGAGAGATGAAAAGTATCTATGGATGTTTAGCAAGATATTGTTGACGCAATCGCTGGGAGCCAAATATAGAGTTTATCAACTCGAAAAGGATGTCAGCAAATACCGGTTAAATCGAAACAACTCAACGTTGCGAGATTTCCTTTTTTATAATGTCTAATTCTATAACATGACGGCGAAACCGGCTGCAGTACATTAGTGTCTTACAAAAAATACTAATAGCGATTACGGATAAATATTTTGGTCCGGTCAAAATATTGGTAGTAATTTTCCTCTAAACTTTTCGTGAATGGGAATATTTTTCGCGTATAATCATTCAAAACAAAGTATTCACATGGTTTCAATGACGTCAGACCATAGCGACGTATGGAAACGATATATGATATACTCGTCCGCCGAGCCTACGAAACGCCCAAATGTTTTTATTCACAATAAAGCTATTGATTTTAGTTTCCGAGTCTACTGCAGCGTGGTTCACTGTACTGTACTAAGTACGGGAAATGACGCTCTGGGCATAATGTAGACGCACGCATGGATGTAAACAAGACCAAAGCAACATTTTTGCATATATTTGCCTTAATTTAATACCGTGAAAATACCACAAAATTTAATTATTCCATTACACGTTACGGAGGCACTATTCCTGGACACAAGACGACTAAAATAGCTACCTCGGGACACGTCACACTCAGAAAATCGCTGAAAATTCTTAAAATGGAAAAGGGTCGACTTTTTGCATCAATTCCTAATAACCGCGCGCGCAATATTTTGCCTGATTTGATCGTTTTTATTTTGTGGGATAAATAGTAAATTTAATCTGCAGGAGTCAGTATCGATTTGAGAACTAAGGAATCCGTTTACCAAAGCTAAAAAACTTAAATTGGGACTGACTTTGAGGATAAGGCTTAGTAACATGGACATGATTGAAACCGTTATGGAATTTGTTTTTCTACGGCAGAATTATTTTATGGTTAATTATTATTATAATTATTTTATTCGTATATTTATTTACATGTGAATATTGTGTAGTATGTATAGAATTTTTAATTCGAATTGATTAATGGCGCAAAAGACCACTGATGTTATAACGCAAAAAAAAAACATATAAACAACAACAACATAATGATTCGTACTTTCAAATTATATTAAAGTGATGCTAGACTGCAGCAGTGTATATTATTGATTTTACACTTGATGAGACGAATTTTGTAAAAACGCAATACGATAAAAATAAAACGAAATTTGAAGTAGTTAAAACGAACCCATTAATTGAAGCTCATCCACAATTCAATAAATCTAATTAAGGTTAGTTACTGATTTTTATTTTTAAAAATCTGCCTCAGAATTCGGATTCATAGAAAAGGTTGAAGGTAATATTGAAGTTGAATAAGTTTACGACAATTCAATGAGTAAATATGAATTTGAAACATGTGTTCATGTGACTGCTTAACTCAATATAGTTTGTAAAGAGCAAACTTTTAAAGATGATGATTGGAAGCCTTGAATGCACGGAAATGCCCATTTGGGGGACTATTTCAAAAGCTAAAAACGCCGCCCCCTTTGCTTCTCACGAGTATCCAATCATATTTCTTGTTGAATCAATGCGAAATCACCAGGTTCCGCGGGAAACTTTTAGCTGGACAATCCTCCAGAACGCCTCAAAAATATCACCAGGAACTGTGAATATAGAAACCAACACAATTGCAGGAAGCTTGACGTCCTCTAATGTTCCAACGAATAATATAATCACATGCTATTTGATGTAATAAATTGAGAATCCAGATGAACGAAAAAACATAAACAGACTTGTTTCTGCATTATTTATCAGTCTCAGTATGCCCGTCATAGTATTAATAATTTTATCGAAATTTGAACAAATGATCATTTCTTGGAGCAACATAGCGAAAACTTCAAGTTTTAGTACGATACTGTTGAAAAAACTTGTCAATCGAATGCGATTACAGTAATCCCAAGCTGTTGTACTGTAGAATACGTTGTTTATTTCGTGACGTGACGTCAAGTATTGCTTAGAATCTCCACAAATAACAAGATATTCAATTAAACATCAGCGGGATGTCATTCAAAAAAACTTAAATCTTCAACAATTGGATTAGATGCTTTTCATATTAAAAATATATTTCAAACAGCGTGACGTCAGATAAACCTTCGTACTTATGTTTTCCCATGCGCATTATATTAATGAAATTTCCCATTATTAATGCTTTGAGTGGCGGATTTAAATGCGGGACATCGATGAACTTTGAACGAGTAATAATGAGAATATCTCTAATGGAAAATTACAAGAGGCACATATGTAAACATTTCTCGAGTAATAGAATGCATGTAAATGTTACAGTTTGGCAAAAAAGTTTCTGCTGCCAGCTTTAGTACAATTTTACAATCTTTTAAGAGTGACTATTCATTAACTTTTTTCATTTGACCGCATAATCTCAAAAATATCGAACTTCATCAACATTTGAGTAAATCTAAATTCAAATTTAGTGACCAATTTAACTAAATTTGGCAATAATCATACTTTAAATACACCGTAACACATTTTCCTAGAACCAAGGATAAGTCATCAAGATAATTCTCTTCCAGAGCATTATTCATATTGAATAGGTAGACACAGATATATTATAATATAATTATCTTCAATTTGGAATTATTTTACAAGTATTTTTCCATTGAGGGTGCTGAAAATATATTGAATTCCAATGTTGTGACGCAAGATTGAAACCGTCGTCAATTACTTTTAAGTTGGTCTGGTCGTCGACGCCGTAAGGACGTTTATATATTTTAACCCTTTCAAAACCATAAAAAAAAACACGTGGATACTGGCGCTGTAGATAGTAGTCGCGAATCTCATCGTCTCCGATGTATCTTACGCAAATAGTAGAGGCTTTTATAAATATCACTGAATGTCGCAAGGCTCAAAGACAAATTTGATTGTACTTTGGATACGATAGTCATATTTATTTCGAAGGAGAGGATCACATTGGCCAAATGAACCTAAAAATGAACTCTCAAGATTACACTTGAAAAGTTCAAAAAGCTACATAATTGTTTTATCCAGAAAAAATCACCCGCTACATAGCAACACAACACTTCGAAACATTCGCATGACAAATTGCGATATCCAATACAATAGCTTATATTTTGTACAAAATTCAGTACCGTCCATTAAATCAATTGCGAGCGCATACAGGGTCAAGAAAGACATCGGATATAGGCAAATCTAAATAAAGTGAGTCATACCCATTGACGGCGCACGGAATGTTAGAGTAAAATTCCGTTGCAACGAGTAAGAAATCAATTATTCATTTTCAATATTTTAAAGGCTTGTCGTGGGCCGTTGGCGTGTGATGATACTGTTGTACCAATTTTGTCAGGTTGCAAAACGGTATTTTATTCAGGTAAATCTTATTCTATTCCATTAATAAAGCTACATCGAAGCCTTTCAATTGATCTGAACTGCGATTTTATACAGAACAAAACACTGTTTATACCAAGGATTCCTATTACTTTCTGTTCATCGGTAACCATTGGGCAATTTAAGATTCGCTCGTGCACCTCCAAATTATCTTGCATGCTGTGATTGGAGAAAATAAGTCATGTGCACTGCAAAGTAGACTTGGTAGTTGTAGTTACAGCTTCTACTTTGATGAAAATGTGACTTCCTAAGAAGTTCTTTAACTCAGGTCTTTAAGTTATCAATATCAAGCGATAAAAAATATTTTGAAGCAGATTAAAGGTTATGGAAAAAATATCAACACACTTAGTCGAATACTCCTTTGAAAAGTCGAGATGTATCTCCTGGGGTACATGTATCCCAGTTTTATATACCGCACATAGATGAAAACTTGCAATACGAAATAATACCCCAAAAAGTTGCATTCACTTCCGAGTAAGATATCCCCCATACTGAAACAGTGAGTCCTGTACCCCCCTAAAAAAATTCACAAGATGATTTAAATAATGTAAGATTTGATCGCTTTTGAATCATTGAATGATTTGGCCATATCGTTCATTGGATAAGATGTCAATTAACGGGGTGGCACAATCACAGTTTTTGCTGAACGTTTGTTAAAATAATGAAAATGAAAAGAAAACATAAAACAAAACGGATGTGATATATTATAAGCCTCTGTATTACGAATTAAAAAAAGGTTACGACTCAAAGTTGAAACATTGCGCGCGAACCTATAATATATGCGCCCATTATCATTCATCTTTCAAATGCGAAGTTTGGAGTCTGGAGTCGGGTTTCCGTCAGCCACCATTTGAAGATCGGAGTCAAATTTCTAAATACATAAGGAGTTGTGAGCAAAATGGATTTTTTCCCCGACAACCATGCTGTAAAAAGCAGTAGAATGCGGCTCCACCTTCCATACCTACGGATGAGGAATCACATCATAACATACATCCATTAGGTGTCCCCAGTAATCTGGCGTAATCGCTCGTCCGTGGTGAAAACATGAGCTCGGTGATTAGCATCGAACAGCAGTAATGACAACCTATTAAAATGCGATGTTTGCACATTTATATATTGTACAAATATCGGCAATGTTTACAGGGCGAATCTCATGTGAACAAATGGATCGGCTTGCTTCGCGAATTCAGTTCTTGTTGTAAGCTGTGGTCACAGTCCAGGTAATATGGAAAACATGAAGTACATGTCAGCCAGCAACTTGAACTGTGTGTTCATGTCCAGTTACCAGTATGGCGTTACAAGACTTTGCGAATAACCATTTTGGACAGAAAAATATGTCAAAGGTCAAAGAGTTGCACTGGAAGACTACGAAATTAGCAGACATCGTTACCGCGGAGTGCTTCGTCTTTATTTAGTCTTATCTTACGCTACGGTATTGTTACCGCAAATATTATAAGTTAACAGAAGTCGCTTATTTATTCTTGCATAAATGAAATAAAATGAAGCTACATCAAACCATGTGTGATATGTAACCGTTCAATATACTATTTTCCGGTCTAGACTCTAGACACCTATTAGAAACAAAATTGCAATGCGCTTCGAAGATATTGAAAGGTTGGTTGAAGATGTATTTGAAAAATATGAAAAGTGAGTAACAAGTCTTTAGTTTTTAAGTGATTAGGTAGTTGTACAACTAACCAAACAATACCACTCTAGCCCTATTGCACCTTGCGAGTAGTGGTTCGGCCTCAAATTTCATTTACATTAATTCAGTGGTGTTTAGTTGTGGTCTCTATATAGCAGCATCCGCATTTTCAATCAGGTTGAGCCAAAAAACGGAACACTACACATCGCGTTATCTATAAAATATCTATCACAATTCACATTTACAAACTTTTACCACCAGCTTTCAAAATTAGGAAATTTGAAGCATTGCACTGTATTTTATAACTATAGGTACGCAAATGTGAAATATGATGGAGAGGAAATAACATTGCTTGAGCATTCATTGCAAATTGCCAAACTAGCTGAAGAACATGGAGCATCAGAAGAGGTGAGTTACAGCAGATAAATCTGTGAATGGTTGTGTGAGAGTGGAAATTCCCTACGTTAGAATATGCGATGTCAATACGCAAGAGTCAGAAGTAAATTTTAGGATATTCTCGAAAAACGACAAAGACACATAACCAAACCTAATCGATCAACCACGTATTTTATCAGGAAATGAATATGACAAACTCACAACTTGAGCATAAATGTATTTTGAAAAAATGCAAAACATCACAATAATATCTTCAACATTTGGAGATATTTTTGTTCAAAGTATAGACTTAAGTTTCCCGCGCCCAAAAATAAATAAACAGTTTTATTCATCAATTCTGTCAAATGTCGTGATCAGCTGAAACAGCTAAACTACATTATACGAGTATTGATCCACAAGATCAGAAATTCAGGGATACAACAATTCATATTCAGCATAAAAAATTATCATCTTTTTGCAGTGATATGATACACTTACGGCATTTCAGGTAATTCTTGGTGCATTCTTTCATGATATTGGGCACGTTCTAGAAGTGGAACAGAGTCATATGCCGGAAGAAAACTGGAAGTACATTGTTGGGAAACATAACGAGGTAACGCTCACAACGTGGGAATTTGTTAAAATGAAATTTCATTGCAGAATCCCAACGAATAATTGTATGAGTTAAAATTGAAATTTGGTACATCTTCTATGGCAAAAATTTATCAGAAACAAAAAGAACAATATTTCAATAGAATTTCAGCATAAACATTCAGTCATTTTCAGTGATCATACACATCCGATTATAAATATTTTTAATCATAATATAAACTTGTCATACAAAGATCGAACAAGTGACCTCGCTCAGGTCGAGTACCGAGATTTAAAGAAAAATACTCTGGCTGGCAGGGCTTAAAATATTCCCAAATTTTATCTACTTGTCTGTATCATTTATTCCCTTCCACCTGATATCTTTGATTGGTGATTATAAAAAGAGGAACGTTAGCAGCTTCAATTTACTTCCAGACTGGCCACCAGTTCCTAATTGAAAACAATTTTCCGCACTCGATTGCATCACCTGCTAAGTATCACGTCAACGCTAAAAGATATCTTGTGTGTCGAGTAAAGGAATACCATGACGGTAAGACAAAGATTGAACTTATAGTTGACTTTTCAATGCAAGTAGGCCGGCCTATGTCGTAGTAATTGACTTAACTGCTTGTTACTTCAGCACTTATTTCAAATGTATTCGGTTCGAAATGTTGACATCACTAAGAAGAACCTATTCCTGACGACTAAACCCACGCTAATAAGAGTAGATTAGCAGTCATGGTGGAGTCGATCGGCACTTACTGTTACTGGTAAGCAAACTACGGCCCGCGGACCAAAGCAGGCCCGTTGGGCAATTTAATCTGGCCCGCCTAATGCTGCCACAACCAAACTAAAACCAAATTTTGATGTTTTTGCTAAAAATAGCCTAAAAAATTGTTGTAATTGCGATTGGATTTAGTCTTGGCATCATTTTTCACTTTTGTTTTTGTAACACTGTAAATATTGTTCATAAAATGTAACTTTTACCGGGTCCAAAAACCTTGTCCACACCTATTCTACAGCAAAGCTACGACAAGGAAGCCGACATTTGCATGATATATGAAAACCCATACCCTAATTATCAAATTAAATATATAGGTCTATCAGAATGCAGCAAACGAACATTGATTGGACAAGGCGGACCAATGAGCGAAAAGGAAGCGAGGGAATTTGAACAACTGCCTTACTTTCAAACAGCAGTCAATGTCAGAAAATGGGATGACAAGGCAAAGGTTATTGGCCAAACAACTCCAACTCTGGAAAAGTATAAATCGATGTGTCTAGATTATCTTGTGCAAATAATGAAATAAATAATCGAACTTGTTATCCATCAGATTAATTGCATAGGTGTCGATGAATTTTAGAGTAGGAAGTTTTCCAGCTGACTAGGACCATCTTTGCTAATTAAAATTATTCGGGAAAATACAGGACTACGCCTCACAGCCGACCATTTTGTAAAAACGAACCGAACTTGAAGTTTGCTCACCTAACGGGGTGGAACAGCAGGCTAGTCCAAGAGGAGACCAATAGTGCGGAGAAACTAAGCTATAGGTATAATTGAAAAATGTAATTCTAGGCTCTCATTCTAAAATTGCGGAACAATGCTATTGAACTAAGTTTAATCCCTAGTTTACAACTGCGATTATTTTCACAAATTTATTTTGCTTCTTTTCGTTTAGAATTTAGAACCTTCAACGCGCAGTTTAAAATTACGCTTGTTGAGTTGTTTTGTTCCAGAAACTTTCGCCCGATCGTAATATGTACCTTATCGCTTCCTTCAGTGCTTCCAGTCCATCAACATGCACAATAGACAATGCTCAAATATATGGACACAAAATCCAAAACAAAGTCGTACGGGTGTTCAATCTGTTACAGTAAACCGGTCCAGCAGTGTTTACGACCATCGCGAACACGGAACTGCCACAAGATGCGCAATTTTTGATGACGTTATCGCACACAAAAAACATACCCCAAAAAGCCCACAGAAATTTTTGAAATAAATAAAAGTAACAACCTTCTAGCGAAAAATACAATCGTTCACCACTGAAAAAGCAATTGGTCCAGTAGTTAATGAAAAAAAGGATTTTTTTCAAGAACAACAACAAAACAAACCATATGTTCCCTTTGTGTCCAACTGTCCAATAAACATGTGGGGATACCAATCATTTGAGATTTTGATCGATGCCAATCTTGTTCGGTGTGCTCATGACAGACTTTTTTTCGACAATTTCCCACAGTTCAGGCTTTAGACTCTTAGAGGGAGCTATATGTCAAGTTTTATTTGAAGTTACACCGCTTTTTATACGATATACAAAAGTAAACTCGAATTCAAATTGTAATTTCAAAGGTATTCCTCGTACTGTCACATGATGATAAATTATATCAGACTTCAATAAGAACTGAGGCTACGGCTAATTATTGAGCGAGAAATAAAAATTCCACAAACCAACATTAGCATTGTTCTCGTGACAAGCGTCCACTTGACAAGACTGGAATACCTAACAATAAGTGTTCGGCCAGATAGTGGTATGCCTCAATACTCAACTCACAAACAGCATCTCTACGTACTGTTAATTCGTTGAAGAGCTACTTCATTTGCGTTCAATACTAAATCTAGAAGGCAAGCTAGGCCGCTGTAGAATTGGATGTAGGTATTAGCGGTGAGTGTGTGGGTCGGCAAGACTTACGATAGTAGTTGTTGTGTCGGATAATTTGTGACAGAAAATATTTGACTTAGACCACATTTGTACACATTTACCGTAAAGTATGAAGGATTCCATAGCTACAACTACCCACGGTAAGTTACTGTATAACCTTAGATTATAGCAGTAAAAAAACAATAGCAAGATCACAGATAAAAGTCACAAAGAATAAGCACTGGTGCAAAAAGAAATTCATGTCAGTATAGAATTCAGTAAATTAGCTTGTTGCCTGCCTCTTTCTAATCCAACTCTTTGCCTTGAGTATATCTCAGAGGAATTATTTCTTCATTACACTCATCATATAATTACTTCAATTTCAGACCTCTGTAAATCTTGGGAAAAAGAAGTTTTGGGGCAATTCCAAGTTCTCATCAAAGATCCTGCACTTAGACTCAGCGTGGTATGGTGCGCCGGAGCAATCGGACTCGTTGTCATCTGCATGAACTTCCTTGTAATTTGTTCAATTATTCGCGCGAAAAATTTGCGACACAATTCCGTCTACATCTTTGTATTCAGCATGGCGGTTGCGGATCTTCTAGCGGCAGTTGTGTTTCTCTCTATATTTCTAAGTAAGTTAAATCTTGAATTTAATATTGTTTCTTTGTCTGTAACGTGTATGAGTGTATAAGAAAGCAAAAAGAAATATTTATGTAACGTTTTTAAGGTGATATCGTTGTCTTTTATAAAAAATAGTTGATTTAAGTTAGCTACCAATCAACATGGCACACCATTCTGAAGATTCTAATTGATTGGATCATCTTCAGTGGGGATGGGTATTTCGAATCGAACAGTAAATAATTCGAATCGTTCCAGACGAGAATTTCGAATTGCCGCCATTATTCGCACAAGATCGAGGTCAATCCCTTATTTTTTTTTATTTAAGCCATATTTTTAAAATGCAATTCTGACGTTTATATGACTCTTTTCTTCCGATTGAGTTATTGATGAAACATGATTATCGATGATTGTGTGAAACACTCAACAAACTTTCCGATTCACGTATTTTCAGTAGCTTATGTGTCCGAAGATCCCATTAAGGTAAAAATCAGATACAATTTCATATCTTCCAAGTATTCGAGATTCGATTCGAAAAAATATTCGATTTTATTCTGACACAATCAAATATTCGGAAATGCCCATCTCTTATCCTCAGTCAAAAAATACATACGATAAGTTTTTTTATATTCATCTCTATTTATCATTTATCAATATTTAAAATTAAGTTATTGAATTTTCAGGATTTCATCTGACAAAAGATGAACAAGGAACAGATGATATTCCACGAAACAGTACAGTTACAGAATTGTATCAGTTACTTAAGACGAACGACAGGAAACTTCAAGGATATCTCATCCAACTAATGATGGTGACCACATGTTTCACTGCTTCTGTTGGAAGTTTGGTACTTACTGCTGTTGACAGGTGCAAGATTATCGATCTTATTATAGGTTTTAGATGTAAAATTAGGTTTATTTATTGTTGACATGAAAAATTAATTAGTTACAAATTTTCAGAAGTACTGAATCGAATAAGTTTGCACCAATTTTCATTGCCTCATCAACTGGCCATGAAGACTTGAAATATTACTGACTCACTTGTTTAAAACAAAAGTAGAAGTTTTCCACTTTCAAAGTTTTTTTTTATATCATGTTTTCAGATTTATTGCAGTGGTCAAGCCATTCGAATATCATTCCGTAGCCACAAGAAAACGATGTGTTTTCGCTGTTGTTCTGATGTGGGCAATTTCGATTCTAGTTTCCTCTCTGCCTGTAGCGGGATGGAGATGCTCATTTGGATGTCAAGGATTTCCCAAACATGGTTGTTCACAACTGTATCCGGGGATATCTAGAGGATACCTAACGTTTTATGTGATTTTTATTGGTGAGACATTATCAATTTATAAAGTCGTGAAAATGTGATGTAACAAATCGAACACGAATAATACTGTCAGCATATATCCAGCTTACAAATTTAAAAGAATTTTAATAATCATGAGTGTAAAACCCACATCTCCATTTTTCAGTGTTTCTTCTTGTGTTCGTGACAAGCATGTACATTTATATATTTACTGTTGTATGGAAACATTACAAATATAACTGTGCTGTGGCATCAAAACAGAAAAAATATTTAAACTATCCATCATCGACTTGGCCCAGAACTAAAAATACTCCAATAAAGATGCCAGCTAATCATCGAATCACAACAAATCTGAATGCGCCAACGAAGCCCGATATTCAGTCAGGAAGACGGACAAAAATACTACCTGGACTCAACAACTGTCCTTGTAAAACTGAAAGCAAATCCAGCCAAGAATCAAGTCTTTATGAACTCGAAATGATTAACTGTAACCCGCAGAATACTTCTTTGGAGAAAAGCAGAAGCGGGTCAAGATGCTACGAACTTCGCAAAGAAAGTTTTCGTTTCGTTTTGATCGTTGAGGAAGAAAATGACGAAGAATTCAGTGATTTTAAAAGAGAAAAAGAAAGAGCAACGAGTTTTAGAGGTTTTTTGTTCTATGGAAATACTGAAAATTCAACACCCCCTACAGCGAAAAGCGGGTTAGTTATGTTATTGAAACTTGATATAGATAAACGGAAAAACAAAATAGCAAATTCCTCCATCTTCCCTGACGAACAGAGAAATCAAAGGGAAAATACACATATTACCATAGATTCGGAAATCGTTTATGGATAGTAAAAACATAGGCATGAAAATTTGATTTTTTGATACGAAATGTTGATGTGGGCCGTTTTCTTATTATGTTGTTGTTCTTGTTTAGATTGGATTCCGATAGCAAACCCACAATATCGCCAATCAAGCCAGCAAAAAGAAGGTCAAGCAGATTTGACTTCAAAAGAAACAGACATCAGATGCAGATTATACAGACACTAATATTAATTCTAGGTGAGTGTGAGATAGGTACTGGAAACTTAATTTTAAATATTTATCGTGGTGGTGTCGCTGCAATGATCCATGAGGCAAATTAATCCATAACTCGAATAAGCACAATCCGGTATATTGTAGAATTCGTCGTTTCCATTCTTGCTTTTGAAATAAGCTTGGAAGGATCAGTAGTTTGTGTTGTGTCGACACTCATGCAGTGGACTCCGCCTATGCTATAGCTCAATTTATACACATAGAGAAAAGGCAATAAAATGTTTCTCGCTCTTGGCTACCAATAAGCACAATCCGAAAACTCATGATCTGCATACTCAAACTTCTGCTACCCTACTTTTTTTTTATCTACACACAGGTATACTTATCATTTGCTGGGTGCCATCATTGACTTTCATGATTCTGGATCTTCTCATGAACATTAACAAAGACATGAAGAAAGTATTTGCGTTTCTGGCACTATTAACTTTACTAAATTCAGCAGCTAATCCTGTTGTATACGCAATAAGGTAAATTGAAAAGTGACTACGAAGATTCACGCGGGCGATGATGATCATCAACGTGCCCAATTGAGTCAAAACACTAATAACTAGTTAACTAGTTAATAACTAGCAACATGGTTCCAGGCCCCGCGCCGGATTAAGCACCACCACGCTGGATTGTAAGAAGGTACCGCATTTAGACACAAGAGACTAGACGTATTGCAAAACAAGTTTAGGACTAATGATAACAATATTATCAAATTGTAGCCAATGTAAGCAATGCGTGGCGTCTCAAAAATGCACTGTCCACTTAAGTTACACTTCATATATTAACTCCAACTGCTTTACAAGCAGAGGTGGGATTCAAATTTTTTGTCAGCCGGTTCCATCGTACAAATGTCGAATTTTCAGGAGGTTCTGTTACAAAAGGTCATGTAATGCTAACCGGTTCGCTGATCTCATAAAATTCCGTGAGACGGTTCTATAGAACCGGTGCGAACCGGCTGAATCCACTACTGCTTACAAGGTATTATGTATATCCTAACCCAGAACATGAGATGAATCCAATCGCATATGCTAACTTAAACCATTATCCCCGCAATATATGCCGGCATCTACCTACCTCAAAACAGTGTCATATGCGGGACAAGTTTGACAAATGTGTTACAAAGGGGGGCAAGTGTCAATAAAATTCGACAAATGGCCCCCAAAACAGAACCCATAAATTTCCTAATGACTTCTACGAAAACGATACTTCTATCGCCATGGAAGGAATTGGAAGATATTCTAGAAAGAACATAACTTTTGTACAGAGCGTCCTAGATTTTTCAAACTTTTCAGTGTCATCATACGGTTCAAGTATAAAAAATTAAATAATTTACTCAAATTTCAAAGTAATAACTGAGAAATTTATGGGTTCCATTTGAATTTCGGGTCAACCTGCAAAGAGAAATAGTGCAACTCAGGCGTTACGACTTATTCTGTATCGTCTACAAATCAGACGGGGGAAAATATTTAAATCAGGTAGTGTTTTACAACTGGAATGAGGATAATTATTCTCAACTATTTTTACAGATTGAAAGAACTGCGGGGAATCGCTAGTACACTGCTATGTTGCTTAAAACGTCCAAGACAAAGATGACGAAGTCCCATGACCATCGGGACTCATTGGAAAAAAGAAGTTTTGAGCACAAGACATTTATCCTTCATCAGCGAAAGCGCTACAAAACGTGTCGCTACGAAACGCCGCTACAAAATGTGACAACTTTTCTTAAAATAGTTATTAACTTTATTCATGAAAAATACAATGCTTTTATTGTGAAAAATGGAAATTCAGTATATAGTGCAAAAGCGTAATTAGTGATGTTTGGTATATTATGAATGTGGCTGAACAGAATGAATTGAGTTATATATTAATTCATAGATACCATATTTACAAGTTGTTACAAACTACATAATCGGAGATAGTTCTTTGAGTCTAGATATAGAAGGTATCCTTGAATGTACTTACTAAATATCGATTCATATTATAAATGTGAGAATGAATATTTCTCCAGTTCAAAATATTGGTTTTGTAATGGATGAGAATTTATATAGAAATTTAGTCACACAAATCTGCGCTTGAATTTTATCGTGTACAATTTTGGCAGAGCAAGCAAACAATTTACAACAGAAATCATAATACAAGGTAAAGCACTGCAAACGCAATATTACAAAAAGTATAAATATATTTATATATGTATAGATGTTTCCTTTTGAAGGAATGGAACCAATTTTGTTGGTCATATTACAGATGTTTGTTAGCAGTGGGTGATAATATTTCCAGTAGAAACAATTTTATCAGTCTTTCTCATAAAGACCCAATCCGATTTATCACATCTTGAAAAGTTTATTCCAGCAACAGCGCTTCAGTAGTATGTGTACCAATAGGGAGGTATCTAATTTCGTACACCTATTTTACATCAAGTTGTGTAAAGGGTCTGCAACCTAAGGGCAGGGATATATTAACTTGGCTAAAACATAGGCAGTCCCCCAACTCGTAATAGAACTAAAAATGGGAGAAACGGAGTAAAATTATGGCCTGACACCAATACCCGGTTTTTTGTATACCCAATTTTTGTAGTATGTGTGCGCAGAAATTTTGGTGTGTGCGCACTTTTTTGGAAATGACTAATATTTGTGCAAAAACCAATGAAGAAATTTTGGCGTTCTAACCGGGTAACAAGTGGGCTTAAGAAAATTTTGGTTATTCAATAAGTTTTTCTATAGATTGTAAATGCTTTAGTGAAGGCTATATGTTATCAGTAGATAACAATGAACATACATGGAAAATAGTAAATGAAATTGATTGTAACAGATGGTTTTATTTGAATTCAAATAAAGGGTGAAAAAAGAACATTGTTACATTACATCGAAATACGTCTGTGCGCAGTAAATCCATGCATGTGCGCAGCCTCTGAAAGCTGTGTGCGTGCGCACACGCCCACACCTTAGAGGGAACACTGCCTGGTACAAATTTGATTGGGAGCAAGAAAAGAGTTTGCATCAAAAAAGTTATTTTAGCAAACCAGCCCAACCAGGCGTTCCAACAGTGAAACAACTATTATATATCTTCTATAGAAATTTAGAATTTAGAATAGAAAGAATTTAGAATTAATAGTAGATAATTTAGTAGATTAATGTTGATAATCGAGTTTAAATACTTTTAAACTTTGTATGCACTTACCGATATCAAGATCAGCCATACACTAAAATTGTTCAAGGCAAGGAAGATATCATGCATGTACCAAATGTAACAGATCATCCAAAAACATTTGTCACACCTTCAAAAAGGTATTATACTTTTAATACTGATATGATAACCCATTTCCCTGGCTGATTTATGATTTTAATATAGGTTATTCAGCCAGCATCACAAAAGTTCATGCGGAGACATATTTTCCACATCACAAATGATCTTCAGTTTTTCTTATACTTTGTGAATAAGTTGTATAAAACTCTCAATGTTGACTTCAAGTCACAGTTTGCCACATCTGTAAGAGAAAATGAGAGACGAGTCAAAAACTTATACCAGCGTAAAGCACATTTACATCTATGTCTAAACTCTACTAAACAATGTCTAATCTATGCTACACAGATAAACAAAATAAATATTTATCTGGTACAGAAATTAAAGCTAGACATATATTCTTGAGAATCTAAATCTAGACAGAAATTTCACAGCGATCCTATATCTCCTACCTGACTTTTAAAATCCCACCTGAGTTGATATAAGCACGATAAAATGTCCATTCTTCTAACATGACTTCCCATCAGAAACTTGCTAGAACTGCATAAAAACAACCTTATACTATCCCCCAGCTTTTATTCATGGTTATGTTTTAATCTGTAACCTTCATAAAACACCTATGACAATGTTCTTCTCACAATGATATACACTGCTAATCCGAAGAACTGAAGCTTGAAAACTCAAGTCAAAAAGAAGTTGAAAAAACAACGAAACTTACTATAATAAGATTCGTATGATCAAAATATAGCCATATAAAAATTACAATTTGTGGCTTTATATTCGATTGAACATCAACTACAAATCAACCAATTACTTGGTTACACTATTCTGTAATTGGGTAATCTGTGGCATTAGTACATTGAAAATTTGCAATAGAAATAGTTATCAGCAACACAGCCTACACAGGTCTTTATAATTTAACATAAAATTAATTTATATTTGACAATTCATAGCCCTTTGATGATACTCTCTCTCTACTTTCCAAAACTGTCCATCAGAATAAAGCAATACACAACACACTATTTTTAAACTGTGTATTCCTAACTGTGTACAATACAACTCACTGGTGCTCATATCATGATTGCGAGGTCATTTCAGTTCAAAAGACAGCAGGAAATATTCTGCTTTCTGTTTGCATGGTTTGTGAATCATCATTACAGAATGTAGGCTTGTGAATGCAAAATCATGTTGGAAATATTATTACATTCAGTATATATTTTAATGAATGTCTGCTTGAAGCAAGTTGGTGAACTGCTGAAAGATGTATGAAGAAAATATGACTACTGTACCGCTTGTGATAATAAATTTAAGATAGATAATTTCATTAGAATTTTAATATGCATATTTTGTGTTCTCAAAATTTTCAAGGATTAGTTAACTTTAAATGGAAAGTTTTCTTTATTCATCCAATTTTCTTCTTTCTTTCTGTCTGTCTGTGTGCGATATTTTATTTGTATATATAATAGACTCTTTTCTGCCTTAAGGTACATGGTGCAACTGACATACCATAGCTAAGTAGCCTACGTCAACTAAATATAAATTCACACAATCCGATGCGAAAAAATATTCCTTACCTAACTTAACGTAAACCTCTATACTTCATTACTTTATCTGTTTAATGATGTGTATAAACACATTATAACACAACTGATATTTATAAAATATGCATATTCTAGAAATACGCTTTCATCTCATATGCCTTAACATACATCTTTGAATCAAACTATTTTCATATTGTTAGTGTTGAATTAGTTCGCCGAAAGCTAAATCAATACCTTCTGGTCTTGCTTTCGGTGTTGGCAGTCCTGCATCAGTCATAAGTTCAAAAGCGAATTTCACATTGTGAACTTTATGGTCAAATGATTCTGGCGTGAGGTTGAAACTATGTAAAGGAACGAAGTATCCTTCCAGCATGCCCATCAACAAAACAAGATATACTCCATCAGCAAACTAAAAACAGATGTAAATTGGCAGTTCACAAGAGATTGCAAAGTAAAATAAGAGTAATCAGGACCTGATGGTCAACATTTACCCAATCATAATTCAACCTAAAATATTGCAATACTGATTTTGCTAAGCATAAAAACTAAGTTCATATGAGTTCATATTTACGCCTTAAGATCTGTGATACAGAATATATTTGTTTTCATACCTGTGTGTCTAAATCTGTGACAGCGAGGTTGAGTTTGTCCAAATGACGATTTGCAAATTCTATGAGAGATCTTTTTACTATATTTAGTTTATCAGGTGCGTGATCAAATAGAGTATCAAAGGCATCTCGTTCTGAAAATAAATTCATTGGCATTTTGATGTTAGTTGAGCTATTAATTTAACATGGTCCTAAAAGCTGAATGCAAGTACCAATTCATCAAACATTCGTATTCAATAACAATTTAATATATATGAATGGAGTATTCTAACAAACTTCTGTTCTTGTCCAATCTGCGATTCCCCGAGAAAAATCATATTTTGTAATATATATGCATTAAAAATATGAACAGATCTCTAAGACCAGTGGCTCCAACCTTATTCATTAAATTCCCTACTTTGCCTATTTTGAAACTCATCATTCCTCCCTCTGTATATATGGAATCATGGAAAGTACTTTGTTTAATTTAATTTAGCTAGTGTTATGCGCAAGTCGCAGTCTCGCTTTTGAACGGTCCAATGTGTGCATGAAAAGGTATTATAGTAATAATTAAGAACTGAAGAATAATATTACTAATACCACAGCAAGTACAAAGCAAAATTTCTCCCTGGGGAGCAAATATCGCTCCAGTTCGGAAATGTGGACTAAAGATTTAACTTTTACAATGTTTCATATAGCTGAAGGACATTGCAAAAAAAGCCAAGGGCAATAAAAAGTCTCTTACCAAATTTGCCTCCTGTCATTTGGCTGTAAAACAATATGAACTAATTAAAAACAAATACTCAATTGTTAAAAAAATGTTTGCTTTGCTTGAATAAGCAATTTAAGCCTGGAACCTTTGACATTGTATGTTAAATCAGGCTAAATTGTAGAGAATGAAAAAATCCAAACGATTGAATTTCAATTATTTTTACAAGGATTTATTCCACCCAGATCAATGGGTGTAATATAAAGATATAGTCCTGTCTTGCATGTGAGGAAAACAATTTTAACAACATATTAGTTTAGTACTGCAATAAAACAGGAGGCTATTTTGTCAATTAAGCAAACTTTTCTTTCACAAGACAAAAAAAAAACATAACTCGATTACAACAAATGTTACTTAAATTTTAATTCAATATTTATATCATACCGTAATTTTATTAGCAAACAATTAAAATAATTACGGTAGACACATTTTACAACTTACTCCATGGTAGAAGTGATTTGCTCCTCAACCATTCTGTGTTCTAACTTTCCACCAACTTTCTTGACAACAACAACCTAAAGAGAAGTGTTTCAATCGTTTAAGAATAATTGGAGACAGACAAAAAAGAAAGTTAATGAGTCCATAAATACCGAGTATTGACCTGATGATATACAAATACATCTACAACCTTATAACAAACTTCATACTGACGGACAAAAACAATTGACATTTAAATTGTTATATAAAAATGTCATGAATCCTGAAGATTCGTTATTTCAAAAATAATTATGGGATAAAAATAAGATTTGATAAATGTAAGTAATTATCACATGAAAGGGTATTTATCTGCAGAAGTTGGAATTGCATAATTTACAAAAGGACTTGATTTATCAAGCTAGAATTAAAATATATCACAGCCAAATACACAAATAATAATAGAATAATGATACATAAACAGCATATAAAAACAACGTACTTTGATATGAACATCTTCTGGCAATCGTATCGGTGCTTTATAATGAGCAGCGAGTGCTACTAGTAAATGAAGTATTGCAATAAGATTCTTTGAATGGATACCTGAAAAAGGTGAAAAGTCATAAACACAGCAGTAATGATTTCAGAAAAACACTGAATTAAAAAAATTGGCGCTCCAGAAGTATGTATGCCAATATGGAGGTCACCAATTTTGTTCGCCTATTTTACATCAAGTTATGTGAAGGGACTGAAACCTATGGGCAGGGGGATATTCACTTGGCTAACACAGACATTCCCCGAACTCGTAATAGCACTAAAATAAGGGAAATCGAAATAAAATTAAGGCCTAACCCTAACCTGGTACACATACTTCGGGAGTACCAAAAAATGTTAGGTAAAATATGTCTCGAAAGAGCTTTTATATTATTCTCTGAAAAATGTCTATAGTCATGAAAGCGGCATGGTGTGGTTTTGAATCCTTGCAAGATAATCAAGTGTGAGAGGATTACTAGACATCCAACACTCATATAACCACTTGCCATTTACAGATTCCTTCGCAAGTGCATCTTGAAACAAATTCACAATACGCCATACCTAGTGGGCTAGTAACTGGATGAGATATCATAATTCACAATATAATTAAGCTGTCCTATAGGCTTCACTCTTTCCTATTAAAATATGAAAATTCCATCCTATTAATTAAGATAAGTCCAAAAAAACTGATGACACAGAACACTCCGATCATACGGTAATCATTTTTAGAACAAAGGCTTGATAATTATAATTGACAAAACTGCAAGCTCAAATTTAATTTTCTTGTATTATGCTTGTGTGTGTCCTAAAAAAAATTACATTGTAAAATACTTACTATCAACACTCCATTTAGTTTCATTCCAGCTTTGTATTTGTAGTTGTTGACTGACTTTATCTAGAACTGCCCTGAGTTTATCTTTTTGTCCTTGAGCTGTTTGCGTAACTTCCGGAACCTAAATGTTTCGTAGTACAATAGCATATTATGTTGTATAGGCATACAGAAACAATGTCATCGTCATGTCTAAATTTGAATTTATCTTGGAAGGGTATTAAAAATTACATTACAGAAACTACCCATTGTAATTGACTAGCTATCTCATTTAAACAGTGAGTAATTTTTACACTCAATATGAGCAAGATTGAGATAGGTTTGGCAGGAGTAAAGAAATAGAACGATAATAGAAAAAAGTCAAGCCAACCTGTAACTTGACATCACCAAGTTTTTCTAAAAGTTTCTGCAAAACTTGTCCATCAAACAAATCTTCTTGTATATTTTTAACAATAATTCTTTGTTCGACAAGAACATCATCAATCCATTCCATGAGAACCTAAAACAGAAGCAATCAGAAAAACATAGAGTAAGGCAGTGGTTTCCAACCTTTTATGGCTCATGGCTTTCCTGTTTATTAAATCAGTAATATTTATAGTGTTATCTTGATTGGTAGATTTCAAATCCTAATATGTTCAAACAATTTATGCTCAGCAAAGTGAAAACACTCTGCGAAATAACCTTATCAAGCAATGGAACTAGGAAGAACGCGAGGTTTTCTTGTGAAGTGAAAAGTAAAATGAGTTTTGCGTCTAGCATTGTGGCATTCTCTGACTGCCCTGTGGCCCCCTTGGAGGAGAACAGATGGAATAGGGTTTGTTCAAACAGATAAAACAGCCGGAAATACTACCAGACTAGACCTACTGAAATTTTTTTTATCTATATAATTTACCTATTAGCAAACATGAGCTGTCAAGATTAATAATTAGGTAATGTCCTTTGACAGGGTTTTCATCAACCATTATAATCAATATATTAACAGTAGTATATTAAACAAAAAATTAAATAAGAATAATGAAATATTATGTAGTTTTTTTAATATTCACACATAAAGTGAGTGAGTAATGTAACGAATCCAGAGTTGTCGATCACACGCACATACTATTAGGATTAAATTAAACAAAATTAAATAATTTTTTCAAAGTATTTATTAAGAAATTTATGTGTTCTGTTTTTAGGTCACCCTGTACAACTCTAATGAAATTCAATTCACACCCGCTCAAGATCCACAACATCTTTAGCTTCTCTTGATTTTTGATCGATCATAGATCTCTCTTCTCCTTCTTCTAAGTGGAAACTTGAAGGATCAATCTCTTGTGTGACTGTACCTCCATCAATTGCATCTCGAGCTTCTATGTCCAATGCATTTACTGCAAGAGAAAATCAAAAGTTAGAGTGCACACTCACATTAAAATAGTTTCGAATAAAGGAAGGAGTAAAATACTAACGATTTGATAAAAGTAATTTAAGAAACCACAATTATACCAATGTTTTTACTCGCCAAAGACCAAGTCGACGAAGTTATGTATAAGTATAAGTTTATTTCGACTCCCTAATCAGCATAACAATACATTTGACAGATAAAAACAAATAAATAAAAACTGATTATGAAAACAGGGGAGCAAACGAAACCTTAGATAAGGTTTATAACGTAAAAAATATAAGATGGAAGGTTTTGCCAAGAGGAAGTGGTACGTGTTTACTCACCTAAAATTATTAAGTTATTTCACACACGCTCACATGCACCCACCAGCCACACACACACACACACACACAAACACTGAGAAGTTATTTAAGTAAGAATATGATTATGATATGATTATGATTAAAAATATACTTTTGATGACAGTTGATAATAAGATTCGTATGATCAAAATATAGCCACATAAAAATTACAATTTGTGGTTTTATATTTGATTCAATATCAACTACAAATCAACCAATTACTTGGTTACACTATTCTGTAATTGGGTAATCTGTGACATTAGTACATTGAAAATTTGCAATAGAAATAGTTATCAGCAACACAGCCTACACAGGTCTTCATAATTTAACAAAAATTAATCCATAGTTGATTCAATAACAAAGAACCTAGAAATCTACAATAGAAATGGGGAGCGGCAACACCAATCTATATATGATCTGACAAAGAATTGCCAATGTATGATAAAGTTCCATCCAATATCTGAATATACCAGAATCTCGTTGCTTTTTCTTGCGTCCAAGTGTTAATGAAAAAAATCCTTCAGATTTTTCCGGTTCCCTTCTTGCGGGAGATTTCTGGTATGACATTTTGTATATCCGTTGTTTAATTTCAAATTACAATGCTTCTAATTCAACTGAATTCATAAGTTTCAGAGTTTGGTGATGTGTTCATCAATTGTTATCAATTAATTCATTCAATTATTGAAATAATGAGGTACAATAATCTCACTATATAGTCTATGTATACTGGTATGTGCTGCTACCGCTGTTTCAGAATTAACAACATCTCCTTTCTGCCACATTCTGACATTGACAGAAACTGTTGAATGTTCGCGGATACGGTAGTCTACCTTAGCAGTTCAAACTGCGGAACTATGTTCAGTTCGGTTACGGTATGCCACAACAGTGCAATGGATCTTTGTGCGAATTCCATGTTAGATTATCATTTGAAAAACTGAACACTCTAGTCTATTAGTTAAAATAATATGGATAAACGTCTCGGTACCTCAATAAATCTAAAAGATCTGTCGGGGAAGCTAAACTCACATATGCTGAAAAAGCAATTACTGAATTAAGAATGAGCCGTATACGGCGGCATTAAGTATGACGTCACTGGCACACCCACCGGTGCTGCCTCCCACCAAAACAAAGTTGGAAGTTTGAAAAAAAAATCAATTTTTATAAGTCTAATCACAGGAACCAAATATTCCTACAAATAAGTACCGGTATCCAATCGGTTGTATCATTCATGGCGGATAGGGTTGTATATGCGTAAGGATAACTCACACACAGAACGACCCCTCAGACGTCTTAAAAATAGAAAACCAATTGCGATGAACGTACGACTTGACTTTCGATTTGTAGAATCAACAGGCAAATATTCAATTCCGCTGAACTGATTTTAGAGGACATCGACAGTTTGTCGTTTGAGCTTTGTAGGTTTAAACCTGACATAAACAAACTACGGCCCGCGGGCCAAATCCGGCCCGTTGAGTAATTCAATCTGGCCCACCTGATGCTGCCATACCTAAACTAAAACCAAATTTTGATGTTTTAGCTAAAAATAACTAGGAATTTGTTGAATTTGCGATTAATTTTAGTTTCGGCACGAGGCTTATTGTTTTCCACGTTTGCCTTTGTAACACTGTAAATATGTTCATAAAATGTAACTTTTACGTCACACTTACATGGCCCGCCAGACTAGGTGGGCAAATAGTATGACCCCGGGTTCAAAAACCTTGCCTACCCCTGAAACGGTAGGCTTGCTTTCGTTTGCCAAAATTCATCAGATCTCAATTGAAAACTGGACGCGAGACCGAGGCTCGCCACTGCATCATATGATTAACAGTGTTTTCTCTTTTTCATTCTCCTCTTCCAGCTATTTTGAAGCCGGTACGATCCGGTCCGTGTACACTGTACAGGACTCTCATATCGCCATGGATGACTTTTATTCAATTTTTTATTTTAACCTGATTTTTGTCATCTTGTATTCTATAACAGTGCACACCGTCCAACAATTTATCATTGTGAGTGGCTAAAATCATTCCACAACACTTTGCTTTAGCTGAAGTGGCGAATCTTGTGGTCTGATGGATCTTTAATATGATCTCTAGAGGGTGACGTTGGCCAGTTATTTGTCAAAGCCATTTTTGTTCAAGGAAACTTGAAAACCATTTTTCAGTAGTTTTCTTGAACGTGAACACGGACAACTGCAGGTTAGCAAAGCATTCCGATGGTCCACTTCAAACTCACTTAAGTCTGCTAAACCATGTCATAAAGTCACAAATATTCATGGTAATACCATAACCATTGAAAGTAAAAGAAATGAGTGTGTTTAATTGATAGGCCTAGGAATAAACATGACAAATAATCGACAAAAATACTTACATTCATCTTTATTTTCCCAATTCGACCAAGCCATGTGCGCCATTGTGAATATCTTTTCTTTAGCTCTCTTCAATACGGTATCACGAAAAACACGTCTAGAAGTTGTATTGAACAAAACTAGTTAATTGACACAAAATTTGATATAAATAAGCTACTAAAAATTAATTATCAACGGATTTAATTTGCAATGAATAATTCAAAGAACATTCATTTCAATAAGTAATGCTTGTTTACTAGTCAAGTTCCAATGGAACGATTGTCACAAAATATAAATTAGGTTCGGAATAAACTTATTCATTTACAAAACTTCCTCTTTCACTTCATAAACTCAACCAAACCAACCCTGACGTTTAAAAGAAATTCATTTGTTTGAAAAAGCACCGAAATCGATGAAAAATCACTGAAGAGTTTCAATAAAAAAATCGTGGAATCATTGACAAATTCCTTTCTACAAAGGCTTTCGCCGTACATGTGGAATAGAATGCTCGCTTGACTTTTTGGTTTAAATCTAATACAAACAATATTCTAAGTACTCGCTTTCTTAGCCATAAAACTGTTTTTCTCCCTATGTTTGTTAGTTTTACACATCCTGTGTATTTCTCGTTCATACTCTGGCAATGTGGTGATAGCTATTGATCCTGACTAATCTAAAAAGTATTCGCAATTCGAAAATGCCTATACACACCATTGGGCTAAATATATTATAAGAATGCTATGATGTAAGTTTATGTGTCGACAACATCCATACTTAAACAGATCTTCGTGTGAATATTGTTATATGTATTGTGTTCTCATACGCCGACGTCTGTGCAATCAACGTCACAAAACTATAATATATTCCCAAAACGTGCATTTTATACACTTAAAATACGTGATCAATATTTTATTCTGGGATAGAGTTTTATCAGTCTTTGCGAATTTATGTGAAGTCTGAAAGTCGATAAATTTAGCAAAATCGATTAACAAATAATTGATCAAAAAACTTCAACGTGCTTGAGAAAATTCACATTTCAAATTTTAATCTAACTAAAATATTGGGATGAAAATATGTTTGAAAATATCATAAAATAATAATCATCTTATATTGCTGTCGTTAGAGTACAATGTCGATAATGGTACAACGACTTGTAGTAAGAACAAGGGCAATATCTATCCACGGTACTTTATATTTCCATCTTTCGTTATCACCTTCTAAGGCGCCATAGAAAATAGAACGGGGAAATTATATATACATTAAATTCGTCCCGTTTCGGATTTATTTTGATCACGAATTAAGACACATTACAACAATCCAAGTTTTCTCAGAAATGCGGATCAATTGCTTTGATTGTATGAGTTAATTTGTCTATATATAAAAAAAAAAGTCGATAGATAAATGAATGCCAATTTTATACAATAATTAACATAGTCCACTACATATTGCGATTTTTTAAAAATAACTAATATAAGATCCCGATTTATGAAAACTTTGCAACAATAAAAAAGTCGATAGATAAATGAATGCCAATTTTATACAATAATTAACATAGTCCACTACATATTGCAATTTTTTAAAAATAACCAATATAAGATCCCGATTTATGAAAACTTTGCAACAACAAATCACATAAAATGAAATTTTCTGTCATTAACCATAAGTGCCCCTCGTCTTACTCTCTCCATTCAAAGTAAAGCCTAATTTACTAGTTCTATCGCGTTTTAGGGAGTATACAGTTCCAAATAAATACTCAGTCGAAAGAAAGCAGTTTAGGTACATTCGGTTCTTAAATATCATATTAGTTTTACATGTTAATATATTGCTGAAATCATAATCCTTTGCCACCACCATAGTTCACTTTTTTGCGGAACCTAAGAAAAGTATCAATTATATAGTTGTTTGCTACATTTGAACATTCCCCACTTGCCTGATCTTCCCTTATTATCTAAACACATTAAAATCAATCTAAATTTGAGCTCAAGCTTATTTCATGAAAGGCACAGAAATGATTACGTTTTACATCAAAATGATGAATAGAATGATGATGATGTGAGTTTTTATTCGTTTCAATTTTTACATCGATCACTCTCTATATGTATTTTTCGCTTGAATGTGTAATGAGACAATTTGACACATTAAACTATAAAATTAATTATCGTACTGCAGCAAAATTGATCAAGTTCAAAACTATATATTAGATCAATTTTGTCAATAACAGTTTACTTATAGATTACTGAATGACCTAATATGGGTTGCTATATAACAAAATAGCAAGCAAACTATTGCGCAATCACAAATCAACTACAAATTTACGGTAGTGGTATATGTATGTAAAAATAACAAACCAATGCTGGGCAAATATATACAATTCTGATTCCATTACAACATATTATTTCGTTTTTTGAAAATCATAAGTCATTTTCATATCAAACCTCAACTGTTGTAATGAAAATATAAAATCGAGATTAATCAAAATAACAAACAAACGAAAGTAATTGAACCTTTGCTGTCTGCCCACAGACCGTGCGCTAAAACTCAATGCGATTCCAATATCTTGTACTATTGCCAATTCAAAACCATTACTTGTTGCATTACTGCCATTTCCCTGTCATGAGATGACGTTTTTGTGTGCAATGCCAAAGAAGAAATCTATATAGTCAGGCCTTGTGATTTCGGACCAAACCTGGCCAAACATAACCAATCAGACAATTTCACATCCGGAAATCGACCCTCACTTGCTTCAAGACCGGAAATGCAAGCAATATTACAAATCGTCCACGTAGTGAATTTCACTTTTCAATGTAACCAGTACAACCGCATACAGGTCAAATCCCCTCAAATTCTGTAGACATCATTGAGACGTGATGTGTTCATTGCATTCACAATATTCAGGTGAACGAGGAACACATTTCATCTGTTGAGACGATAGTGGAACCGAAAATAAAATATGACGAAATATGCTTTCTATACTACCTCACACTATAAAAAAAAAGTCAGAAGGTCATTTCCACCAACTCTTCAATTGTTTGCCTAGGAACATTGGAGTTTTGAAAATGAAATTTCAGAATTATGAACTGCATTCTTGAATAGGTAGTATTGTAGAGATTAGATCTGTCTACAGGGCAGTATCATGGACTTCGGATTCACAGGCCCTAAGTACTTTACTTTTTTCACTTTGCTGATCTATATATAAAAATAATAGTAATGTAACTGGTATTACGTGTTATTTGAAATTGAATAACTAAGTTTCAGTTTTCATTACTGATGGAGAGAAAGACTTATTATTCTACAACCAAAACAAAAACAGTCCTGATGTAATAAATATGATGATAAAGATAACAATAATAAAAGAAAAGAAATAAAAATATCGTTTCTTGGGTAGATACTGGAGGGGCGATACGACCATACGGTCATCAGAGTTTATGATTAATTTACATGATATTTTTTGGAAATAATTTTCATACCTAAAAACATTTATAGAGAGGGTAA